GTTCCATTCTTTTACATAGGATATAAACCATGCAATAAGAGATTTTAATAACTCTTAAAACTTCACTTAGGAACCCCAGTACACTCACAAAGCAGTTCAGGAACATTAAACCATCCAAACACTGCCCAGAAAACAATTCCTATGGGAGAGCCTGCTCTAAAACTTGTAGAGCAGGCTCCAGAAAACAAAAGAGCAGGCTCCAGAAAACAAAAGAGCAGGCTCCAAATTCTTGGAGCCTTCTCTAGATAGGTAAAGCCAGCTCTGCCTCTCCTAGAGCCGGCTCTGCAATGGGGGGGAGCCGGCTCCCTCCTCCTGGAGCCGGCTATCTCCCTCTCTGAGAGCCGTCTCTTGCGTCTGCACTTTCTGCGACCTTCTTCTTCAACGCCGGCCACGTCCAACCCTTTCTATCTGGTTTTAAACTGTTCATAATAGTCTTAACCGTGTCCAGTACAATCCCCATGGTGTGTTTACAGCAGTTGAAATCCAATACAGAGATTACAAGTTCTACAAACTAAACATGCTTTATGAACACACTTTAAATCAGACATGCACGAACTATACTTGAACAGATTCAACACATACAGAGCATCAATATAGCATATAATATAACTGTAAAACTCAGTTCACGATTAATTAAACCCTAGAGGCTACCTAGGTGCATAGAACACAAGCCAAAGGGAAGGAGGAAGAAAATAACTTGCCTTTATAGTTTTGGATTCAAAACTCTGTTGCCATCTTTCTAAGTTTTTCCCGACAATCCAATTCACTGTTCAATCTCTTATTGCTTTATCTTCCTCTCTCCTACGTCCGTCCTTCAAGCCACGGCCAAACCCTCACCAAAGTTGCTCTGTTTGTTTCTCACAACCTCTCTCTGTTCCTCTCTGTTTTCTCTCAACAACTCTGAACGTAAATAGGGTCTGTGTTTGCTAAAACCCTAAGGTGCCATACTGTTATATATATATCTAGACTTAATAAAACCCCACTCCTTGTAGGATCAAAGATAGATCCCTAATCTAAATCCTAGTCGGCCCATAGAACAAAACCTAAGTTATCATCCACGACACCTAAATTATAATCTACGGCTCCACATACGTGACGTTCAAAAGACTGTAAGTAATTAACGTAATTAAAATACAATTAATTAATGTAACCACCGAAAATCAAAATACAATTAATTAATTCAAATAAACACAATAAAAAAAATAATTCATTTAAATAAAACAATTAATTAAAATAAACCACTATTCAAATAAACAATTTGACACATAGAATTAAATTTAAATTTCAATCTTATCCTTTTGAAAACTATGGGTATTACATTAAAGTCAAACCTATCAGGAAACTTTGAGCATAAAGAAATTAATGTTACCTTATTAAATAAACATTTTTCCCCTTATTTTAGACGTCTCTTAATTTTATGGACATTAAGTTTCATGCAATTTGATTTTAATTTCAATAGAAGTGTTATTTCATTGAGAATATATCTCAATTGATTGTTAGCTAAGAATAGTACACATCTTGATGAAAATTCACATGTGTAGTTAAATTGTGAAATTTGAGTCTCTACTACAATTACTAAACCTAAAAAAATATTTGAAGTACCTTTCTCTAATGTTAAAGATTGACTATTCCTTGTCAAGTAAGCGACTTTGAGAATGTTCTTAAATAAATAAATTAATTAAATAATGTATGTGTATAATAAAGAAGTAATTTTTTTAAATTGCATAAATGTGTAATTCCAGATATTAAACAGTGGTTTGAAAATGTATTTAATTGCTTACTGAGTCGTATAAGCATGATGTAATTTAATCATGCTTATATATTTGAATAATGTTGTGATTAATTTGCAATGCTTTATTGGAAGGGGTGAACGATTACCCATTTATAAAAAAAGTTTAAGCTGTTGGGTAAAACTGGATACCCACCTATTTATACCTAACCACTTTTCCATCCAGATCCGATGTGATATATGATCCTTGTTACATTCTCCCCCACCTAAATTCGTAACACCCTCGTTGCGGCTCGGGCCACCCTGCCTACCCGGGGTGGCTCACACGGACGCCTTTCGGGCCAAGCGCTTGACGTGACACCGAATCAATGACTGAATCTGGCTCTGATACCAACTGTAACGGGTGGATGCTTGCCATTTACCTAAAAATTTAAGTTATTAGATAGTGCTGCATATCCATCTATTTATACCCAACACTTTCCTATCTAGATCCGATGTGGAACAAATGACCCCTTATAAAATTCTCCCCCTATCTAAACTCACAACGCCCTCGTTGTAGTCGGGCCATCCTGCCTACCCAGGATGGCTCACCTGGAAGCCTTTTGGGCTAGGCACTTGGCGTGACACCGAATCAAAGACTGAACCTGACTTTGATACCAACCGAGACAAATGACCCTTGTTACACTTATGTTAGTGGACTTGGTATTTATTGTTGATGTGATAATTAATGTAAGCCTAATTTTATGTGAGCGGTTGAGAATTTTTTCTACTTTCCCAGAGTACGTGTATCGGTCCCATAACACATGCACCATTCAAGTCAAGAGTGTCATTCGAAAGTGAGACCTCGAGGATTTACTTTCTGCATCCCTGCCAATTATAATCTTATGAATTGTGATATACATTGAGTTATATCAATCAAAATTGAACAAATGTATATATATATATATATATATATATATATATATATATATATATATATATATATATATAAAGGTACTTTAATTTTTAGAATTGAAATAGAATAGTAAAATAAGGCCAAATTATATAATTTGATTCGATGTGGTCCAATTTACTAGATAATATGGTTGTGAGATGAAAGGTAAAAATGAATTTACGGTTTCAACCCTTAACTAGATTTGTATAATTATTTTATTTGGAAAAGATAGTAAAACATTTAAATGATTTTTTTTTTTTTTACCACGTGATATTTCAATTGTTATAAAAAGTAAGAAATGAATGGTACAATCACAAACTTCCTCGTCCAAATTATACTATAGTGAAATCTTGGGTGAGACAAATCTTTTCCTTCTCCAGTACATGTAAAATATATATATGTATATATATTTGCACATGTTGCTGAAGAATTTTCTTCAGTGGTTTGAAGGCGTAGAAACATCATATCACAGCCATACCATAATGAGATATTTTTAATCGATTTTCCATTTCAGGCTTTAAGCAACTTAAGATCATACTCGACTTTTATGTGGGGTAGCTTTTCCCATGACAAGCAAATTTGTTTCTTTTTGTTGGGAATAACGATACGTTTAATTACCCGCAACTAAAAGCGCGTGGACTATGGTTGCAGAACAAAATGCCATAAAATGTTTTTTTTTTTATTTATATATATATATATTTTTGGTTTTTCCGGGTAATGCTGTAAACATGTGTTTGAGTTCAAACTTGACTGGTTATTTTTTTGAAAAGGTTAAACTCGACTTGTCACTACCTACGTGGATTGGTACAAATAGGCACCCATAGATTATAAGTTACATAATTTCACATCGTTTAGGTAAGGTAAAGATGAAATATTAATATGTGCTGGTTCGATTTTCAAATGGTATGAGGTCTTCTGGATAAAACTCAATAATAAAAGTGTGCGGGTTCAGACTCAAAGCAGACAATATCATACCGCGTAATAGAAAAGGGGAGTGATTGTGATGACCTTGTGTAAAGTAAATATGAAGTGCTTACATGTATTTGTTGAAGAATGGTATGAGATATTTTAGAGTAAAAACCAAGAACAAAATCATGTAGTGGAGTAGGTTGTTACACAACTTGTTTAATAACAAAAGCCGATTAGGCTTAATTTAAACTCATGTTCAAAATCATTTTTGTCTCACTCGCAAACTTATACGAGTCTATACAAACTTATATTCACGAGCATACTCACGTGCTTACATTTATGAATCTAAACAGTTCTATGTTTATGTTCGTGTTCATGAGAATACAAGTCCGTGTATATGAAGATACGAGCTTACACAAGCTTATGTCACAAGTCTAAACAATTTTAGTCAAATACGGTTGTTGGCTTATTAACTAAAAAATGAGCTCCAACTCCGCTTGTTTTATCAAAGAACAAGCCCATGCTAAGTTTTAGTCGAGCAACTCTTCATGAACCAACTTGGTTCATTTGCACCCTTATGCCTTGTGTAATGTATTTTAATTAATTTCTATCTGCTTCACAAACTTGAAAATGCCAGTAAAGCTGCATTCCCTAGTTCCCTACCTATTATTCTCTCGTTAATATATTTTTGAGGGATATTGTAAAAGAACTTTATTCTTGTGAAAATTAAAACTAATATTTGAAGCAGGAAATTTTTATTTGCACCCCAAAATAGGCCTATGTGCTCCACTTACTTTTGTTTTTCTACAATATTTTTTTTATTTTTTTTATGGTCTTGTTATGGTAATGGATACTAAGGAATTAATTCAAGGAGATATTATCTTCAAAATGGTGGTAATACTCATCTAGATTCTCATTCAAATGGGTCGTAATTTGTTTATTTATGATTATTATTATTCTAGATTTTGGTTGTTTGTGACTTTGTGTTGTTAATGTACATTTTTAAAAGCATATCTATAAATCATATGTGTAAAATAAATGGAGAGGAGATTAGTTCAGAGTCGATAAAGTTATCATTTGTAGAGCATTCTTTTTCTTCAAAGAATTTATGTACGTGTGTATATAAATAAAGTATTGATATTTTTTTTTTTTTTTGAAAGATAAAGTTAATTTATTTAAAGAGAAAAGGATATTACAATGAAGTTCAACAGTTAGCCCATAGCTAACAAGAGAACAACCAAGCAAGGCCCCAAGAGCTCAAAGGCAAAACCCATTACAATAGGAGAACAACCAGCCTAAGTGAAGAGGCCCAAGACCAACACAATGAAAAGTAGAGAGCAAGAGTTCTACAAATCAATAGGAGTGCGATCAAAGCTTCGAAACTGCAATTAGCACATGGAATAAGACTCCAACAGTGCACTAAGCATCTTATCTTCTAGGGTCAGGTGGTTTCTTTGGAGGTCGAATAACAGACTCAGGAAGCTCCCATTCAACAGCAACTCTACTAACATTGAAGGTATCAGAAATTGTTGATAAGAGAATTTTGGAGCGGATTGCTTCTAAGGTGAGGTAGAGCAAAAAGTTAGCACTGCGAGCTTTCTTCTTGAAGATTCTCATATTCCTCTCAATCCAGATGTTGTAGACAAGGGAAGCTAGTGCCAATTTTGAGACTGTATTGTTGTGGTGATCAGAATTTCCCCTCCAATGAAAGGCTGCCCAAGCAATGAGCTGAGTCCAGGAAGTAGGTTGAATATAGAATCCACAACGTGCCTGTAGAAATTTCCATAGAGGCTGGACAAATGAACAACTAAAAAACAAGTGATCATGAGATTCAGGTTCTGCATTGCACAGGGTACACATTGTGGAATTAATATGTGCTGTACATATTCTATCCAGTGTAGGCAACCTCTGCTGAATTGCAACCCAAAGTGTAAATGAGTGCTTGGGAATGGAAGAGTTGAACCATACAAGGTGGGTCCAAGGTAAACTAGGGTACTGTAGGTTATAGTAATCCATGGTTCTTGCTATGGAAAATTGGCTAAACTTGGAAGGAATCCAAATGTATTTGTCAATGCAGTGGGTTTTAAGATTAGGCAGTGAGGAGGTGTCCAGTAGTTGTGGCAAAAGGGTTGTAATGAATTGGGGAAAGGACCATGAGTTGTTGCTAATGAAAATGTTCACTTTGGTTTTGCTGTCAAATCCAGCTGAAGTAATCTGATGAGGTAATATGTGTTGATGCAGAGGGCTATGTTGACACCATTTGTCAAACCAGAAATTGAATGAAACTCCATCACCAATTTCTAACTTGACAAGAGGCTTGATTGAATCCCTAAGCCCAAGCAATCTCCTCCAAGTCCAAGAACACTGTCCAAGTACTTTAACCTCCTATACACTTCTACCTTTAAAAAGGTATGTGTGAATCCATTTGACCCACAACATATACCTTGAACATAGAATGTTCCAAAAATGCTTCATGACTGCACTTTCATTCCAAATTTGCAAGTTTGGAATACTAAGACCTCCAGCTTTACTGGGAATGCAACACTTTTCCCAAGCAACGTTGGCACCAGTCCTTTTTAGTTCAGGGCCAGACCACAAAAAAGCACCAAAAATGTTTTCAAGCTCATGTAGAATACTCATAGGAAGGATAAACTTAGAGCTCTAATACATTTGAGTTGAAAAGAGAATTGCTCTAATGAGCTGGAGCCTTCCGGCAAATAAAAGGTGCTTGCTTGTCCAGTAAGCAATTCTTGAAGTGATTCTGTCCACAAAAGTTCTACAATCATTGGCTCTTAGCATTTTAGTAATCAATGGTACACCAAGGTATCTAACAGGAAGAAGACCTTTCTCAATTCCCAGCAATCCAAGGATGTCAGTTTCCAGTTGTGTACTCACCCCTGAAAGAAAGACCTGACTCTTGCTTAGATTGACTTGAAGACCAGAAAGAGAGTAAAACATGTCCATGGCACCCTTAAGTGTTTGAATTGATGGCAGACTAGCATGTGAGAACAACATTAGATCATCTGCAAAAATTAAGTGAGACAACCCCAACTCATTGCATCTCCAATGGTACTTGAAGGACCTTTCAGCAATGAACTTGTCAACAATTGAGGTGACGCCTTGCATAACAATAGTGAAAAGGAAGGGTGAGAGAGGATCACCCTGCCTTAAGCCCTTGACACTTCTAAGATGACCACAAAGTTCACCATTAATTGAGATGCTGAAGGAAGCTGAAGATACACAAGTTTTAATCCAGCCCATGAACATAGGAGGGAAACCTAGAAGCTTTAAGGAATCAAATAGGTAATCCCAACAGATCATTCTCTTTCAGTAACTGCATGCATGTTGAAATAAAAGAAGAGATGGAATATTACTGAACCAGAAAGTCCAATCTCAACTCAGGAATATTCATACATTGTAATTAAGTAACGGCCAATCCTCATTATTTTTATTTTTATTTTTTTGGTTAAAACCAATCCTCATTATTGTTCTTTTTAAATAAATAAAATGCATTTTACTATTAATTCCATCTCATTTTACTAAAAATTGGAAAAAAAAAATCATTTTAATTGCTATTTAAGTGTGTTGAACCTCCAACAACACATCAGGCGGGAGGTCCTTCACATATTATGATATCAAATTATGCTCAAGAACATGAGCTGCAAGCTTCAGATATAGGAAGAGAAAGGGATCAGGATTCAGATCCTCAGAGTAGAGAGAGAGAGAGAGATTTTAAGACCTACGTGTTTTAGTTTACTTATTTAAAAGCGCGGTTTTTAATTACTTTAAAAACAATTTTGAGAAACAATAAAATCAAACATTTTTAATCACAAGATTTGGCTCAAGTGGTAAGTCATTTGACTCTAATGTTCCAGAAATTATCAAGTCAAAAGTTTGATTTCTCTTTAGTGCAAATAATTTTTTTCTACGTAATTAGTTAAGGAAAAAACATTTTTTGTATGTAATTAGATAAAATTGGGTAGATTAATGTGGGTTGTAATGCTCCATTTAGAGAGGGATGGTCTTTGGTTTTATTAATTAGTTGCTATTTTAGGTACAGTGTATCTAATTTCATGTAGATTCGTTTGAAGAATATATATATATATATATATATATATATATATATATATATATAGTAATTAATAAACTATGCATTTCACAGAATTATAAGCTATATATAAATAATTACAAATTAATTTGAACAACTAAACCTTTCAAATTCCAAATTTCTTTTAAGCAAGAGAAAAACACCATGATCATAAAACATGACTGGCAATCAAAAAATAAATAGTGAGTTACCTCTCATGTGAATGTGAATGGTTTTGCTATATGATGTATTTAATTCAATGCATGTATTTGTTCCGTCTAATTTCTATTATGCGTGTAGGCACGTGAGTGACAAGAGGGTGCGTGATGTGTCATGTCATATAATGTTTGGGTTTTGTTAGGATTTGTGTCAAAAAAAAAAATATTTTTATTTTAGAGGTATTTTATATTATAATAATTATTTGTGAGGGAAATCTTGACCATTAAGGATTTATAATTCTTGTCCATCATGGGCATGAAACTCTAAAAATAGATGCATGAATATTATTGAGCGGTATAAGTGGAGAAACACGTGGCACCTGGAACTCTTGGGGAATGGGTGGCAAGCGGTTGCGGGAATATGTGATATGGTGTGCGGGTTTTGTTAGTTTGTGTCAAAAATTCTTTTTCTATTTTAGAGTTATTATATGACAAATTTGTAGAAGGCAAGTTTGACCATTAAGAATTTATAATTCATGTCCACCAATAAGTGGGTATAAAATTCTAGAAATATGGTGATAGTGTCTCGCGAAATGATACAGAGTGCAGTAGTACACACGGAGCTTTAAGAGTTGTTCACAATCTTATATTAGAAATTGGGTAAAGTGCAAAAAGCAGTCTTAAAATATATTTATAATATATTTTTATATTTATGATGTGTAAAAAACACATTTAAAATTTTTATTTGTTGTAAATAGGTCTCCGGAAATATTTTTTATTCTTGAAAAAAATTATATATATAAAATAAAATTATTTACTTATATGGCAGCACCAAAGAAACCAAACACCAATGTTACAGCCAAAAACAACCTTCTTCGCAAAACGGCCGCAACAAAACAAATTTTTTCAATTTATAAGAAAGACAAAATATACGTTGAAACAAACGAAGCTTGTAGAAGGGAGTCTACTAGAAAAGAAAAAAAAAATACAAGAAGCAGTATTTTTTGCGGAGCATCCTCATGAAAATCTTCCAAAGCTTGCTGATAAGGTATTGTTGTAAATCTAGCGTAAAAATGGAAGTTGCTTGAAATTCTATCCGACAAATTTAAATTCTAAATGAACTAAATTACTTTTAGTGAACTATTTTATAAAATATATAAAAATAAATAATTTTATAAAATAACAGAAAATGACATTGTTGAAGGATGTCTCTCTCTTGTGAAAAAAACGCCCTCAAAGTTTAAATGTGATGCAAGTAGGTTCATCTGACAAATTTAAATTTTAAGTCGACTAAATTACCACTATTTTATAAAATATATATAAAATGAGTAAAATGATAGTATTGGAAGACGAAAAGTGTGAGAGAGAGGGAGCAGGGCTTCTGGGTTCTTGTTGTTCAGATACTACAAACATTAGAAAGAGAAGATTCCTATAATTGCTCAGAGAAGTACCTTTCCGGCGTAGTGGAGGAGGCGTTCGACGGTGAGGGAAATTCCCACGATGACGGTGCAGACGGTACTCCAACAAAGACCCTCTTCTGCCCTAGCCTCCTCCAGTCGTTTAAGTGGTACTGTACAGTACCCCAAAATCGAAAACTAAAAACCACACCATCCTTTTGGAGTTGCCAAATTCCTTAACAAATTTGCAACTAGTTTTGAAAATTGTTGGTTTTCTGTTAGATGTGAAAAAACGAAACTAAGTTTACCAAACGCTTTTTGTTTTGTCTCAAATTTTGAAAATGACAACCTAGCTAGTACTTGTTAGAGAAAGAGAGATAACCTGCAGACGTAGAAGACGTAGAGAAATTGATCTGCAGACAGAAACTTTGCTTACTTCTTCTTTTAAGTAAATGAAGCAAAATGGAGAGTATAGAGCAACATTAATATATATATATATATATAGATATAGATATATGTATGTGTGTGTGCGCGCGCGCCACAGAGCTAGACAGAGAGAGAGAGGTTGGCAGAGACAAGTGGTGCAGATATGAGAGTAAACATGCATGCATCCAGTTATATAGATGCAAAAAATAATATAATTAACTATTAAGGGCTTCCGTAGAATTAATTTAATTTTTTGCTTAATATATATTGTTCTTAATTACTTTATACTATAATTCCTCTATATTTTTCAGTATATATAAATTAACCAAGCGAGTGAAATTAAGAGGGTGGGAGAGAGCTGCACAGCACAACACGTAATTCCTTTATGAACTTCCTAGCATAATGGGATAGGCCTTTTTAACATGTAATTCCATGTTGGGCTTTTGTCCCCACTGAGTTTGGGCCTGGGTTCACTGTTTCTCGGCCCATTGTATTTTTTTTTTTTTAATTTATACAATATATATACTTTGCTTTAAGGTAATATATATATATACACACACACTTACATATAAACTTTTGCTTCAACTTTCAAAAAATAATAATAATAAAATAACAGAACCTGAATTGGATGTCAGAAATTCATCGTTACATTTTTTAGAGCATCCATAAGAGTATCGAAAGAAAGTGGGTTAAAGTTACATTTTTCTTTTAAAAATATTTTAAAAAAACCTGAAAAATATGTTAAATGAACATAAAATAACACTAAAAGTGATTATATTGATTATTTATGTTAAAAAAAATAAATAAAAAATTTAAAGTGAATGATCGATATTCGAACCTTCAAAAGATCAAAATGAATGTGTGAATTATATTGTATATCATAATACATATTCTATAAATATATATATTGCATTAATATTATGAGAACTACTATTGCTAGTCTGGTTTCATTTCCAATTCCCTGGGTACTTATACCCAATTTCACATTTTTCACACTTAGCTTATAATATTCTCCATTCTAAATTTTTTGTGTATTACATCTATTTAAGAAATTATAACTTAGATTTTTTAAAGACATTCAATAGTATTTCAAGATTTTTTTGTTAGAAATTCTCTATAAGTGAATCGTTAACCATTTCAGGACACTTTCGAGCTATTGATTTAAGGAAATTTCTCTGCCTTTAAGATGAAATTATGTTGGGTAATACAGTAAGGCTAGTAAAAGTGATTTATATAATATATCACCAAATGCATAACATGTTGAAAAAAACTATTTTATCATTACAACAACAACGTCAAACGAGTTCTAGAAGTTAGGGGTGCGAAGGCTCGACAACTGGAAGCAACCGATTTAAATATATATCATCAATAAAATTTACAAAATTATTCTTCAAAGTTACCTTCACACTTTAAATTTATCCTGAAAAATACTCTAGCTATCTACTTTGGATGATATTAGGATAAATTACACTGACACCCAAATAAACATTTTAACAGGTTAGGTCCAATGACCGTTTTAGTTTTAATTTTCACTTATATTTGAAAGAATGGATCCGTATTTCTCTTACACCCCAAATGGCACATTTGGAGTGGTGTCAAGTATTTTTTAGGTGTAAAATGACTATACTACTGTGTTGACTTGGGAAAGGGCATCCGAATTTTTTTCATGACAAAAATAACTCCAAGGGACCATCCAAGCAGTTGTGTACATAGGATGTTTCACATAAATTAAAAGCCGAGATGAAAATTTAGATGCAGACATTTTCTTAAATTTCAAAATAATTACATCTATATCAATTATAAGATAAGTCACATAATTCTTCTCAATGAGTGTCGCTCTCACGTTCTGAGCACTCCTACTCTCATGTTCCGCACGCACTCTCGCTCAAATTTTCACTACTTATGAAATAATTCTACCGCTCTCACACTTCCGATCTCAAATTTCCTCCCGCTCTCCCTTTGTGTAACTTAACTTATAAGGAATGCATATTAAGATGCAAGTAAGAGAGCTAAGAACACCTAATGTTACATGGCAATGGGAAAGTTCTTCACAATCTTGAATGAGTACAAAACTTCTGTCAATGGTAAAAGTTATCATTCACCTAAACTTCACACATTGATCTGTGTTTCAATATTGTTGAAAAATAACAACATAGGAGTTCACAAATAATACAAGCAAGGGATCATAGAGAAAAACACCCAACTAAAACAACATAATAAAATTACAAATTCCAGTTTCAAAATTAACAAAAATCCAGACCCATTGCCTCGAATTCCCAAATTGGCTTCAATCAAACCAATAAACTTCAACCCAAAAATCTTGAATCTTCTACACTCAAGGCAACAACTCAAAGATCTTACTAATAATAATTCCAAGGCTTGAGACGAACCTTAAAAAATGCCTATTTTGATCCCCGAAACCTAAAGAGTAAACATCAAAAAGCAAGCCGGAACCAAAAATGGGTAAGAGAGAACAATAAATTAATTAATTAAATGATTAAAACCATCGACTTTATATACACTTGCATTCCAAGTCAAATAAGCATAAATGCTTGTGAAAATGGGCATACCCAACAAGTAAATTCAAACCTCAGACAAGTAAATTCAAAGAAAAACCCTAAAACTTTAAGTTGAACAGTCAGTTGTGACCAAAAGACTCAAATTTGTCAAAGAACAAAAAAAATAAAAAACAGATGGGGGTACAAAGATAATATGATCAGAACAAAAAATGGACCCCAAAAAGAGAGTTTTCGAGAGAGAAAGCATGCCTTAATTAATAAAAAGTGATTTATGTAATGTATCATCAACGCCTAACATAAGGAAAAAATATTTTTATCATTACAAATGCATACGAAAGTTCGAAGTCAGAATTTCAAGAACAACGAAAAACAACCCAACCGCTGTGATACAAGGGCGTTCTTTTTTGAGTTTGAAAACTTGAATATATATATATATGTATATATATCTTGAGTATATACTATATAATATAAATATTGTTTCTAGTAATTAGATCAAACCATTAGTGGAGTGTATAGAATAAATCTATATTAAATATATATATATAGGTCATCGCATTCGCATCTGATATGTTTCACATGATACTGCACGTTTAATCTATGATCTACCTATCATTGTACCTTGCTTTGAAAAAATTACATGTATTTTTTTTTTTTCTTCAAATCACAAACACGGTTTCAAAAAATGCAGTAATAGGCTTCAAACATGGGTTTCAAGCTAGAAAAATTCCTTAATTCACACCATAAATGGATTCATGTTAACTGTGGACAATTATAGTAATAGGCTAAGAAGAATGGACCCGATATGATAGACATATAGAAATGTCAAATTTTAAAAAAATTAGAACAAGAACAAGACTTATAGAAATACAAAAAAATTAAAATTATAGAACTTTAATTAGTTTATAGTTTTTATACTAAAGTTACATAAATTAGATGGTGAGGACTATCTGTATATAAAAAAGAATATAATATATTATTTATAAAAATACTATTTTATCTTGTCTAGTCACGTTTTTGTTCATATTATATACTATGGTACGTGTTTATTGTCAATTTTCTAAAGAAAAAAAATGTTAGTTTTGGGGGTAGTTTTGTCACAGTATTCCAATCTAAGATAAATTTTAGAAAATGTTTGCCATCTTGAAATTGATTTGTCTTTTCTGAATGATAGGATGTTGAAAATTATGCAATCAATTTCTTGTGGACACAAAGTTAGAAAAGATACTTGCCCCATTAATTAGTTGATTCTTGTAAATTGATTTGATTTGGGGTAAACAAATTAATCAGTGCGATGTGAATCCATCACAACTGGGTTTAATTTTCGTAAAATAAGTATATATAAAAGAAAATTACAACTTAATCTTACTTTTATACTTTAAAGATAAACAAGTCCAATAAAAATTCATTAGGATAAAGAGGTCTTATTTTTGTTATTTATTTCCAACAAAGTTCTTTAAAAATTAAAATACCTATTTTACCCTTTTCATACATTAGAGGAACACTTTTTTTCTTTTCCTTTTTCTGTGCCATGTCATATTCTTCCTTATTTTCCTTGGTTCCAATTGTATTCTTCTTCTTGTGTTAAAAAAAAATTGTATTCTTCTCAACATATTCTTCTTTACTCACCATCCACCATAATTTCAAGTTATTGGTAATATTTGTATATACTTTTTAAAAATATATATATTATATTCATTTTTATTTGAGATTTGACGATTGTATGCAAATTTTGATTATGGCTCAATTTGTTTCGACATATAATATTTTACTTTTCTAAGTAAAAATATTATTTTATTTTTGAGTGTTTGGCAAAAGTATAGGTCAAGATTGAGATAGAGTCCATCGAGTGGGGTGTATAAAATAATTTATCAAAAATTAATGGATAAGTTATTTTTATTTTAAATTTTTTTTTTGGTTCATAAATATTTTACGACAACCAAACACTAAAAATATATATATATATAATTTTTAAAAAATATTTTACATTTAAACAAACGGAGTCTATATTTTACATTTTTAGGTTAGGTTTTCTGTTTTTCTTCGTATCCAAAAAGGAATAGGTTTTACTTTACATTCATTGTGGACCAATGCAAACCAATACCTAATGGGTTATGTTTGAGTAGATTTCATCAAACTACAAGAGGTCAGTAAGAAGGACTAACCCCACAAGCATGGTTGGAGTAGAGACCACTAACCCCACAAGCATGGTTGGAGAAGCGACCATTAACACATTCATTTGTGTATAAAGTCAGCCACAACAACTTCAAAAAAAAAAAACAGCACAATAAACGGATACGAGCGTGAGAACAAAAGGAAAGAGTTCATGATTAATTGGTACGTTAGTAATAAGGGTAATAGTGGTTAAAAATTAAATTTAAACTTGCTTAAAAATAAATCTCAAAAGTAGGACTTTTTTGGCTTAATGAAATTTTTATAGGACTTGTTAAGATCCAAAAGTAGAACTAGGTTAAAATCCGGAAATCTGTTAATCTAGAGTTGAGCAAACAATGAAGTCATTTGATAAAATGGATTGAAGAGTGAATGAAAAGAAAGGTTAGGACAAGAGAGAGTCCTGAGAAACAGAAATTGTGTTTGGCTCTCAAATGAAACAATTTGTGTCATTTACCAAACCAAACATTATTACCATGTTCTTCATGAAAATAAATTACCAAATCAAAAACCAATACCACCTAATATTGTTTGGTCTGGAGAGAGCTTACAAGACTCCGGCCACTATAACTATCATTCGGGATAAGAAGTTCATGTTGCCGTTTGAGAGCATCAAGAATAGGTATAAATTTATTTCAATTTCAATTTTAAGTAACCGATTCAGTGCTCCCAAACTTAGCTGAAGCACATTATCGCATCTATTTCAACAGATTCAGTGCTCCCAAACTTGGCTGAAGCACATCGACACATCTATTTCAATGTCGTCACAAAGCGTCATGGTGATAAAGTCTTGTCTATCAAGCATGAGAATGCAAGTTTACGTCAATAGCGTCCCTAATTAACTTGGACCAGAGCCTTAAGCCATGAAATGTAACAGTAAAGAGAACGGCAGGATGTTAATCACACAGGGTCTGGTACATGCCTGAAACGACTCTTGTGAAGTTAAAATACATTAATACACCATTGCCTCGTTCATGCTAACAAAAGATTAAATAGATTATCAAGGGCTATGAGGAAAAGGCAAACAAAAATCAACACCAATGTGGGAAACCACCTCTTGAAGTAACTTGGAATTTTGCCGCTATCACAAGGTTTCAAATAAAATTCATACATTTAACACTTGCTTTGTATAGAATAAAAGCAATCACGACGAAGCAAGAAGCTGCTAAAGTGGTAAAGCAAGGACCGAATGGATCTCACCTCCATAACAGTAGCAACACTGATCTCCACTTTTTCACATCCACCAGCCAGATTCGCTCCATGGTGAACACAACCAGGACAATGCAATCATGTATTGTGCACCAGTATCTTGTCAACCTGTTATAGTAGATATTCCTGTCTATTACTTTACTAGTGCCACACTGTATACATATGTTGTTCTATAATCAACTGCAATGGCATTTTTGAGGAGTGATCAAACTTCAGCATAACAAGCTTCATGTTCTTTCCCTCCGGTTTATCACAGATTAACATTACTTTTATGCATCTGTTAACCTGTTTCTCTTCCAGACTCGGAAGAAACTTTCCACAGTTGAAATATAACTTCATTTCTCACTTCTATAGAGTTTAAACTTCGAAATTCATCAGTGCATGAAATGGGACTGCATATAATTCTAATTACTAGTTAACTAGCCGTTGCTTCTAAGTCTAGAAGAATTAATACAGGATTCTGTGGTCCACAGTCCATGCATTCAATCAATTCAAAATCTTAACTAGCACAATAAAGGTAAATGATGCCAATGTTCCTACAGAATAAGTTGCAAATACTCCAACTCGATGGAACAGAACAACTGATGTCGAGCTAAGAGCACCTTCATCGGGAAATGAGGAAAAAGGGGCAAGGAAAAAAGAAAAGAAGAAGAAAGTAAAGAAACTAACCAGCTATCCTTCAGTCTCGGATTTCTTACTACAAGTAGCAACACATTCAACTGGTTTTACCTTGTGGTTGCTCTTGCGCTCATGGATGAATGGTAATTGGTGCTTCTCTGTTTCCTATAAGAAGTATAAACATCATCATATTGACTTTCCTCGTTTGGATTAGCTGTGGCACCAAGTCCCAACCGTCCTGAGCCACCTGATCCAGGTTTCCGCTCTACACTTCCATCAGGAAAAGTCCCTGTTTCCGGGTCAATTTGTAGATTAGGTGGTGGAGGGATGCAAGCTCCACCCTTGCGAATGGGAGGCTCTCTCTCATACTCATCATCTTCGTCGTTTGGATCAGATGGTTTCATGGGTCCCTCAGAAGGGTTAACCTCTCCAATTTCTTTGAAGAATTTTGAAACTCTTTCGAGAGTTTCAGATGGTGATGCATTGGAGGGTGGTATTACAGTCGGGATATCCAAAGGACTCATGGGAGAGTAAGGCACTCCACTGCCAATCTGCATCTTTCTGACCATTCCAGGAATAAGACCAGGTGGGAACAAAGGGTATGGAGGCAATTTTTCACCAACGTTAGCAGCTGGTGTGGGCAATACATGAAGCGCAGGTTGATGAATTGCTGGTTGAACAGAAGATGGTGCGGACCCCACGAAAGCACCCGTGGGGACTGCATTTGGAAGAAATGACTGGGCTACCAAGGACGGTACGAGAGGAACTTGTTTATCAGGATGTTCTTGATCTGGAAAATGTGAAACCGAACTTTGCTTATCGGGCTGCCACTGTAGGATATTATGATTTGTTGCCTGCTGTGACATTCCTGCATGAAAAACAAAAACTAGTAACTCTTAACAAAAACCTCCCAAAATTTTCATGGACAAACCTGGAGACAGCTTATGCCGACTACTGGACAAACTCCAATATTTTGGGGTACAACTTGGGTAACAATTATATTGTTTTTCAGGGGAGAGAGAGAGAGAGAGAGATACCTGCAGCTGAGGGATCTGTTATAGCAGCAGATAATTCCTTCAGAGGCCCAGGAAAAGAACTTGCCGGTGGTCCACCCATCATCTCATTCTCGAGCACACGAATAGTATCATGATCATAAACTTCCTTCGAGGCCCAGAATTGTAGAATTTTCTGTAATCGTGACTGATTTTCCTCCTTATTTTGAGGGTTGTGGTAAATCCTTGCAAGCATGGAACCTAAAACAGGCTTAAATGCAAGAGCCTCATTATCAAGGTTGTGAGGGTCAATCCGTCGCTGCAAGCTGCATAGATTCAGAAAGATCTGGAAATAGTTATTTGCTAGAATTAATGCACAAACTAACTAGTTACAAGATTCAAAATTATAGGCAGTAATCAAAAAAATAAAAATAAAAAATAAAAGGGCAAATTACACTGACACCCCTTCAGGTTAGGTCAAATCTCACATAGATGGACATTTTGGTAAACCAAAATGTTGGCAAACCAAAATGTCCATCTACGTGAGATTTGACCTAACAAACATGTCCATCTAGTGTAATTTGCCCAAAATAAAATCTCCTGGTGCTCATCACAATAGTGATACTCTCCTGAAGCCAACCTAGTTCTTAAAACTCCATGATGAAATTTGTTGTCTAGCCAGAAGGAAGCACCAGGGCAGATTGTTAGATATTGTCAGTGCAATAGCATTGTATCGAATTAAACAGTATCACATTATTTAATATATGTTAAATATGTTCATAATGATCCACAACAAAATATTTTTAAAAAGCGTGAATTAAATAAAAAATAAAGAATATATGAAATAATAGAAGAAGATAAGAAGAAGAGTCTTAATATGATTTAAGTTCTTTTTTTTTTCTTCTCATAAATACGATTTAAATTCTTTCTCGTTATTAAATCTATTTTTACATTATATTTAATGTTGGACTTGAGTCTAAAGAATTTACAAGTAGTAATATTAAGTAAGGAACGAAATATATAGTAGAATGAATTTCTATTAGTGTGGCCTTAGGTGGTGGCCTAGCCTTCTAGCTGGCCCTGCCGTAACATTTTGTGGTTAATCATTCTCCTTTTTGTAAATGATTCCAGATTATTGGTCATCAATTTCATCATGCTCAAAAGAATTGCACACATCAAACACATCTTCAATCAATTCTTCCGTTTTTCAACCCCAACTAATTTTGTCACTTAAAGGGAAAAAAAAGAAGCATTTATATATATATATATATATATATATATATACACAAAGTTCACTGAAAGAGGCAATTATGTTCTATAAGAATGAAATTTGCTGACAGAAAGAGGCAATTATGTTCTATAAGAATGAAATTTGCTCAACAAGTGAAATGAAAAGCAAACAAAAATTGCCAAGAGTTTTCATTCTTTTTTGGTGTGCGTTGTGGTTGCACACACGTCTTTGTGTGTGTGTGTGTGTGTGCGCGCGCGCGCGAGAGAGAGAGTGAGATGCTACTAAGTGATCAATTAAATTGAAATAGAATAAAGAAACATTATAGGACAATCACAGAACAATTCAATGTAAGGCTCGTTTCTGGATGCTCAAATTTATGTTTCACTAAAGAATGCAAGAGCACTTAAGAAGTACCTGTCAAATAGTATGTCATTAGCGAGATAAATTATGTGCAATTGTCTATCAGAATCATCCATGGTGAACACTCTGTCTCTAAGTGACTCAGCAAGAGCAGGTGCAAATGGAGACCTCTGCATAAACCAGATCTTGGCACCTTTAATCGACTCTTTAGTACCAGTGAGATTGCTAAGTACATTATTCAGCTCCATTGCAACATCAGAAGGAAGTGGTCCAGACAGACCTTTAAAGGACCTAGAAGATTGATCGTAATCTGGTCGACCATGACCAACAAAGGGCTGAGGATGCTGCTGCTCATAGAATGGTGGAAAGGGAGATTGGTGCATTTGAGGTGCACCCAACCCAGCTGCAGGTGATGCATTTAGCGGAGCATTCAAAGAGGATTGATTAATCATAGAGTTAGGAGGATGCATCATAGGTATAGAAGAGGAGGGGAAAGGAGGATTGAAAGGACCACCTGGAGGCCGTGTCGATAACCAAAGCTTGTAGCGGTAGTAGTTATGCCCCTCACCACCAAAGAGGAAACTATAAGCAGGATTATCTTGTTGTTTTTCACGGATCATGGCCTCAAATTCAGGGCCATTCTTGGCAGAATACTCGATAAGCTTATCAATACGCTTTTGTAGTTCAGGATCAGAAGGGGGAGCAGGAGGGGGTGATGCAGAATCATATGGACCAAGGAAAGGTGAAGGAACAAGATGAGGGGGTGGATGCGGAGGAAAAGCTGGCGGCGACTGCTGATGCTGCTGAAGATGAAGAAGATGAGGATGGGATTGAGGATGTGGATGGAGTTGTGGTTGCTGCATGTGGCGATGGAAAGGGTACTGTTGGAGAGAATGATGTGGGGGTAAGAAAGGAGGACCATGCACTGATGGAGGGAACTGTTGATGTTGTGGATGGAAACCAAATTGTTGCTGCTGTTGAATATTAGCTGCTTGTTGCTGCTGTTGGGCAAATGCCATAGCAGCAGCAGCTGCATAATCATGAGCCTGTCGATCCATCTACCTTCCAGAAAAATTAGCTGAAGAAGAATACTCAAGCTCTGGGAAAACAACTAATTTACCTGACCAAATAAACAAAACAGAATAAATATAATAAACTAAGACAAAAGTCCATTATTAACAATAGCAAAAAGGATAAGTAATTAATTTTAAATAGAATTATAACAAATACAAGACAATATCAATATCCCGTGATAATAAAAACTGACCCTACACAAATAAATTCAAATGCTACATAATCTGGAATAATGAGTGATCAGATTCAGGTCACCCGCAGATCATGGTCTTACTACTTAGTCCCAGCTGGGTATTCAGTATAGCAGCTCACCTTCATTTGCACTACATGTTGTTAGCTGCTCGAAATATGGCTCTTGAGCAGTGGACAGTGGTGACATAATGGGCTTTCATTTACCAGTCAACATTCTCCCACATTGGCTTAGTTGGTGCCACCAATAATAGATGCATTCCTAAATACATCATTTCTTGTCCTCAGTTGGACCTAGCCCTAAAAATCAAATACACACACACACACACACACACACACACACACACACACATATATATATATTTTTACATCCTGTAGCCATATTTTCTGGGTTGCCCATCAATCTGAAACATAAAGCACAGTTTGTTTGTGAAACAGACAGGCCTCGATTAACTTGAGAATTGAGAGCCATCATTCTATGCAGAAGACTCTGACAAAGTGGAAGTAACAGTCTGTGGATGCCACTCAGTAAGTATGTTCAAAGAAGATCCAATGTTTTGATTCAGGAACAGATGCCTTACATATGCCTAAAGTCTAATGGGACACGGTGTCACATTAAGTTACAGCTGCACCTTATCAGTGACTGATATGAAGATACAAGAAACAGTTCAAAATAGAGAGCTTAGCCACTATTAACTTAGTAATGAATTAAGAAGTTTTGGGGATTGAAAGACCTGTCCCCACTGTTTTTAATTCGTCAATAATTGTCAATTCTGTTATAAATAAATAAAAAATCCTAGAATCTCTACGAAATTTATCAGAGGAACAGCAATAATCTGATATCTCTTAAAGAAAATTAAAAATAAACTTTTTTTCACTTATTTTGAGTCTCAACAGGTAAGTTTATAAACAGGGTCATTACTCTCCCTTCTATTCCTTTCTTCTTTTCACACACACATAAATAAATAAAATAAAAATATATATTTCATTCATCTCTTTCCTTTAGCCCTTAGTGTCACCGAAAGGACCAATTTTTTTGTATCACTGTGAGCTTTTAACCCCAAAAATTGTTCAATTGCTTTCTTTTTTGAGAAATTTTCCATGAAAAAAGAACAAATTCCCTATAAAATAACTGAGTTTCAATGAAACAGACAATAAAAGAAAAAACCTAAGCGCTGATTGTAATAAGCAGAAGAAGAAAGCGTGAGGGTAAATAGATCTATACATCGTTTCTTATCGTGTAAAATCAAGGAATTTATGGGTAACAGAATCATCGTCAGCCAACGCGAACAAATAGAAACCCTAGAAAATATATATACAGAGAGACATATGTATGTATACCTATTGAATCCACAGTTCATCGTCTCCGTCTTCATCGTCTTCTTCTCTTCTGCATTCTCGTCTAACTATGAGCACAGAGCCCTCCTTTTGCCCTTTTTATTGTTTACACACTGAGAGCCCCTTGTTGTCTTAAATTTCACTTTAAGCCCCACTAACTATAAAATTAATCATAAATACCCTATCCTCTATCAAAAGTTCTTTTAAATAAATATCATGCACAAAATGTTTTAAATGTATCGGTGGCCAAAGTACCAAAATAACCATCACTTTTTATACTAATCCTTTCATTATTTTTTCTTTTTTTTCAATTTTGAATCTTTATTATGCTATATAAAATCTCATAACAGTTTAAGCTAATTCTTTTTTTATTTAAAAAAAAACAAATATAATTCTAATAAATAATAGTTACATACACACAACCTAGTTTAAAAAGAAAGATTTAATGGTATTTATAGTCTGAGCAAAGGCTAAATATTCTACTCTATTTGGTTGAATTGAATAATGCATTACATTTTATAATTTGTTTTTTTACCAGAGGAGGAGGTGAGTCGAAACGTGGCTCTCTAACTACACATGGACAGTACCCTACCACTGAGCCACCAGCTCACCTCCTTCCTTTCTTCATTCCACAACTATTCTCCTTTTTTCGGCCACCCTCTTTCTTATTTTCTATAAAATGAAAATGAGATTATAAATAATAAATTATGCACAAATAGAAATCAAATATTCAAAATTTAAATTTTGTGCAACTACATTTACCTACATTACAGCTATGCAAGTTTTCTCTTTTTTTAGAGTAGGCGTCCATGGTTTCATTCTTTATTATTATTATTATTATTATTATTTATGCACACTTACTTTTCTTCAAGTTTTCCTTCATTATTATACCACTAAAATCAATAAACTAGTGATATTTATTCTTCATTAAACAGAATCATGAGAAATTATTGTATGGACCAAGTCCATACACCTCACTTGGCTGAGTTGGTGGACTACACCAATTAATTGTAGACACGTGTAATAAAAAACTATTTTTATATTCAATTTGCCACATTAGCAATATCTCCCTCCTCTTTCAGCCTTCCCAATCGACTCCATCTATTATCGTTCTCAACTCTGAACTTGCCTTCTCTCTCTCTCTCTCTCTGTGCAACTACAAACTACAAGCTACGAGAATCAAAACTCATATATTTCAGTTTATCTATCTGTCTGCAAGAAACAGAAGTTGAAAACCCATATCGGCATATCATTTCAGATTGTTCAAAAAATAAAAAACCCATATCTTTCAGTTTCCATCGCCTGCTGTTCCATATCTTGTTTGGAACATACATAAAGAATCAGTGGCCACAACCGGGGAATCAGACCCTTTTAACTCACCATCGTTTTAGAGAGAGAAAGAGGAGAAAGACTATTGGGTTTTGAACTTCTGATTCTTGTAGATTTTGTAGTTTGCAGTTGCAGAGAGAGAAAGAGAGGGCAAGAAATGGAAACTGATTGGGAAGGAACAGCAGGCGATGGAAACTGAAAGATATGGGTTTTGATTTTTTGAACAATCTAAAATGATATGCGGGTTTTTAACTTCTGATTCTTGCGGACAGATAGAAAATAATTTTTTATTCTAAAGAAGAAAGAGTGGCAAATTGAATATAAAAATAATTTTTTATTACATGTGTCTACAATTAATTGGTCTAATTGGTATAGTCCACCAACTCAGCCAAGTGAGGTGTATGGACTTGATCCATGCAATAATTTCTCCAAATCATGGACACTAGCATACGCGTAAAGTGTGCAGTGAAAATGTGAATGTGGAGATAGATTTACGGTATAAAAATGATAGAATAAAAAATAAACATTTGGAGATGGCTGTAGTAACATAAATTGGGGACAAAATTAGAAAAAAATAATAATAATAATGAATGGTTATGATAGTTAGAAAGAGTGATATAGTCCACGTTTAGGGTAATAGCATGTAATTCGACAGGTTTATGGCTTTTATACAGAGCCAAATGAAATTATAACCAAGTAATTAATAAAAAAGTTTGTTATTGTTATTGTAAAATAGAGAGTTATGTTAAAATTTCTAAAGAAAAAATGTGGTTGACTGCTTTTGTTGTCAAAATTAAGCTCTATTTGTACTGATGTAAAATATTTTTTTCGTAAAAAATATTTTATTTTTTAGGTAAAACATTTTTTTTATTTGTCCACTTGAAGGGCCGTATAAAATAACTTGTCGAAATTGATGAGTAAATTATTTTTGTTAAATTTTAATATATTTTTTTATTACTAAATATTTTAGGATAATCAGACACAAGAACAAATGGAGCGAAAAGAATTTTTCTATTTTATTTTGTCTTACACCATTATTCGATACGTGTGTTTAGGCTTTAAGCGGAACCAATCCTGTATCAGCCCAATCTCACAGCCCAACGCTTTTCCCTAACTAGGGTTTCCATTCCGTTTTGGACCCGTTAAAATATCTCCCATAAATACAGTAGCCCAACCCAAAACCCCAAAACCCTCTGAGTCTGAACTCATTTCCCACAAAACCCTTTACCCCTCCCCCCAAGCCCCCCCCCCCCCCCCCCCCCCCCTTCTCTCTCTGGGCGACAAACCATCCCAATGAAGCCATGGTCTCTCTCTCTCTCTACATTTCTCCTTCCGAAGTAACCCGTTTGAATCTGGTCTAACGTTGTTTTGGTTTTTGTTGAAAATGATGTTTCAGAGAACAGTATTCCTATTTGGATTTCTTCTTTGAAAGCTTTGATGGCGATTGTTCAGCAGATGCACAGAAGCTTATTTGCCGCCTCTAATTATCGCCTTTTCTTTGGGAACTTCTCCAACTATTCATTTCTGCTTCAGCCTATCACTTTGAAGGTTCTCAGTTCTATTTCCTTTCCATATGTATATATATGAATTTGTTGATTTAGGTGAGAAATGATAATTCAAAATGATGAATTAGACTAAGAAGAAATGTTAGGAAATATGACAAATCCCAAAGTAATTCATGTTATTCCTAATGTGTGATTCCGAAAATATTGATACATTTTATGGTTACACTCTTATCGTTAAACTTTTGTTGTCATATGAAGTAAGTATATGACTGGGATCCAAATGGTGCTGACAGCATGAAGACGTGAACTTAGATATTTTTCATACAAGTGGAATGCTATATATGGAATTGGAATTGTTGAACTCATTTTCTTTCAATTCCAATTCCACGTTTCTAAATGCAACATTATTTTAATTGGTGAAAAGAATTGCACTTTACAAGCCTTGCGGGGTATGTATGTTAATTGGTGGAATCGGCAGTTTGGTTGAACAAAGCAAAAGCTTTTAAGTGGAGTTTACTGGCCTGTGCTATTTTTTTTTATTTATAAAAAAAATAGTTTTTTCTTGTTCATGTCATTGTCTATATGTTCAATGATACGATCTTATTATGTAGAAAATACATTTCTTGTGGACTATTTTTTTTGCTGGAAGTCCATACAGATTGATTGTTGCAATAATACTTTCAAATCAATGGAAAAACAACCGTGTTTGTTTCGAATTGAAAGAAAGATGATTTTTTTTTTGTGTCAAGCTATTTTAGTATGTCATGGTACTTTTTTCTTTGTTATTTTTCCCATGTTAATAGTTTTATTATTTTATGGAATTGGTACTACACTTGCAGAACAGAATGTTGCAGAATTTCCCAGCCACAGGTTTACGGTGTTCGTCATTTGGCACTGGTGCTACAGATGAAAAATACTCAAAGCTCAAATTTAAAAAAGTCAAGATTTCTTGTATTATAAAAGCCAATCAACCAAATGTTCTCAGACTAAAGTCTGAGCGAAATACTCATATTTTTGGAAGCGTTGCTGATGAGTCCAGGTGTGCCATTACCGTCCAGCCCCAATTAAGAGTTGGCCTCTGTACAACTGGCATTCCCAGGAATATTTTCGGTTGTGGGTCATTGGGTGGTGGTATCAGATTGAGTTCACCTTATTATGAAGCTTTTGCAAGGAGGTCTTTCTCTAAGATTCCAAAAGCAGTAATGAATAAAAATGGTAATTCAGGTGTCACAGATGGAAGGACCGGTGGGAATACTTTGTCCAAAATATTTAATAAGAATTGGAAGCAGGCAAAGGGATCGGCTGTTCAGAGGAAAAATGTCAAACGCAAGGTGGCAGTTGCAGCTTCCATTCAGGCAAAGGGATCGGCTGTTCAGAAGAAAAATATCAAACGCAAGGTGGTAGTTGCAGCTTCCAATCAGGCAGCTCCCAATCAGGCAGCTTCCAATCAGGCAAAGGGATCGGCTGTTCAGAAGAAAAATGTCAAACGCAAGATGGTAGTTGCAGCTTCCAATCAAGCAGCTTCTAATCAGGCAAAGGGATCAGCTGCTCAGAAGAAAAATGTCAAACACAAGGTGGCAGTTGCAGCTTCCAATCAGGCAGCTTCCACTCAGACAAAGGGATTGGCTGTTCAGAAGAAAAATGTCAAACGCAAGGTGGTAGTTGCAGCTTCCGATCAGGCAGCTTCCAATCAGGCAAAGGGATTGGATCTTCAGAGTAAAAATGTCAAACGCAAGGTGGCAGTTGCAGCTTCCAATCAGGCAAAGGGATCTGCTGTTCAGAAGAAAAATGTCAAACGTGAGGTGGTAGTTGCAGCTTCCAATCAGGCACTGGGAAAAAGTGGTTCTAACTCTAAAATTTCAGCTGTTAAAGATGTTGATATGGTGAATTCGGGAGGGCAGCCAGTTGGGAATGGCATGAAAAATCTGAAGCAGCAGTCAAGTAAAACAAAAGCTAATGGAAAACTTAAGCAGCAGTCTAGAAGCAAGACAAGTGGTGAACAATCTTTGTCCAAACTATTTAATAAGAATTCTGGCACTAATGCTGTTTCTGATGTGGCAGCTGAGCAAAAAAATTCCAAAAGAGCTTCTCAAGCAAAGAGTCAAAATCTCACAAAGAATAACCAATCTCCAGCAGCTTCAGAGGTTAGAAGTTTTTTACTTTCAGACTTATCAAGTTAAGCGTTTATCTCATTGCAATATGTTGGCTAACGCTGCAGTTTTTCAGAATAATTCAACTGGGAACACCCCCGTCAAAGTAATTGATAGTTCTGTTTCAGCAAAGCCGCAATCCAAAAAGACAACTGGGAAAACTCATAAAAAGGGGAAACCTATAAAAGGAGCTAATGTACTTGTGAAGTCCATTGAGGAACTTCAAGCTTCATCTGCCCATAAATCACAACAGAAACACACCCCTCAAGTGACAGGCAAAGCTAAGACCCAGGGACGGAGGACAACAAAGCATTTGTATCCTGCTACTGGTAAATCTGTTGTGGTGGTGGAGTCTGTCACAAAGGCAAAAGTTATCCAGGGCTACCTTGGCGATATGTATGAAGTTATACCTAGCTATGGTCATGTAAGAGATTTGGCTGCAAGATCAGGGTCTGTGCGGCCCGATGACGACTTCAGTATGGTATGGGAGGTCCCAGCTGCTGCCTGGACTCATCTTAAGAGTATCAAGGTTTCTCTAAGTGGGTACGATATCAGCTCTTTTTTCTATCACCATAAATGTATTTTTCAAAATGCATGATATGCAAAATTATACATGTTGCTCAGTTTTTGGTTTTGAAGTGGCATCTAGTAAGGTATTCTAGATGCCACTCTTCCTCAAATCTCTGCTATTTTCTTTTTGCTTATATACATTTTTGTGATTTTTAGTTGGCCGCTAATATCTATCTTGTTCTGCCTTGTTTTTCAGAGCAGAAAATCTTATTCTCGCATCAGATCCTGATCGTGAAGGAGAGGCTATTGCTTGGCACATCATTGAAATGTTGCTGCAACAGGATGCTCTACCTGAAGATATCACTGTAGCTAGGGTTGTCTTTAATGAAATAACTGAGTCATCAATCAAAAGCGCGCTGCAGACTCCAAGAGATATTGATGTAAATCTAGTCCATGCTTATCTTGCACGGCGAGCTCTTGATTATTTGATTGGATTCAGCATTTCACCATTGTTATGGCGTAAATTACCTGGTTGCCAGTCAGCTGGACGAGTCCAGTCTGCTGCTCTGTCTCTTGTGTGTGATAGAGAAATGGAAATTGATGAATTTAAACCACAGGAGTATTGGACAGTTGAAGTTTTTTTTAAGAAAATGGAACTAGGTTCTTCAGTGAATAACTCTTCTTTTTCATCATACTTGACCCATCTTCATTCAAAAAAGGTTAACCAGCTTTCAATTAGCTCTCTTGCATACGCTAAAGATATTGAACAGAAGATTAACCTGTCGAACTTTGAAGTCATTGGCTCTAAAAGAAACAAAATGCGAAAGAACCCTCCCATTCCATATATAACATCATCACTTCAGCAGGATGCTGCAAACAAGTTAAATTTTCCAGCGACATATACAATGAAACTGGCACAGAAACTGTATGAGGGGATTCAATTATCAAACGGCAAGGCAGCAGGATTGATAACATACACCAGAACAGATGGGTTGAACATTTCTAATGAAGCAGCAAAGGACATTTGCTCATTGATCATTGAAAGATATGGACAAAGTTTTGCATCAGAGACTCCTCGCAAATATTTTAAGAAGGTGAAGAATGCTCAAGAGGCCCATGAAGCTATTAGGCCCACAGATATCCGGAGTTTACCTTCAATGCTTGCTGGAGTGCTTGATGCGGATTCCTTGAAGTTATATGCTCTTATTTGGGCTCGTACGGTGGCATGCCAAATGGAACCCGCTATTATTGATCAGTTACAAGTTGATATTCAGAATGCTGGTCATTCCATTGTTTTTCGATCTGCATGCTCAAGAGTTGAGTTTCTTGGATACCGAGCAGTGTATGGAGATTTGGAAGCTAAAGCAATCAAGTATAATGAAAATGAAGGAAATGACCGTGAAGAAAATTTTAAGGTTCTCAGTAATTTGAAGCAAGGGGATCCACTGTGTCTTTGTAAAGTTGAACTCAACGAGCATCATACACAGCCTCCACCACGCTACAACGAAGGATCATTGGTTAAAAAATTGGAGGAACTTGGTATTGGAAGACCTTCTACATATGCAACTACGTTGAAAGTGTTAAAGGATAGAAATTATGTGACAGTAAAAAGTCGGACATTATACCCAGAATTTCGTGGTCGTATGGTGTCAGCATTTCTTTCTAACCATTTTTCTGAGGTCACGGATTATAGTTTCACTGCAGATATGGAGACTGAGCTTGATAACGTTTCTGCTGGATTTACTGAATGGAAAGGCCTCCTTAGAGATTATTGGACAAGATTCAGCAAGTTTTGTGACCAGGCTGCTAAAGTACATATTCATGAAGTGGAGAAGATGTTAGAGAAAACGTTTGGGGATTTCTTGTTTGCCTCTCTACCTGATGAAAGTAGGACATGCCCAAGTTGTCAGGAGGGCACTTTGATTTTCAAAGTTAGTAGGTTTGGTGCAGGCTATTTTATAGGTTGTGATCAACACCCAAAGTGCAAGTGAGTATGACTTCACATGATTTCAACTCTTTTTTTTCCCCTTCTATTTTCATATATTAATTCATGACCAACAGGCTAGTGGCCTAGCGGTATCAGCCTCTTACTTCCCAAAGGGAGGTCAGGGGTTTAAGTCTCAGAAGGGACAAGTGTGTGTGAGTGCCAACTAGTAAAAAATATATTAATTCATGCTGCTTCCAACTTTTTCATGTACTGCTCACGATAAAAAGATATATTCTTTGTGTGTGTAATTCAGATTTTCTATTTTCTTGGTATAATTTGGTATGCTGTATTCCAAGCTTTCACTGTAGTCCATGTGACCGACTTGTTCAGCCACTTGTTTTGGCTATTGGACTCTGTCTTTGTGCTTTGTGAACTGTGAAGTAAGTAATCAGACTTTTTTTAGTGTTCTTGATTTATGTGGAGTAATGGTATTTAGTGTTCTTTATATGGCTGTGTAGTTGTGCTATATATCATGTATGTTTTTGTATAAGAGTTTTTTTTTATAATCTTTTACATGTGTTGAATATTTTGTGGGATTTGAAAATGAACTGGAGTTGGAGGTTATACATATATATATATGGAGTTTTAGTGTCATTAGATGTACACTTACCAATGAAGTCACTGAAGTGGTGCAAGAGATGATTCGCTGGTTGGAAAAGAGGCAATTTATTGAAAAGGGGAGGCTAACTCTTTTTGATTGTAACCTTCCTGTGTACCATATGTCCATATGTGGCAAATAGATTAGAAGCTTCAAATAGATTTCCTGGCAGGTGGTTTGGGCTTTGAATTGAAATATCATACAGTGGAGTGGGATGCAGTTTACGCCTCCCATTTGGAGAGAGGGTTCCAGCATCAAAAAGTGTTGGTTGTGAAAGCAGCTCTATTAGAAGTGTAGGTTGTTGGCATAGGAAATACAAATGCTTTCAGGTGGTTTGAGGATTCAAATACTCAATGGATTCAAATGCAGTTTGTGCTTCTATTAGGAGAGAGTGTTCCGGTATCAGAAACCTTAGGTTGTGAAAACAGCTCTATTAGAAATGTGGTTGCTGAGATATGCAGAGGACAAAGGTTGCATGGTGGGGAATTTGGTTCATAGGAAATACTAGTGCTAGGACTGATTGGACTATAAATGAAGTCGGGAGTTCTCATTGAACCAAACTATGGAAAGGCATTAGTATGGGAGAATTTCTTACCAGTAGTAGAGGGGGTGTGTAATTGGCGTGACACTTGGTGTGGGGATATTACTGTATGAGTGGTGTGTTCTTAGATCCTTTTACCATTGCTGTGGGCTAGGAGTTCATCGCTACGAAATGTAACTGGTATCCGTCAGAAATTGGAGCAATTTGGGATCCTTTGTTGAGCAGGGTTGTACAGGACTGGGAGTTGGTGTCCGTGGAATCTTCTTTGGCTTTTTATGCCGTCATACCGTCACAGCAATAGAGTAGATGCTTTGAGGAGGAAGGCTTGAGTGAAAATGGAGATTGCTGGTTCCCATAGAAGATATTTGCTAGCTAGAGTGTGTTCCGAGGCAGCTTTTCCTTTCATGGTTTACCTTGGATGACTGCACTAGAGAGATTTCTAATGAGAGCAAAGGTGGAGTATGGTCCTAATTAGATTGCGTGTGGAATGGAGTAAAGGAGACAGTAGATAATTTGTTGGTGCACTTCGGCTAACAGAGCTATTGACTCTTATTGTCAGCAGTCAGTTTGGAGAGACATAATACTACAACTGAATTTTTTTTTAAATTCAAGGAGGGCTTGGCTCCGAGGAAATTTTTTGATCCCTTTTTGCTCATGGGTCGTGGACCCTAATTTGTACTCTCTTGTAGTCCGATATATAAGTGCATTTAGGGTTTGGAGTGAGTTGTGAGAGAGACATTGAAATTCGTACAGAATAGACTGAGGGGCTGAAACTTGTAATCTCTAATTTTACACATAGTGAAAACTTTCAATTGTTTTTCTTTTTTGAGATTCCACTCTCTAAACCATACTTCCTTCAATTGTTTTTCTTTTTTGAGATTCCATTCTCATGAATGCATGTCTACCACTAACAATGTACACCATATTTATCGTAACATACAACATATTCCATGTGCTTCTCCATGCTGCAGTATTGTAGGCAATTGTATGGATTTGCAGAACAAACTGATCCATGGGCTGCCTCATGGACCCTAAACTGTTCTCTCTTTAAATAATAACTTCATGAATACCATGTAGGTTGATTTAGTTTTTCTTCTTAATTTTCTTGTTCATTAATTGTAGGAAATAACATAGTAAGTGGTTCTTCACATTTCATTTATTTAATTAGAAGTTACTTATAAAAATAGATTTATTTAATTATAAGTTTGTTTGATTACAGACAATTTTGTGATATTTCATCCTTTTTATTTTTTATTTTTTATTTTGTTGCCACTGTAATTTGCTGCAATGTTTGGATTGGTGTACAGGTACATTGCCAAGACATTGTATGGTGATGATGACGAAGAGGATGCTCCTCAAAATAACAACACGGCTGAGGAGCCAAAAGTGCTCGGTCTAAATCCGGGTTCTAATGAGAAGGTCACTTCGGGTCTTGACTTATCATTTGATCAAATCAGCATGCATTTTCAATTTTTACTGAAGTTTTTTGTTTCTTTCAATATATTTGTTGAAACTTGAAAATATTATTTATCTTTCAGGTCCTGTTGAAGAATGGTCCTTATGGGTATTACGTGCAACTTGGTGAAGACAGGAAGGGTTACACACCTAAAAGATCTTCTATTTGTCAAGTATGTATAGACTTCTGCATTTATAATGTGACTGCAAACATTTTAGACTCCTTACCTATTGCCATTGTTTCGTATGCAAATCTATAACCATCTCTGCTTTCTTTTCCTTTTTTTTCCCATTTGGTACTCACCCTCCAAGGAATTGTTTGCACCCAAGAGGATTCGAACCTTAGACCTATCTCTGCTTTCTTTCATATATTGCTACCTATAAGAACCAATCAATATCTTCAACCAATATAAAATTGGCAGTGTTATTTCTTTTACGCTGGGGAATCCTTAAAATTCTGTTTTTTCCCTTTTCTTTTCCATCATAATATTACATATTAACTTTTGACTAAAAATGACACAAAACAATATATATACACAATGTCATTAAATATACCCTGTGAGAATAATTATTTGACATACTATTCCATTTTAACTGATTAAGAATAAAAACATAAAGTAGGAAAAATTAAATGTTTAACAAAGAGTGTACCTGTCAGGACTATGTCTTAAGTATCAAAACCTCACTCTTGCCCAATTTGTTGAGGCCAAGAGTTGTGGCACTGGCCTTTGGACTTTATGGAGGCAGAGCACACAATGAAGATTTGATATTTGATGCAATGCCAAAAGTCTATTCCGTGTAGGAGATTTGTCCACATTTTAGTCTAAGGATGGAGAAACAAGATTAATTGCGGGGAGGAGGAGACGTGCCACATGGGTTGTTGTAGTGATAGACACATGGCAAGATTAACTGTGAAAACGATATGTTATCTGGCAGACATGGTGAGGTAGGGTCCAGGACCTTCATCATGTTAGTTCTATCAGGCGTGAGAATATAGGTTGAATCTCAGAATTGTCACTATGTAGAAAGCACGGAACACGGATACGATGCGACACGACACGGAGGCAAATCCTTAAAAGTAGGACACGGACATGGCAGGGACACGATGAATAATAAATATATATATGATGTTGTACTTTAAGAAATTAAGAGTAATATTATTTTTTTATCAACCTAATAGTGAAAACAATTGTTTTTTGGTAGGAATAAGAGAGAATGATAGAAAGAACAGGGGCGGAGCCAGAAATTTCAATTTTGTGGGCGGTGGGAATTAGTACTATGTAGTTGTAATTTGAAAACATTATAAATCAATTGTAAGATATTTTTCTATATTAGTATTAGTATATATATTGAGGAAAATATAATTTGAAAAATGATAAAAATGCAACTTAATAAATAGAGACAAAATATGAAAAGGAAAAACACATAGAGAAGAGAAAATAATAAATTAAATATAAAAGGAGAACTCGTAAAGCAATATATTGTTAAATAAATAATTTTTCTTCAACAATTGTTTAAAATTGAGTATTTTTATTCCATTTTGGGGAGAAAAAAAAAAATCATTATTACCTAGATGGAATATTTTTCTTTCTTTTTTTTTAATCATTTTAATTAAACAAAATATTGCAAATTAATGAAAACAAAATAGAAAAGTACTTCAATAACTTATACAAGGAGTAGCTATAGAATTTGTCATTTAATAAGCGAGAACTAAAAATATTAGTATATATGATATATATCGTTTCTTAGTGCTTCCAATGCTGACCGAGATTAACAAATAATTCTAGTTATTCTTTTTGTGTAAAAACCGTCAAACAAAATGTTTTATAAGAAATGTTTGTGTGTATTTTTATTAAACATTAAAAAAAAAAAAAAAAAATTCTCTCTTGAACTCATAGTAGGCAAATTAGGGATAATTCCATAAAAATGGAGTTTTGGGGGTCAAAGGACAAAAGAATTGAGTCAAAATTAAGTTTTCCAAATTAATGAAATTTTATAAAAGTCTGAAGTGGACATGAAAATTTATTGCACATCATCTTTTTATTCCCAAAACACCTTTCTCTCATATCTAGAGAGAGAAGCCCATCTATGGCAACCCTTCTTCCCAAACGAACAATCAACAATCCTATCTGCCATCTCTCTCTTTCACCCACCTTACCAACAAACCTGTTAAAAAAAAAAAAAAAAACAACAACAACAAATCTTTGTTCTCCCTCTCATGTCCCTCCAAAACATCTTTTCCGCCAAACCCGATTTAGACCCAAAATCCATATCAAACAAAAGAAATATCAAGATCCAAGCGGAGATTCAAAAACCAACACTAAACATCATGAAAAAACCAACCCAATCCTCTGTAATGGTCGATCCATGGCTCGGCAATACAAAAGGTTGATACAAATGCTTGTGGATCCACAAGAAATCTTCAAGTGGGTCTGTGAAATCCAAGTCACACCATAAAAATTGGAATATTCACAAATGAGAACTAGGCCTCTCTCCATTTTTCTTGAAGGTTTATAGTATCAAAGTAGCAAATATGTACCTTTCAAAAAAAGAAAAAGAAAAAAGTAGCAAATAAATCTTAATTTCTAGGGTTTGGTTGGACTTGGCGACGTCAGCGAAGGCTTGGGCGTAGCTTCCGGCAGTGCTGTCGGCCATCCTGGCTCTGCCGCGTTGTTTTCCGGTGGTTTTGACGGCGTGTTTCGGGAGTTTAAGGAAGGAGGAGCTGCCCGAGAAGGAAAGTTTGAGAGGATTGACATAGATGGGTTTCTCTCTCTAGATATGAGAGGGGTAGTAGCATAATTTCATAACAACCATAGAAGGGTATTTTGAGAATAAAAAGATGATGTGCAGTAATTTTCCATGTCCACGTCAGACTTTTATAAAATTCTACTAATTTGAAAATTTTGATTTTGACTTCATTCTTTGGTCTTTTGACCCACAAAACTCCATTTTTATAGAATTATCCCGGCAAATTATACATTATATGTAAATGTAAATATACTAATAATAAAATTATTTTTATTTCCAAACTCACTAACTCAAAGTGTGTGAAAAACTTTAGGTAGGCCAACTGAAAGTTTTTTGTAAGTTTTGAGGCATACAATTTAGGAAAAAGAGGTACAAAAAGAATTTTGTTGTGAAAGGAGAAAAAGAAGTATTTACGCTATGTTTGATGGAATGGAATGCCCATTCCAATCATTTCTTTGTTTGGTATGCAATTTAAAGTGGGAATCCATTCCATTGGAAGGAAATCCATTACGGAATGAAAATTCAATCCGCAACTAAACCTATGGAATGGCCATTCTATTCCTAAGTAATTTAAAAAAAAAAAAATCAAGTTCCTAAAAAACTCTCATGCTTCGCGTTGAAAAACCACCACCACAACCAACACCGACTTTCACCATCGCCATGACTTCCGTTGCCTTCCACCATCGTCACTGCCACCGCCACTATTGTTGCCACCTTCAACTAACACACCGCCACCACCTCCACTGTGGCCACCACCACCACCAACTTCCACTACTGCCACCGCCTTCCACCAATACCACCTTCGACCACCGCCACCTTTACTGCCTTCCAACTTCGTCATTGCCACCACCACTACCATTGTCACCGCCTTCACCATCACTACCACCTTCCACCACCACTGCCGCTTTGCACTATTTCCACCACCGTCACTACCACTGTCACCACCGTAACTGCCTTCTACCACCATCACACTGCCACCGCCTCCACTGCCTTCCACCGCCACCGACTTCCATAACCCCCACCACCTTCCACCGCCGCCCCCACCGCCACCACCACCACCACCAACTTCCATAATCACCACCACCGCCGCCGCTGCCACTTCCACCTCCACCACCACCACCACCTCCACCTCCACCTCCACCTCCACCTCTACCACTAACACCACCTCCACCGCCACCGCTACTGCCACCAACTTCCATCACCACCACAACTACCTTCCACCACCGCCACCGCCACCTCCAACTCTAACGCCACCGACTTCCATCACCATCACCATCACCACCACCACCTTCCACTGCCGCCACCTCCACCGCCACCACATACACTACCGTCTTTAACCACCACCATCACCTCCACTGCCTTCCACACCCCCGACGCCTTCCACCATTACCACCACCGCCACTACCACTGCCGTCACCCTTCTGCCTTCTGCCACCACCGCCTTCCAACGCCACTATCTACACTACTACCGCTTTCCAGCTCCACCACCATTGCCACCACCGCCTTCCATCACCACCATTTCTTTTTAAAAAATTTATAGAAGAATGTTATTTTGCCAATTAAATTATTTGTCACTAGCATGGGTATTTTGGATAATTTAATTTAAAATTCATTCTTTTCTAAATTTTACATTAGTCAATTCCTATAGATTTCATATTTGCAACAAAACAATAGAATGGGAAGAGTATTCCATTCCCATTCTTATTCATTCCATTTCTGTACACCAAACGCAACATTAGGGTCTGTGAAGAAAAAAGAAAAGAGGAGGATAAAGAAGAAGAGAGAAAAGAGGAGAGAGAGAGAGAGAGACCATTCACAGTTAGCAAAGCTTGGTTGGTGGGAGAACAAGAGAGTCAAGGATGATCATGCAAGAGTTTGAACCTTTCAACTAAAATATTAGCATTAATATCTGATTGTTTTAATATAAAATTATTTTATAAAACAACTAATTTTAAGTAATTATGTAATGACCAAATTATTAATTACTAAACAACTCATATTTACACTTCAACCCAGGTTTCTTTCTAAAACTTTCTTAAAAATCCCGAAGAATGCCTTAGTTATCAATCAAAACAAAAATAAAATAAATCCCCAAAAGTGGAACATGCGTGTCAAACATGTATCCATGGCAAGTCAAAAGCGCGTCCGTGCCAATGTCCAACTATTAAAAAAAAAAATAGGGCTAATTCAATAAAACCCCCACTGCTTTCAAATTTTGATCATAAACCCCCAACCTATTTCAGAAAACCCCCTACACTTTAAAATTTGATCACATTGCCCCAATATCCGTTCTGACCCGTTCACTGGGCTGTGAAATGACAAATTTGACTTTTCTATTTATTGTTAAATTAAAAACTGTAAATTATTTTATAAAAATTACAAAAATACCCTTTTTTCTTACTGTTCTTCTTGTTTTCATTATCGCCGAAAGCCTTGCTGTCGGCAAGAAAAAGCATCGGCCGGTCATTGCCGAAGTCTTTACTCTAGCGCGAAGTCGCCGGTCTGAACAGAAAACCGGTTGCTACACAAGGCAGCCACCTGGAACCATGAATCGACTCGAACAGGTCGCCGACAGCGACGTTTGTCGTTCCTCCATGAACGGAAACCATCGTCGTCCTTCACCCAAATCTTCGTGTTCCCATAACTGCTTATACGTGTATCACCCTCTCTCTCTACCTCTTTCTCTCTACCTCTATTTCATTCATTCATCGCATTGTTCATTCATTCACAAATCATAGTCAAAATTCAAAATAAATAATCATGGGGTTAGCGAAATCTCTTCAGTCGCAAGAAAAAACGTAGTAATTCTTCACTGTCGATCACGAGCGCTTTCCACCAATCCTCTAGATCACTGTCAATGGTGTCGAACTCCATCTCTCATGCCTAGATCGAGGAAGAGCTAACGTAAGTGTTCAAGCAATTCATCGTGAACGGCGACGACAAGATTTCGTCGTCGGAGCTCAGTGCAATAATGGGCAGCCTGGGCAACGACACCACCGTGGAGGAGCTGGACATGATGATCCGAGTGGTGGACGCCGATGACTTGGCATGGTCGCGTCATGGATCGGTCCTGGTCGGCTCACCGAATCAAGTCCTCGTCCTCACTAAACTCGTGTCTCTGTATTTCTCGGGTTGGTCCTGGTCGGCTCACCCAACAAATCAAATTACCTCTTTTAAGTGTCAGTTTAATTATTGTGGAAGATGCATATAATTAAAATGAATATGTAATGTCTGTTTTTGTATTGGATTTATTGGGTGGTGTTGAAGCCAAATTGAGGTGATGCTTTCAATAGATTCGCCATGGTCTATTTTATAGAGAGAGAGAGAGAGAGAGAGGAGGGGGGGTTTGAAGAAAAAGATATTAAAGGGTGTTTTTGTAATTAAAAAAAAAAAAAAATTAGTTTGAAATTTAGCATTAAATAGTAAGGTTAAATTTGTCATTTCATAGCCTGGGTAATGGGTCAGATACGGATATTGGGGCAATGTGATCACTTTTTAGAGTGTTGGGGGTTTTTTGAAACAAGTTGGTGGTTTATGATCAAAATTTGAAAGTAGTGGGGATATTTTGAAATTAACCCAAATATATATATATATCATACACGATTTTTGGCTTGTCCGACACGTGCCTAGACATGTCCGGGTGTTTGACACGGATTCTTTGTCCTTTAGGCGCTGTGTCCGTTCTTCCTAGATTGTATCCCTCTTAGAACCCCACACACGTGGGACAAAATAGAATTGACGCTATAAATCATATAAAAATATTTTTATATATTAAAACTATAGATCATTATATATTCTCTCTCTCTCTCTTTGAATATAAGGAAGCAGTCACCAAATAGAGAAATTCATTACAAGTAATATACACCCTGTAGCCTACCGGTGTGGTAGCTCGTCCAGTGTTTCGCACCCGCCCACAGAGTTCGTCACAATTTTAGGTTGTGATAAGGAAAAATATGATAGTTACTTGCCCAGAAAAGATAAGAAAAAATATGATAATATGTGATTGACCAAAATTATTGCCTTAAATAGAGTGGATTGGTGAAGCAAGCCTTGTGTAGCCAACCCCCAAAACTTGGGAAAAGGCTTTATTTTTTAAATAGTCAAAGAGAATCATTTATTTTCTTTTCTTTTCTTTTTCTTTTTCTTTTTCTTTTATTTTTCTTTCTTGGTGCACCTAGGCACTGGAGCATAAGGGTGCACAAAAAACCAGTGAAACCAATAAACCGTACCGGACCGGTCGGTTCATTCTGGTTTTCTTATGGTTCGGTCTGGTCCAGGTTCCAAAATCATGGAACCGTAATTTTACAGTTCGGTTCTGGTTTGGGGTCCTTTGGGACCGGACCGAACTGAACTGTTTATATGTAATATATATACTTTTCTAGCCCTCACTTCGTTCACATTGCTGCCCTACTCTCTCTCTGTCTCTCTCTATTCTGTTATCCCTCAGGACCCTCACCTCACCACTGCACCTAACTTGCACTAACATGCTGTCCAGATCTGCTACTTTACAATATATATATGTGTGTGTATTTCTCATTTGTTCCAGATCTGATCTGAATGGCTATCTTTGCCGTTGATTTTGATGACTACTTATGTACTGTCACCGGCATCGACGTACTGGGTCATGGGATGTTGGTTTAGTGAAAAAGAAGTTGGAGATCTGAGGTCCTTCCTGAGCTTTGTTCAGATTGTGATTTAAAGTCCTTCAGGAGATTCTCCATTAAACTACACTATTATGTTTCCTCCAAAAGAAAGAAAAAAGAAACACTATTTTCATAACACTGGTCTGCAATTAGTGCCAAAGCAAATGGAATGGATTTGATTTTTTGTTTGATTGTCATGGATTGTGCTGAAGTTATAGTTAGTTGCAGAACTGTGGAACCGAACCAGTTCTTCATGGTTTGTTTTGGTTCAGTTCCATTGGTTCTCACGGTTTGGTTTGGTTCCAGTTTTTATGGAACTGTTAGGACCAGTTTGGTTTCAAAATACCGCCAAACAGGTCCGTACCAAGCTGTGTGCACCTTGATATGTACTTCCAATAAACAGGGTATATCATTCACAAGTTTCAGTTGCAATAAATTTTTTTTTTTTGGAAGGTTAAGCAAACTCACACACCCATGCCTCCACTAAGGCTGACCTCCCCTTCGGAGAAGTGGGTTTGTACCAGCTGGGCTATTGCCCATTTGGTTCAGTTGAATGTTGTTTATCAATTCTTATACGTAGTTCATTCATCCCTAATCATTATCTTTCTTCCCCCCACACCTCAACCTCCCTCATTTTTTTGCCATGCAGTTATGCTTAATTATTTAATTTATTTGCTATCAGTTGGAATGTTTAACCCATATATTGGGACTGATACAATTTGTCTATTTCAGATAAAAAATGTAGACTCCATCACACTGGATGATGCCCTTGAGTTCCTGCGCTTTCCTTTGACTATAGTATGTTTCCATCTAAATTGAGTTTCTTATTCTAGTTTTTATTATCACAACACTTATTTTTTTCCCGACTTTGCATCAGGGAAACCATCCGGAGGATGGCCAACCAATTGTAATAAAGGTTGCAAAGTCAGGATATTCAATTCGACATCGGCGTTCAATCGCTCCCGTACCTAAGGTATATGTTCATTTTTTAAGCACAACTCTGTTATACTATGCTATATAGTGGTTACCTTTACTAATATTTCTTCTAGTGTATGCTATTTGTAGCTTCATTCTCGTTTATTGTTAATGTTGTGGCACATGTGATTCAAAGCATTTTTTTATCAGATTGGAGAGTAGGTATAGAGATGCATGAGATACTTAAGTGGAACATGTATTTTTCAAGGAGGAGTGTGATAGTGGGCAATAATTTAGGATAATGTATAAAGTCCCAATTGGAAGACTATGTCGCGACATATTGGGAGCATTAGGGAGACAAGTGTCATTGAGTTTTACTTGACTGTAAAAATCTATTCTGGAAGCGTGTTTGCTTAATTTTTTTTTGAGATTCTCCTACTACTACGAGCAAAAAGAGTCTTGGAAACAGTTTATGGCCCATAGTTCGATTTTTGGGTAAGCTCTTGTCATTTGAGGGGGTGTGCTCGAATTTTTGTAAGTTGGGATCACCGCAAATCATATAACAACTTGTTGAAGTGGAAAGATGTCTCAAAATGAGTAAACCCTCCCTAACAAAAGAATGGAAAACAAAAAAGTACAAAAGATGAAAAATAAAATAAGAAAGTAAAAATTAACAATTAAAAAGAATGGTTGTGGAAGCTAATGCAGCCCACCCTATCTCATGAGCTCATCCCGAGTTAATAAAATCTGCATCAAATCATTTCTTAGACTTGGCCCTTGAGTTGCTTAAATTGGTTATCTTTTCAAGTCTTTTGCTGCTGCACTATATTTTTGTTGGTTTAAACCTTGTAAGCAGAACATGAAGGCAAAGGACATAACTCTGGAGAAAGCCGTAAAGCTTTTGTCGAGTAAAGATGTAAAGAAATGTGGGCGACCCAAGAACAAGCCAAAGCGTGAAATCTATGAGACCGCGTAGGCTTTGTATGTTGTGTACCAGAGGCAATTTATCCCAGTTAACTCATCCATATATGGAGTTGACCAAGCAGTGCATCAAAGTCCCCCGATAATTTTTTCTTTTTCAACTACAGGAATATAGTTGTATATTAACAGTTACAATAGCTAGTTTTGTGGCAAGTTTTTCCATCTTTTTTGTATTATCATTGGTTCCATTCTTTTGTCTATGTACTTGTTATGAATTTTGTAATCCCTTTATTTAATATATATATATAACCATAATTGTTTCTTCATGCGGCTGGCTCTCAAGTGTCAGTTACATAGACCTCTAAATCCTTGTGTCATAGATTGATTTATTAGTGATGCGATTTGCTGGTGAGTGTTATGTAACATAATTCTCTTAAACGAGTTTTGCTCTCATGTTCCGTGCTTGTTATAACCTTCATTTCAGTTCATTTCACATATATTACCTGCGAAGCAGTTCTTGTGGCTATTAGCAGACGCACGTGTAACTCCTTTTTAAGTTTGTAACTGTCATCCAACAATTGGCCCGTGATTCCAGCAACTTCACACCAACATCTGAAGGTCCGCTCGTGTGCAAGTGTATTACACCCACCCACAAATGTTATGATTAATGTCCCAAGTGTACTGACTCCATCATAATTTTGGTTTTGAGAGAGAATATATAATTTTTTATTAGAGAGAGTATATACGTATATAGTATATTTTTCAATATATATATATACACACACACACACAGTTATACACACATATAGAGAGAGTATATAATGTATAAGTTTATTGTGGTAAGTGAGAAAGACTTCCATGCACCTTTATTCTACAGTTATATGTGACATCAATCAATTGTATCATGTCAGTGTCAATATTTAATAAGATAGTAATACTGGTCTAATTAAAACTTTCTCTTAGTAAGGGAATAGTTTGGAATTTTTTTTAAATGAAAGGAAAATTACAAGACATGCTTGGTTTGTAATTTTAAAAACAATTTTGATAAATTCAAAAATAGAGAACAGTTTTTAGAGGATTATAAAAAATTATTCTCTAAAAACAGATCATCACTACAACCGGTCCAATAAACTTTGAATAGTTTGGAATTTTTTTAAAATGAAAGAGAAACTATATATACTTGTATATACTTGGTGGATTCATTATGTGACTCTGTGGAATCTTAATCTTGTGACCAGATGTTGTGAACTTCAATCCAAGAAAATATTTTGATTGATTTATTTATTATCTTTTGGGAGACCCTTAAAGAAAGGAATATGGAAAAGAGAAAAGCCGTGTTGGATTACTGTTAAACTCCTTGCTTGAAACATACTACTACCATATGATGGGGGCAAAAGAACTCACGGGACAAAGCAAGGATGCTTAGCAAGGATGCTTATTGCTTTTCCTTTCCAACTTTTGTGCGTGTGTGTGTGTGTTTGTGTGTGTAGCTTCCGGCACCTTAAGCTTTTTGCAGTTTTTAAAATTTATTTATTTTTTGTGTTTTCTACTCCTTTCACCATTACAATTATCTAGGATAGGGAAATCTGATCCCAAATAATTTTATTTGCAATTTCATGCCATTTATTTAACAAGCTTTAAGTATTGGTTGTGAAAGTACTATCTAGTTCATTGTAAGTTGTACAACATTAATAAAGACTAAGAGATGATTTTAGGGTTTGATTGGTAAATATATATATAGAGAAATTGATAATAATGGTCATGATTTATTTTTTGTTTGGTCAATTAGTGTAATCTGATATATAACTAATCTTACAAATGATATCCTGAAAATAAGTAACTTACAAGATATTTGATTCAAAATTTTATTACTTTCTCAGTGAAAACTCTTCTACAATTTAAATCCGTAGCTACAAGATTATTATGATATATATATATATATATATATATATGTCAAAAATTATATACTCCGTAGTTATTATTATTACAATATATTAATGCTGAACCATAAATTGAACCACTTGTTGTCCTTCCTTCTTATATTAATGTTGATTTTCTTCGAGAAAACAAAATTAATTAAAAGTTTTTACAAAATAGACTATATAATGAAAAAGTACGCATTCACATGCTCATAGTGTTGAACCAACTGTTACTTTCTACATATATAATACACACACAAATACACGCACTTACTCACATATATATGACTCCTTTGTAGTACTCTTCTAGATATTGTGATCTGCAGAAAGTTGAAGCAATGAGTCCCATTTCTCACTCCGGCGACACCCACATCGACGTTGAATTTACCGATCAACACGTGTCATTTTCCGATCAGATTGACGAGCCTATCCAAGCCAACGTTCCCTTACTATTACAACGTTCTTATGCAAGATCAAGATCATCTATATTTGATGAGCTAAGAAATTTTAGGATAAGCCTCAAATGGTGGGCACTTGACCACTCTTCATGCATGGGCAAGTTCATATCCTACCTTACATTCACAATATTCACCATCTTCATCCCCGCCGTGGCCTCCTTTGCCGTCCGAGTCCCGGCCACCGCACTGGCCGACGACCCCATTTCCTTGAACAAGCTGGTGCAACTTCCGGCCTCAGGATTAGCTGTGATAGGATTCTTCACGTTGTCTAGGTTCTTTCGAAGGTACAGTTAATCACCATTTACTCTAAAAATGTTAATGTTCAAAAATTTTAAATCACTTTTTCAAGAAATTTGGAAATTAAAAGCATTTTTCCCGGCCTTTTCCATGCAATTGAGCATTTTTAACTCAAATTTCATACAACATTTTTCGCAAAATAATTGCTTGTTAATAACTATTTACTCTAGAAGTTCAAAAGTTCATTTAAAATTTTTTTTATTTTATTTTATTTTTTATAATGTGCGGGGTAACATGTGCATCAATTATGATTATGAGCATGAAACTGAGGTTCAATTTTTGGTATTATTCACAATTCATATATTCTAGAAGTTGTAAGAAATGATGTATCTACAATATTTATATCCTCTAACAGGTATGGTCTCCGACAACTTTTATTTTTGGACGATTTACAGGACGACTCGATGCACATTCGTCGTGGGTACACCGGAGAGCTAGACAAGGCCTTTCGATACCTAGCTTGCATACTTTTACCATCCTTTTTTGTTGAACTAGCCCACAAAATTATATTCTTCTCAACAGTGACAACATCAATACCATATGTTAACCCCAAAAATATAGTTCCAATCAATTCCGTTTTATTTGTGTTGGTTTTGGCTTCATGGGTTTATAGGACAGGTGTATTCTTGCTTGTTTGTGTGTTGTTTCGTTCGACTTGTGAGCTCCAGTTGCTTAGGTTTGAAGGGCTCCGTAAAATGTTGGAGGGATGTGGGTCAGATTCCGGTGTCATTTTCGAAGAACATCTGAGGATTAGGAAGCAGTTATCAGTTACTAGCCATAGATATAGGTTCTTTATTATTGCTTGTTTGGTTACCATCACAGTTAGTCAATTGGGAGCCTTGTTGCTGGTGTTGACATCAAAATCGGAGAAGAATTTCTTCAATTCTGGTGATCTTGTGGTAAGTACACATCTCTCTTTATGTAAGTAAATAAATTTAGCAATAACATCAATTGTAAATATTGTATAGATACAAAAGACTTTAGGACCATAATGATTTATTAAGTTCGAATAATCTTGAGTTATCATGTAAGGGCTCAACTAGAATTCGAACATCTGTTTGATTTGATTCACTCGGTATGAGCTATTAGATTGCATTTGCATTCTTTTGTTGAAAGTTCAAGCAAATGCACGTATACTAACAATATATATTGCCCTAACATGGCTCAAACTCTCAACCTCCCCTTTGAGAAAAATATATCATATGATCTGTGTCTTTTGTTCTTGAATATTGCATCATTATCTATCCAAAAAAAAAATTGTTCAAATACTAGATTGTCCGTTATAGTCCACATTTATAGTTATTATATATATATATGTGTGTGTGTATTGTATGCATGGTTCGCAGTATCGTTCGACATGCAACGTATCGACTAATACGCGACCTTTATTTAAGTTCGATACATTACTCTTTTTCAAGTCTGATACGCGAATCGTATCAATCAGTTTATACTAATTTTGTCCAAATCCGTTATACCACAACCGCGAGCGATTGATATCACGACCTTGACTATAAATTATTTGTACGATGAAATGCAGGTTTGTTCAGCAGTTGAGATAAGTGGCTTCTTTTTGTGTCTGATGGGAGCAGCAAGAATCACACACAGAGCTCAAGGGATTGTGTCAGTTGCAACTAGATGGCATATGCTTGTTACATGTGCCTCTACTTCTTCTACTTGTGGACCACCACCAGACAGGCCAAAAGGTCAAAATATGTGGACACCAACATCTAAATACAGTGACAGTGACTCTGATTCACCACAAACTTTCATCACAATTTGCTCACAACACCCATCCTGCTTCCGCACAAGGCAAGCTTTAGGTCAGTAAATATTTCATCTGCACAATTAATACTTACAACAATTTTTTTTACAGCTGATCAAAAGGAGTGGCAATTAGTATATGTAACCCCATAAATGAGGACACAAATTGCAGCTGTCTTTGTGTCTCTGTAGTATATAATGTTCATGTCTGCACAATGCAGTTGCATATTTGGAGCACAACAATGGAGGAATAACGTTGTTTGGTTTTGCACTTGATCGCGGATTGCTTCACACGCTCTTTGCATTCGAATTCTCTCTGGTGTTGTGGATACTAAGTAAGGTGGTTGTTCTGTCTTAGAGCCGAAATTCCAAAAAACAGATTCAGGAGGTGCTTCTGTTCTGTCCCTTCAATTTTATATATGATGCACAGAGGAACTTTTGAGTTACAAATGCAAGCCACTTAAATTCACAATTATTGTTCTTATATGATCCACTCAAGTTTAACTATAACTCTGCATATTTGCATTCTTGAAAAATATGCTTTTGTAATTGTCTTTTTGCTATGATTTGTTCAAACTACTGTTGGAAAAAAAAATACTGTAAGAAAATAATGTGTATCAATGATTATTTTCATGGAGTTTATTTCTCAGAGTGGGTATTAGGTATATGTATTACATCATCTGTGTCCAATGTTAATGTAGAAGATTGGCAAAAATATTCATTAAAAAAAAAATTGCATAAACATATAAATCTAAAGTTAATTGGATTGAAGAATCACAGCAGATTAATTTGGTTAAAGTAACAGAGTAAGTGCCTCTTTTCTGGTTTAGTAAACTAAATTCTTGATAAAATTAAAAATTAACCACTCGTCATAAATTTTAGAGTTAGTAATTTAAAATTTAATATTTTTCTTTTAAATTTTAAATATTCAGCATTATTATCACAAAAAATTTTATTCTCTTTATTAACTTTGTAAGAGCATCTACTCTTTTGTGTAAAAATATACACTCTCAGTCTCTTTATTTTTTTTATCTCTAATATACAGTCACGTCATTAATGTATAAAATTATTGTATATTTTACATGATCTTTTTACACAGTCACATCAGTATATTTCCTTCCTTCTTTCTCCTTTCATTAATTAATCAACCATATTTTAAGTAGGTTTGTAAAAATTATGTGGGTCCAGACATAACATATGTTGATTGTTATTAAAGAATATACCTTTTGTGTATAAAATAACTGTTGTAGTTAAAAATAAATATTTTAAATTTTTTGTATAATTCTATTATTACATATCAAATTTACAAAAAATATATATACACACACAATAATTGAAGATGCTTTAGGCAATAACCAAATAGATTTATTATACACAGCTTCAAGTCAAGTACATAATTCAGTTTTTAGGTATGAACCCAATTAGATCCGTTCTTCATCCACCAACTTGCCATTTGTGGTCCACGTAAGATTGACAACTTGGCATTTGTGGTCCACATAAGATTGACAAAACTTGGCATTCATGGTCCACGTTAGTTTCAATTCTACACCAAAAATACTCCTAACAAAAGCCCAATACCTACCGTTCGGCATAACCATTTTTTTTTTTTTTTTTTTGTCAATTTCAAAACAATAGCTTTGTTGTACTAGTATTTTGGGTAAAAATCCAAATCATATTTGATAACCAAATTTTGTTTTGGAAAATTCAGAAATTTGTTTTATAATTCATCAGTTACATATCAAAAACACACAATATCACCAATTTAGTAGCATGGATTTTGACCAAAAATATCTTATATATTATGAACTATGTCAAACCAATATTAACAGTCCCAAACATGATATAAGCCCAAATTTAAATATTAATTTTAGAAAAACAATATCATAACACTTCCCAAACACTATTATGTATAGATTAAACCATACATGTGTTGGTAGAGTGCCCAAATATCTGAGTGGGTGTGTTCGTATTTAAGTTCCCTAGTGTATTGGAAAATAAAAAATAAAAATAAAAACCTTAGTATTCATGTAATTCTTAATTCCTTTAAGGCCCAAAATTAGAAAATCAAAAACTCATGATACTTAATTGATGTCTACCTTATTATAAATTTTGGAAATCTTTAAGTAGAATTGGTTTGGCTAGATGAAAATTAATACTGAAAAGTGAAAGTAAAAAAAAAAAAAAATCAAAGTGAATGAAAAAAATTGAAGTTTTTGATTCTCTATTTTATTAAAAAAAATATTTACAAAAAATATGAAAATTAAATATTAGGAAACTTATCATAAAAAAAGTACGTTATTGTAAATTTATTTTTTAATAAATCATAATTTTCCTGTGCTTTTTATAGGAAAATTTTATGAAATATTTAGGTGGTTATGAAAAGTAATTTTTTTTCTTCAAATTTTCTTTTTCCTATTAATCAAACTTTTAAAATGTATATAAAAAAAATTAATTTCTTTAATTTCTAGTTATTCCCATAATCTGAAATAAGAGGAAGTTCGCCATTTTAAGGAAAGGATGATGGGGATGTTATATATAGACCTGTCAACAGATCGAATTTTGGACCGGTTCTTGCTTGATTCGATCTAAATTCGATAAGTTTTTTACTCGATTCAATCCGATCCGACAATTCGATGTTTTTTTTTTTAAGTGAATTCATATCTGATTTGTTAATAAATGGATATTTGATCCTATCCGATAAAGGTGTATTTTTAAATAAAATAATAATAATAATGTCAAAAAATAAAATAAAAACAATGATTACAAAAGAAAATGATAGAAAAATAAATAAAAATAAAAGATAAATAAAATATGAATATAACATTATGGTTATTATTATTATTTTTGTTTACCTCTGAATTATAATACAAATTTATAAGAGTATTGATATATATATATATATATATATATATATATATAAATAATTTTATTTAAATTAAATTATTATCGAATAGAATCAGTATAATTCAAACACATTTAATTTATTAGATTAACAGGCTATTGAATTCGATTTGTAATCGAATCATTGAATTTTTGTCTTCAACTCAAAATGTTGTTCATTGTCTAAATGAACAAGTGCAAGGCTGTGATCCAGTGGAGTGTTTCAAACTTGAACAAGAATTGGGAGCTGTATGGAAGGATGAAGAGCTTTTTTGGCTTCAGATGTCCAGAATCTCTTGGTTGAAACATGGTGATAAAAATACTAAATTCTTTCATCAGAAAACAAAGATCCGGCGCCAAAAAAATGAAATTATTGGGTTGGAAGATCCAAGTGGCCGAGGATTATTTCCATACCTTGTATGCATCTCTGTTAGACCATGTGGATGATAATTTTTGGTCCCTAGTCGAATCCAAGGTTACCCCAGATATGAATACAGACTTATTGAAAGATGGAACCGTCGAGGAACTTCACAAGGCCGGCTTTGAAGAGTAGGGGCCGTATAAGGCGCCTGGACCGGACGGATTTACTCCACTGTTCTTCCAATCAAATTGGGAGGTTGTTAAATTTGATCTTTTACAGGGGTTTAATTCTTTTATTCGGGGCGGTTTGCTTCCAAAGAGTTTGAACTCCACCAATCTTGTTCTCATTCCGAAAATAAAACATCCTACAATGACCAATTGCACTGTGTAATGTAGCCTACAAACTGTTTTTCAAAACTTTGGCTAACCGTCTCAAACCTCTTTTGCCTCTTCTTATCAATGAAGCCCAGAGTGCTTTTGTCCCTCATCATATTATTCATGATAATATTATGCTTGCTCGCAACCTTATACATGTTCTTCAAACATACGGCTTCGGATAAAATTTTTTTTATGTACAACGATTTTGGAAATTTTTAACGTGGGCTGGCAGTTCTCTCGACTCTTCCTAATTATGATATGTAATGCTTACGGCTTCCAAAGAAGAATTGTGCTGATTTGTCTAGTAAATTTCTTAATTTTTGGTGGAGCGGGGAAGAGAAATCTAACAAGATTAAATGGGTTCGCTAGGATAGTCTCTGTTACTCCAAGGTGGATGGAGGTTTGGGTTTCAAGAATGTCGAAGCCTTCAATCTTGCTCTGCTTGCAAAAATGGTGTGGCGTATGGAATTAGGGGAAGACTCGCTCCTGTTTTGATCTTTCAAGCAAAAATATTTCAAGAATTGTGATTTTGTTGAAGCTTCTCCCAAAGGCCACTCCTCCTGGGTGTGAAGAAGTATTTTGTCAGCAAAAGATGTCATTAAGAAAGGTTTGAAATGGTGGATTGGCGACTGCTCGAAAATAAATTGTTGGACAAATACCTGGTTGCCCGATGTCTTTAACGCTTTTGTCACCTCGAATCATCTAGGTGTGCCTTTTCATCAGTGGCTGATCTGATTATCCCCTCTTCATATAGTTGGAATACGTCGTCGTCATTTCAATATAAAAGATTACGGCCTTATTTTTCAAATTCCTATCACAATCAAAGGGGGTGTGGATTATAAGGTCTGGGGAGCTTCAAAAGATGGGTCTTTTTCGGTTAAAAGTGCTTATCACATTGCGCTCTCCATTTTGAACAAAAAGTCTGATGTTGTTTTATAAGCCGGATGTAGCTTTGATGCTACCAAATCTTTTATGTGGCGCAACATTTGGAAATTTCAGGCTCTCAGAAAAAATTCTCTTTTTTCTTTAGCAAAGTCTTCATGAGCATATCCCTGTTAATTTTTTGCTCTCCTTGCGTAGTGAGTCTATGGTTCCTTCTTGCTTCTTTTGCGACAACCCAGTTGAAACGGTTGATCATGTTCTTTGTACATGTCCTTTTGCTTCTATGGTCTGGAAGTTAAACCCGTTGCGTTTGGATTTCGGGAGTTGTTGCCCTTCATTCTGGCCCAAGAGGTGGGTGGATCTTTCCAAGAAATTGGCTCAGTCTGATTGTCCTTCGCAATGCCTTAGTCTTGCAGCTTTTATATGTTGGACTCTTTGGAAACGTAGAAATGATCTTCTTTTTAATCAACGTCGATAGGACCCTTTTGAGGCAGTTCAAAGGGCTCTCCAGGATTTCTTGGAATTTCAGGAGATTCTTCGACAGTCTTGGTTACTTTCTTCCCCGCCTTCATCTTCCACGCCGGTTCAACCTCCTCTTACATGGTGTCCTCCTCCGCTGGGGTTTTTCAAACTTAATTTTGATGCTACATTTAATCAATCTTGAAAACTATGTGGGGGTGGTTTGATTCTCAGAAATTTTTTTGGGCAACTTGTGAAAGTAGCCTCTGTTTTCTTTTCTAATGTTGGTAGTCTTTTTTTGGCTGAGAATCCTGTCCTACATGAATGTCTTTCATTGCTCCATCTCTGGGCTATCAAAATGTTATTGTTGAAGGGGATTGCCAACCAGTGATGCAGCTTAAGCCTTCGAGTGAGGCCTTATATGTTGTTTTTGTTGATGTTTCTCATTTGCTTTCTGTTTGTGAGGGATCTTTTTTGGCATGAGTTCCTAGAAGTGTTAATTGTGTAGCTCATTTAGTGAGCAAAATGGCCTTAGCAACTTCTGTTTGTGAGGGATCCTTTTTGGCATGAGTTCCTAGAAGTGTTAATTGTGTAGCCCATTTAGCGACGGAGTGTGACTATCTGAAGTGAAGTGTCTGGCCTAAATGACTTTCGAATGCTTTATCTCTGAACTGTATTTCTTATGTTTCTCAATGAATTGTCTCTCTTGCTGGCGTTAAAAAATAATAATAATAAGTCTAGTCGTATCTCACAATCCAAACATTTTTAGGCATTCCCACGTCGAAGTCTGGTTGTGGGCAGAAATTATGTCTAGATTCAATGAATATTTGTATAGCCTGTTTAAATTTATTAGATTGGGAGTTGCAAGATTTGCAAGTAACCTTTTAACAAAAAAACAAAAAAAAGATTTGCAAGTAACCGACGCGACAATCGATATTACTCGCAAACTGTCCAAGTTCAATGAACCTAGGCATGTATGGTTTTACAACTTCCATGCATATACATACATGATTACATGCATAAAATTAATCCACATATGACGTCCATTCTCTATTTCTAAGTGCACACTTTTGCCAACTTCGATTTACAAACTCTCGCCATTCACTCTTACAAACTACAAGTGTTTTTAATTTCTCACTCGATCAAATTTGTAAGTCTGTTTTGTTAAAAAGTAATAATAATAAATAAATAGATTTGAAATAAAGGATTGTATAATTTGAATAAAAAGATTTAAAAAGACAAATATCATACAATTACTCTACTATTAAAATTTACGAATTTCAAATGACCGTGTTCAAATTAAGACATACTTGAATTTCAAATGTATCATTGAATATTACAGTATTTTTTTAATTTTCGTGTTTCAAATCTTAAATTTAAAATATTAAATCTGCTTTATTTTTAAGTGGATGCTTCTTATTTGGAAAAATTGGGAGGAAAAAATACAAACAAAAAAAAATTCAACAACTACAAATCCAAGATATATTTGCGCGTATATATGTGTGAGTATATATATATATGCATCATGCATGGAAGGTGGAAACACATAGGACACATAGGTGAGCCCCACACCACAGGTTTGGTTTCCGCTTCCCACTATAAATGTATCTCCTCCTCCAACTCCCGTTACCCCTTGTATAACTGAAAAAGCTGAAAGAGAGGAGAGAGAATAGAGAGAAACAAGAGCCCGATTTTTCACGGTCTAGGGTTTGCAACGACGGAGAACGCTTAAAACCCTAGACTCTGAGCATTCTCTCTTCGTTTTCTCTCGTAGCCAGTATATTGATCGATTGCTTTGCAATCTCAATCCAATTTCCCTCAAATTTCGCTTCTTTTTTCTGTTTTCTACATTTCCACCACAGAGCTAGAGTGGGTTTATTTCAAGTTTTTCTTTCGTTATTTTGAGAGATTTCAAAGGCATTGCTTTTGATCCGGTCGTCTCGGTTGAATCTCCTGTAAGGACTCGGATCTCTTTTTTGTTTTGATTTCTCTTTCAAGCTTCACATTTATGCTAATTTGATATGGCATTTTGTTTTTATGTTTCGTTGTGAAGAAAATTGGGGAAAAAGGCACAAAATGTTGGATCTTTAGTTTCTGTGTTTGGTGTTTGTTGAAAAGGTGGCGAACTCAATAGTAATTTATTAAGGTTGAATACTGAATTTTAATTATGGGTAGTAAAACAGGGGAACAAGCTAAGAATCAGATCAATTTATTTTATTTCCTTTCTAACCAAACGGGAAATCAATTTACTTCTTGGGAAATTCTTACACGTGTTTTTGATATTTTATTCTGTTTTTTTAGTTTGATTTAGTCCTTTAGTTTGCTGTATATGATGTGTACTTCTAGCTGCATTTTGATTGGTTTGAGCGAATTTATCATATGCATATGTTGTACATTTTTCTTGTTAGAGAAGATGGATGGTTCCTTTTTAACGGTATCTGTTGACGGTTGATCCACTCATTGTGTGTCTATATATATATATTTATAGTCTATAATAATTTCTATTTTATGAAGCCATCGAATAATCATGGCTGGCAAAGTCATGTCTTATGGAAATACTTAAACGCCTCTTGGTTACCATTAGACTGTAGAAGAGAATTAAAGTTTGATATTTTTATGTTTTATTTTCCTGATTTGTAGCTTAAGAAAAAATAATAAGGGTAACTGGCTGATGAGCCCATATAAAACCACTCAAGAGTAGTTGATGTGAGTTTTCTATTTTTCTGAGGAAAATTATTTAGTGGCCGAAATGGCTTTGGCTCCCCATGCACATGATAGTTTCTGTGGACCCATGTTTGGGTCGACACCATTGATCATGTGGATGTGGAGCACTTCTGCTCCCCATTGTCTGTCCATTTCGGCTAGCCTATCACCACTCTTTTTTGCTTGTGGTTGTTTGATTCTCATGTGACTTGTGGTGTGGCAAGTGGGTATTGGTTGCGTCCACATCAATTGTGGACTCTATTTTAATCCTGCAGTGACCTTATTGTAGCGATTGGTTTCGTTTTCTAATATGGATCAGGATTTGAATTAGGGAGATTAAGTTTGTCCGTTAGATCCTGTCAGAAACAAAAATATTGCTTATTAATGCATTTTCTTAGGAGTGAAGTTTCAAGTTGGGGTTGGCAATAAATACTAGAATTCTTGAATTTGATCCACTGTGCTACTGAGTACATGGCTGTATCAATGGGATTTGTTTATTTTTATTTTTCTACAATTGAAATTTCATTGAGAAGCAGCAAAAAGAAATAGGGTGCCCGCATGAGTAAATGAACTTCTTGTAAACGAAAAAGCAAAAAAAAGAAAAACTATGGAGCTAAGTGCTTATATCTTTCATTAAATTATTCATTAATCCAAATGTTATGATTGTAAAATAGAAAACATCCTACTGAGCTGGGGAGGGAGGGGTGTTCCATTTTCCTTATTTTAAATCTGAATGCAAATGTTTTTTGATTCACCTTCTTCTCTTTGAATTATGAACAATTGATGTTATTGAGTGTTAATAGAACTTTATTTTCAGGATATATATACAACCATGGTGTTCTGGGTTTTTGGCTATGGTTCATTGGTGTGGAACCCTGGATTTGAATACGATGAAAAAGTGATAGGCTTCATCAAGGATTACAGGCGTGTTTTTGATCTTGGTAAGGTTTTTTTATTTTATTTTTTATCTGCGATCTTGGTAAGTTGCATATTAGTACAAAGGAAGTTAGAAATTTCGTGATCAATATATGGTTTATTTAATTTTTAATATCTTCTCCATCTCTTTTTACATGTCAGCATGCATTGATCACAGAGGTACGCCTGAAAACCCTGCAAGAACTTGTACGTTGGAACGGAATGAAGGAGCCATTTGCGTGAGTAGATACCAATTACAAATATCCACGCATCTTATCTAAATTTCATTTTTAGTTAGATACAAGTGGCAGTTTTGCTGTTTTCTGATTATCAAAAGTAATGAATTATATCTGTTGGTTTTCCCATTGGCGCTCCAACAACATTTTAAATTCTCTGATCCATTGTGTTTTTATATATTTCTGATTCATGAATTCTTCTGGCAGTGGGGTGCCGCTTATTGTGTACGAGGAGGCCAAGAAAAGGAGAGAATGGCAATGGAGGTATGTGTTAACTGAATTTAGTTTAGATAAGCCGGTCTAGATGTATGTGCTGTTATAGAAAAGCATGTCGTCACATGCGTTGAGCAGTCTTAATGTTGTGGTGTTTCGGACATCTTTGTTTGCAGTATTTGGAGCGGAGAGAATGTGAGTACGATCAAAAGACTTTAGTAGACTTTTACAAGGTGAGCTATTTGGTTTTGTTCAAATCTCTTATCTGAAATCGTTTTTCTACACTGTATCTCTTCCTTCTCTGATTCAGTCAGTTATGTCACTTCATTGCCCCTTTATTTGTCCATTTTACGATAATCTCTTTTGTACTGGTGGATAGTGGTTTTTCTGTGGGTAATGAGATCTGTGATATTTCAAGTTGAAATGGAAGAGTCAATAGTTCTCCCCCCTCCCTTTTCCTGTTTATAAGAAATCCGAAATGATTATTTTACCAAGATGTATAGACTCGTATGCTTGCACTTATTCTGCTGTATGCAACTTTTTTTATTTCAGGAAGGGGATGACTTACAGCCCGCTGTAACTGGAGTGATAGTGTAAGCTATCCCTTTTTAGATTTCTCAAAACAATCTGTAGTTGCTCATCTTCGCATCCCCCATTCTCACTCTACTCTCATAGTGCATACTTTAAAAATATTATAGATAAAAAGTATGGATATTGATTAATTCCTATGCATTTGCCAAAAAATTTATTATTTCCCATTTTGCAGCTTTACATCCACTCCAGACAAAGAATCAAATAAATACTACCTAGGGCCTGCCCCATTGGAGGACATGGCCAGGTAATGCGGATGAAACGAAACCCCTCCCCCACCTTCTATTTTAAATTTAAATGCCTTGCATTCGATCACTTCCCTTCTGATTCCTTGTTTACCTATTCCAGGCAAATTGCAACTGCTTATGGTCCATGTGGGAATAATAGAGACTATATTTTCTTGCTGGAGAAGGCTATGTTTGATATTGGTATGTTGTTTTCTTGTTTGATTCTTAGCATGACTATTAAAATGTATACGCCTACTTGAAATTTGAAATCTTCGTGGGACTTTTATTTTACATTTGACTGATTCAGTAAATATGCTAATAGGTCATGAAGATGGCTTAGTTATAGAGCTGGCAACTGAAGTGAGGAGGGTCCTTGGAATCGGGGGAGTAGGGATACCAAAGGAGAAGTTGGTTGGGAGTTCCCATATCTCACTCAAGTCCAATATCCCAGCCCTTCATCTGCGACCGCTCCCAGAAGCTATTGCGATGGACTCCTAAGGAGTCACTGAAGAAATGAGAAAAAACATGAATCTTTATCTAACTCAATTATATTGTTCTCTTGCATAATCTCTTCTAACACATCATAATAGTGAGAACAGTTGGAAGCTTTTCGTGTTTTTAACATATTCATTCTTACGAGTAGGGCCATTTATTTTGTTAACCCGTATCCCGGTTTTCTTTATCATTTTTAGACTTCTGTTTAAGGAATGATTAACCACCATTGATACACATCACATCATAGTGAGAATGTACTCTGCAACACCATTGGTGATTTCAGTTATAGTTTCCAAGCAAGAGAATTGTGTTTGGCAACATTTTTTTTTCTTTTTAAATTTAGTTGTTAACCAAGAGAATGGAAGATTTTGTTGGAACCTTGATTAGTGCTTGATACCTGAATTTGACTTCTTATTTTTATTTTTTTATTTTACTGATTGATTGCTCGACACTGGACTGCTAATTAGAGGAGGCCGTGGGGTGATTGGTAGATAAAAGCGCCCTCCCACTCACAATAAAGAACGTTGGGACCAGGCATTTCAGTATTTTCCTATGCATACAATAAACTAATCATTCGATTAACCAAAGTAAACAAATATAACATGCATATATATATATATAGATATACCGTGTATCCGAGAAGTATGGTTCTTCACTTTTCACCACATCCCAATAGATTCAGCTTATGGGTATTAGGTTTACTGCGTATTGGGTCAAGTGTCAAATGTCGAATATTGGAAAGAGGCTATAATTTAATGGTGAGTGAAAGCCTCCTTCCACTTACAATCAAAGTTGCTAGAATCAGGCATTTCAGTATTTTCCTATATATGTTGGTAAAGTGAAAAAAAAAAATTAAAAAAAAAAAAAAATTAATGTTATATGTAAAATGTGTAAATGTAACATTCTACATTTTTCAAATTGAGTACATAAGAAAATTTTGTTAATTTAAATACTGAAATATTTTTAAAATGCCCTAAGACAAAATAAAAATAAAAATAAAAAAACATTGAATTAAGTTTTTAAGGATATATTAAAGATATTTTGGAGTTTTTTTTTTTTAAAAAAGTCAACATTGACTTTCAACATATAATAAGAGACAGTTTGCATGTATTTTCAAATGTTAGGAATTTATATCCACATACTTTATAACATGATTTTTTTTTTTTTTTTTTTTTTTTTTTTTTTTTTTTTTTTTTTTCACTTTACCTATATATACATAAACTTATCATTCTTATATTGGGCATGCATGATAAGAGATTAGGGGTATTCATTTAATCCGAATCTGTCAATTCGTGAAATTGGTCATATCTAATGTCATTCGTCTGAATTTGATTGGTTTTTCTTGATTTCACGGTTCGGTCACGAATCAATAAATAGGGAATCTATAATTCATGGATCAATTTTAAAGTATTATAGTCAATTAGTATGGTCAAAAAAAAAAAAAATGGACTTGGCAATGGTAAGTAGAGTTACTTGACTTCACGGTTCGGTTACGAATTAATAAATAAAGAATTTGCAATTCACAGATTGATTTTAACGTATTGTAGTCTTAAAAAATCAACATGGTCATTATTTATTTATTTATTTTTTTTTTTTTTGGGACTTGGCAATGGTAAGTGGAGTTACTGTGTATTGGGTCAATTGACTCAATTTTAGGAAACCTCGCATATATAGTAATTATACAATATTGCGAGGGGATCCGGGGACAGAGGCTATAAGTTAATGGCGAGTCAAAGCCTCCTTCCACTCACAATCAAAGTTGCTAGAATCAGGCATTTCAGTATTTTCCTATATATTTGGGGTAAAGTGAAAAACAAAATTAAAAAATGTTATATGTAAAATGTGTAAATGTAACATTCTACATTTTTCAAATTGAGTACATAAGAAAATTTTGTTAATTTAAATACTGAAATATTTTAAAAATGCCCTTAAGACAAAATAAAAATAAAAATAAAAATAAAAAACATTGAATTAAGTTTTTAAGGATATATTAAAGATATTTTGTAGTTTTTTTTTTTTTTAAAAAAAAAATAGTCAAAATTGACTGTCAACATATAATAAGGAACAGTTTGCACGTATTTTCAAATGTTAGGAATTTATATTCACATACTTAATAACATGATTTTTTTTTTTTTTGCACAATTTTTATAATAAATGATTTTTTTTTTTTTTTTTTCTTTTCACTTTACCTATATATACATAAACTTATCATTCTTATATTAGGCATGCATGATAAGAGATTCGGGATATTCATTTAATTCGAATCCGTCAATTCGTAAAATTAGTCCTATCCAATCTCATTCGTTCGAATTTAATTAGTTTTTCTTGATTTCACGGTTCGGTTACAAATTGATAAATAAGAAATCTATAATCCATTGATCCATTTTAACGTATCATAGTCTTAAAAAAAAAAAACATGGTCATATATTTTTTTTTGGGGGGTGACTTAGCAATGATTAGTGGGATTAAGGAGTTGGTGGGGAAGAAAAACGATGGTGGTGGGTTTCAAACATGGGCCAAAAACCCCAAACAAAACACACCTTATCACTGAGCTAGTGCTGCACTTACATCAACCATCGGTTCAAATTATATAATATATATACACACACTATTTCTATTTCTATTTTATTATTTTAAGTTTTATTAACTTTTAACCTCGGTTGAAAATTCATCTAATTGGATCATTGGTTAAAAAAGTTTAATTCGCATAAACAATCCTTTCAATTCGGCTTAGTCAGATCCAATTCAATAAATTGTAAAAAAATGAATCGAATTAAATTAAATTTTTATGGATCTGCAAATATCAAATTGAATTAATCTGGGATCCAAGAATATCACCACTAATTTACCAAATTAATCTTACTCTGTTATTAAAAGATTAGTCATCAGTGAAGAAGATTCCAGCCAAATTTACCAATTTGACCCTACTTTGCTTGTGCAATAAGTAGGGATTTAATTTTTCTCGGTAGCCTTTATTATACTCCCTACACTTCTCGTTCGATTAGGTTTCTCCATTGAAATTGTGTATTAGGGTTTCGAGTATTCGATCTCTCCCATTCCCCACTGTTCAAACCCTCCAATTGCTGTGATGGATCACGATATGGGTCTAAATGCTCCTCACTCCATGGGAACAACTATCATCGGAGTTACTTACAACGGAGGGGTTGTTCTCGGTGCCGATTCTAGAACCAGCACCGGTAATTTCTTATACCCTTTCCAATTTTTGGGGGAAAAAGCCACAAGTTTGTGAATTTTAAATGTTTCTGTTGTTAGGAGCCCAAATACATATATGTATATATATGTATGTTTCAAATTTACCTTTCAATTTGTTATGATTCTCATATATGTATCTCCGAGGTTGAAGCCACACTCTTGATTTGTTGCTAGGGGTTTATGTTGCTAATCGGGCTTCTGACAAGATCACACAGCTGACGGATAATGTCTACCTTTGTCGCTCTGGATCGGTATTTCTCATATTCAACTATGCTTGTTCTTATTTGGTTTATCAGTAAAGTTATAGCAGCAATTAACTTGATATGGTCGTATAGTTTCGTGGGTTGGCGATGAACATTGCTTTGCTAATAGACATACGTATACATGTTCTTAGTTATCCACTAGGACTAGCATATATTGTGGTAGCTATGTAAAAGTTTGTGGTATCTCATGATACTTGTTTTGGATGGAATTATTTTCTTTTGAAATTTCTGCAAATTGTGCTACTATTAAAACAAATTTTCCATATAAGTTGTGAAACTTGTTTTGAATAGAACACTTCTTGTTGTGGTTTCCCCCTTTTCTTGTTATTCTCCTTGCTTTGTATTTTTAGGGAACCCCTATGAGGAATAAGATGACAAAGTTCAAAAGTAATACACACATACATATATATATAAGATATGATCATCTGTTTGATTATAGGCTGACGTGGAATTTGTTTTTTTGATGCAGATATTTTAGTTATGATATATTGAGAGAATGTAATTTTTTATTTTTTTACACATATTATAGTGGTCTCTACTTCTTCTTCAAATGGATCACTTACAAGTATTTTTCTTACAGGCTGCAGACTCTCAAATTGTATCCGACTACGTTCGCTACTTTCTTCATCAGCACACGTGGGTGATATATTTCTTGCATATTTTCAAAGATTTGTTCCTCTGAATTCCTTTAGGAGTTACATCAGCGGTGCTTATGCATTTGTGATTATTTGAATACTTTGTGTCTGTTTAATCATAAATTGCTGATAGTTTGATATATTTCTTGATCAGCACACGTGGGTGATATATTTATTGCATATTTTCAAAGATTTGTTCCTCTGAATTCTCTTAGGGGTTACTTCAGCAGTTCTTATGCATTTGTGATTATTTGATTTTGTTAATACATCTCTTTGCAAAACCTCTAAGTCATAGATATCTCTTGGATAAGAAACAACAGGCTTAGTTGGACTGTGAACCCAAAGACGGAAGGCTACCCAAAATCTAATGCAAGATCATTGATTCGATGGGACGATGCATTGTTTCCAAGGAAAGAATTCACTGAAGTTGCCCATAAGGCCTGATTTCCCACTGATGCAGAATGGGTTTCTGAGCAATCCATTCCAAGTTATGTCCAAATCTTTGAAGTTTGAAGGCTCATCTGTGGAAGGACACCCTTGAGAGTGATTTGGGTCATTAGGTTCTTTTAAGTTTGTAGTTTCACATATTAGGGCTGCTTTATCTCTCAGTGGGTTTTCTTTGGTTATGGTCTAAATGCTCTTATTTCTAAATTCTATCTGTAATTATTTTTTCCCCTAGATCAAGAATGTCCATTTAGGAACAAGTAGATCAATTATAACCTATCTGCAAACCAACTTTATGTTCATTGTAGTTATGACCATTATATTTTTCCCCCCACATCAAGAATTTCCTTTTTATGAACAAGTAGAGGAATTATAACCTATCTGCAAACCAACTTTATGTTCATTGTTGTTATGACCATTCCATCTGCGGAAGATTAATAAGTTAATTGGATCATGTGGATCATGTTTAATAGCTTGTTTTGCTATTATTTTGAGTTTAGTGATGTTTGCTTACCAATAGTAGCGGGCTGTTGTATTTTGTAATCCTGTTTTGTTTCATTTTTGTAGCTATTGATTTGGTTTTTTGCAATATATCTTGAGAGCAAGCATCGTCTGTTACAACCTACAATTCCAAAATTTTCCATAGATGGACCACCTCTCATGAAGTAGTTTTCTTTTTGTGCAGGATTCAGCTGGGGCAGCCTGCAACTGTTAAAGTTGCCGCAAACCTTGCAAGGCTATTGTCATACAATAACAAGGTCCGAGTTCACAAATTTAGTTTGTAGAGGATATTTCAATCATGCAATTGCTAGTCATTGTTTTAGTTATTTACTAAGGTCCTTTTTTCCCTAATTTAACAATAAAATGGAAATTGGTATTTATGATTGTTATTGGAAGAATTGTTCTGTTTTTTTCTTTTTCTTTTTTGTAATTTTTTTTTTTTCCCCTTCTTAATGTGGTTTTAATGAAATCTCATTGTAAGGAAGAGGATCTAGGATCAAAATTTAGAACACAGCATGTGAACAAATTTTTATTTGTCGATGGTGTTTACAGCTATAGATTAGGTTAGACCACCATGCAGTTGTAAAAATTTTAAATATCTTTAATCAACTAATCAATCTTTTCAGTTTCATGCAAATATTGCCACCCTTCATTTCTCTGTATCATGGTGTTAACAAAGTGGCTTGACTTACGAGGCTGTATTTGAACACTGTGCTGCTCATGAGGTTCGAAGGGGTGTGGCAGAATGTCACAGGCTGCATGCCAAGTTATTTGCCACATCACCCACAACACACATACTGGACAGTCATCAAGGCTCGGTTTATGACAGCATTTTTGTAAAACATAGTGGCATTCTTCTAGTATTTTTTAGGATTATAATTTTACACCTACTATGGTTATAAAATATAATTATTAAGTAGGTGCAAGATTTTATGATTGTGACTCCTTATGCGGTGGTAATGTTGTGTTAACAGTCCCAAAAATGTGAGTTTTGCGTATATAAAGGAAATCCAGTTGGGTAAATTTCGTGTCCATTTGCTTGTACATTGCACCTGAGTCTAATTGCAGTTTGGGCCCAGCGCAACCCTTTTTGTGACTACATTTGTTATTACATTCTGCCGATTAGTCATTGCTAACTTGTTAGTTTGCTTGTGGGTTGGCTCGCACTTTTAGCGTAAACCTCATTCATGGGAATGCTCTATTATTATTATTATTATTCTTAGTTGGTACTCACACACTATGTTACATGGACTCTTCAAAAGTAGTGAAGTACCCATGTCGGACACATATTGCTCGAACATGGGTATGGGATATGTGTCTGACACTGTTGGTTGGACGTGTACTTAAACATGTCTAATCATTCAATTATATTATGTTATTATTTAAAAATGAGTTAAATGCCTATATTGAACATTATATTAGATAAAAACATTACTTTACTCTAAAAAATAAAATAAAATAACTAATAAAATGAACATTTGGCCGTGTCCGTGTGTCCTTCTGTTTGGAGATTTGAACGCATGGACATATACCCGTATCCGACACACCTACCTAAGTCCATGTAATATAGTTCACACTCACCCCCTCCAAGGAATTGTTTGCACCAAAGAGTAGTCAAACCTTAGACTTGATGCTTCTTGAGGCACCAGAGTCAAGTGACTTTTCCACTTGAGCCAATGCCTTGGGGTTAGGATTACTCGTTTGTGTACATGGCACATCAGACAACTCTCCTTTCTTACATATGAGAGTGGATTATGACTTTATCAGAGCTAAAGATCAAGCTGTAGATTATGCTCATATTGTGTCAGGTTCTGTTTATTAGAATTGTTTGTAATGGATATCCATGGGCATTCATTGCTTCCTATGAAAGGGCCTTGGCATTATTTTGGTTCCCTCCTTTTTCTTCTATTTTTCATTATATATTCTTTTCCTGTGGGAATTTACAAATTTGGGAAGTGGACTTTCTTGATGATAACCTATGTAGGAGTAACCTTTTTATGACTTGCTCTTGTTTAAACTGGGAAGGTTTCTGGTATGCCCCTTTCCTAGGTCTTTTGCTACTATTATGGAGGGGAACCTACTTCCCCAAGATCATTTGGTATGTTCAGCTGTTTGCAAAGGTTGCCTTTGCTCTTGGGTTTTTTCTACAAGATTCTCACATTGTATAACCTGATCACTAGGAATTGGGCAAAGATTCTCAGTCTATAACCTGATTGGTAGGAATTGGGCTTTGCCTAGCATGTGTCTGTGCAACTCCAGTTGAAATTTTATTAACATTTCCTCCATGGTACCTCCTTATATGGCATTTGGCCCCTCTCGCTTCATAGTTTGAATCGTCATGGTTTTCTTCAATTGGGAAATTCATTTCTTATATGGTTAAGGATCCAGTTTCATCTCCTTTGGAGATTCTTCTTCGTGATCTTATGGAGTTAATGATATGAGAAACTGAAGAGGCATTAATGGAGTAGAGGGGTTTAGTGGCATGGCCTTTGTCCTATAGTCACGATTGTTTTGATTCATTGTATGGATTTACCCTATGATATTGAGAAAGTGGAGAGATACTAGTGATGTGGATGAGATTGTGGGATGCCTTTTTAGTCTGTACTATAGTCCAGGGTTGTATCGGTTCACTTTCTTTATATTCAGAGATTGGGTTTTCATGGCTTGGGAGGCTCGGACCAACTTCTTTAGAGAGTTTCTTTTACACCATCTTCTGTAGTACCTGGCTAGAGAATAAATGGAGAAGTGTTGATGGCATAGAGAATTTGTTGGTTTAGCCCTTTTACATTAACAGAAATGGTTTTGGTAAATCATATATATATATATATATATATATTAGAACTGTTTAGTTGCTCCCTAGTGCAGGGAGCAACATCCGAGGCTGGAAGCATATGCGTTCTATTTCATCCAATGGCTTTAATCTAAAACAGCTATTTTATATATTTTCCAGTTTCTGAAAGGTGGAAACCAATCTTGATTGTGTGATGGTTTATTGTATTTTTGCTTTTGTCTCAAGTCCAGCAGCCAATCTTGCCCTTCATTTTCGTTTGTTGAGTTTGTTAAATATTTACATTTTGCTATATAAATATCTTATGGATTTTACAGAATTTGCTGCAAACTGGTCTAATTGTTGGCGGATGGGACAAATACGAAGGAGGCAAAATATTTGGAATTCCTCTTGGTGGAACACTAATAGAGCAGCCTTTTGCCATTGGAGGTTTATTTTCATTTCAAACTTATTCATCTCTCTCTGTGTTGCTTTATTTTTGGTTGAATTCTTAACAGAGAATCTCTCTTCTTTGGAAATATTTACTGTTGAATCAAGAGGAATTTCTTTCTAATATCATGCTTTTATATGAATATTTAAGTAAATATAAAATATAAATATTTTACATTAATTACCATTGAACTTGTCCGTTTCAACATTGAATTTTGAAAAAATGTAGCACAAGTTATCCCATTCTTTGCTCAAATGTAGTGGTGAAATTTGAGGAACATTCAAGATACTAAAACTGAAGTTTGGAGTTGAAGGGCGCAGTGGAAGGTCATGGAGTTGGAGGTTGGGACTGCAAAGAAACTTGCACAACCAAGGTTTTAGGTTTTTAGCTATGATGAAGTATCTTTATCATTTTACTTATCAAAAAAAAAAAAAAAGTGTCTTTATCATTTCTACTTTTCAATAAACGGGGTGGAGCAGAGAGGACCCTGTTGGAGCTCAAGTAGCGCCTCCCTAATCTTAATTACAACTCTTTGATATTTTTTTTGGGCATTGACATGGGTACTAATCCCTCTCCCAATAAACCCTCCACGCCTTGCCTTGTACTGGGACTTGAACCTTGCACCATTTCTTTTAAAATCAAGAGATACAACTTGAGCTAGATGGATCGTAGCTTTACCTAATATTACAAGTATGTACTATCCTGCGTCTTTCATAAAATTACACGTATTAAGTTATTTCTCTTTAGCTTTTGATGATTAAACTTTGTTGTGGCTGTTACTAAAATTATCATGTTGAAAGATTTGTTGTGGTAGTAGTACGTTCACCTGCAATTCCACTGCAATTCTTTTGTCTTTTTATGTGGGTTTTATAGCTTGACAAACTTGTACAGGATCTGGGTCTAGCTACTTGTATGGGTTCTTTGATCAGGCATGGAAAGAAGGAATGACCAAGGACGAAGCTGAGGTATGTAGATTTTGATGTTACTTATTGGAAGGAAATAATAGCTATGTCAGAATTAGTTGTCCAAAGCTCCATATTTTTCTTTGGTTTGGTAGGACTTAAACCTGCTAATAAACTTAAATTCATGTACAAACTAAAAAAACAAAAAACTAATATGGTATAATCTTTATTTAGTTCTATCAAAGTGATCATTGGAATTTTCCCAAGAAAACAAATCTGATGACTCAACTGTTTTGTCCTATAGTTGCATTTTAATTCCAGTCTGTGTGTGTGTGTTGGGGGGTTATAATAATAGATATTTCTTTGCGATAGGTGTCTCAGTAGGTCCTCATCATCTTTCCCTTTATACCATATGTATGGCCACATTTCTATTACAAGTCATATATCCTATTATTTCTGTAAACTCATTTCTAATTATTTAATCCCATGTGAGTTTTGGTCGGCTTTTCTGTCTCTTACCTTCTATGCAAATTAATCTACCTCCTTTTCAATGTTTTCATACCTGTCCATACAAGGGTCTTGGTTAACATGACCATATGACCTGAGTCTACTTTCTCTATTTTATAATTAATAGGTGTTTCAGTAGGTATTTTTAATTTAAACCTTGACATAATAGAAGGTTTAAGGTAAGATTTTATGGTAATAAGTTCATTATTCATAGGAAGGGTAATTGCTCACCTCCTTCCCGCTCTTACAGAGAGCTTGATAAAAAAAACATTGATTTTTACACCATTAAGCTGCCTAGGAAAGATAAAAAGAACAGTAAAGAATTGTTGTTTCTTTAGCTGAAATTTGTATTCATTCTTAATATCTAATGGCTTTTGGTGTTCTGCTGCAGCAATTGGTGGTTAAAGCAGTTTCCCTTGCCATTGCTAGAGATGGTGCTAGTGGGGGCGTTGTTCGCACTGTTATTGTAAGATTTTCTCATCTAACTTGGGTCTCTGGCTTCACCTTTGTGTCCCTGTATCCACTTACTGACGCAGCTTCTTGTTTATGGGCATTTTCAGATTAACGCTGATGGAGTTACCAGAAACTTCTACCCGAGTGACAAGCTTCCACTGTGGCATGAGGAGTTGGAGCCTCAGAATTCATTGCTGGACATATTGAATGCTCCTGGACCTGAACCCATGAACATATAGTGAAAGATGATCTGATTCTTGATTAGTGTTTTGATCTTTCTTTCATTACCTTGGATTGTATGCACTGTTCTTTCTTTGGTCAAATGATAGAAGAATGACCGTACACTGATTTACAATTGCTTTTAAAAAGTGCTGGGTCATTGCAAAAATTGGATTTCTACATGGTTATTATGGCTTCATAAAAGCGAAATTGCATTCAATCATATGAAGGGTGGATGCAACGAAAATTATATGGTGTTTGTTCTTTGGAAGTTGTTTTGGGAATTAAGTATGCAGAATCGAATTTATGTTTCTTTCTCAACAAAATCTATGGTTAAGGACTATAAATGCAAATGTACGTAGTTAAGACTTTGTGAGAAATACGGAACAATGAAAGAGAGAGGCCTTAACAGGGGATTTGAGGGGGAGAGGTGTGGTTGCCGGGAGTTGTCACGGGTAGGATTCATTCTTTTGCTTAGCCACTGGAATAGGGCTGAGGTGATCTTGAACAGGGAATTGAAATGGTTATTGATTTAGGACTCTGGCTGACTTTGTTCTATATATATTCTCTGGTTTTTTTTTTTTGTTTTGGGTTTCTGTATGGATGTAATGTGTTATCTTTCTATTTACAGACATGGGTAAGATTTTGCTGAATTATGTTGAATTGCATCGTGTACATTGTTTTTGTTGATGGTTTTGTTATTGTTTGATTTGTGAAGTTTTTATAGCCGGTGTAACAACTCACTAGTGGTATTAGACCTTTGTTGATTGTGAAGTATTAAGTGCTTTGGGTAAGTCATCTTGAAAAGGCCTTGAATTGTGTGTAGATTGGTTTTGGCTTTTTAAGTGGTATTTCTTTTTAGAATATATATTGTTTATTAATTTTTGGGTAAAGTGCAAATAACCCCCCTGAACTATGGGGAAATTTGCAACTAACCCCCTGAACTACCAAAAATGCAAAAAACCCCTCAAACTATACAAAAAAGTTGCAGATCACCCCATCCGGTGACCGGCCGTCCAAAAATGAGCGCGTGATTCACACGCGACAGACAAACTAAGTTTTTTGGACAATAATGCCCTTCTATATATGAAAATACCAAATTATCCTATAACCACCACCACCGTCGTCTACGACCACCACCACCTTCTGCAACCACCAACATAACCACCACCACCGTCCGCAACCACCAACATAACCACCACGAAACCCTCCTGAACTCATGCCAAAACACACCGTTAAACGAAATCAAACCCACCACCATCACTACCACCTCCATCGGCATCTCAACGGCACACCACCAAACCCAATCGAACCAGTACACAAACCCACAGCCACCACCCCAATCCCGCCACCACCATCACCCGTCATCACCAACCACAGCCTAACCTTCTCTCCATCAAACCCATCACACACCGTGAAACCAAACCCCCACTAACCCACTGCCATCACCCCCTTCAATCACAATCTCTGGTTCTCCCTCGGGAACGAAGGCGGTATGGAACTGCTACTCGGTGGCGTCGAATTCCGGTCTGATAGCGGAGCACTAGTATGGGCGGCGATGGATCCGTATGCGAGCAACGAAGCTTTCAATTGCAGCAACGGCGATCTGTTCAAGTGGAAGCACTTGTGGAGAATGATTGCGGAGTAATTTGGGGTCGATGAAAACGAGAAGTGGGTGACCGTCCCGATCGGAACAGGGAGGTTGGTGGATGAGGCGAAGCCCGGCCGCTGTGCAGCTAAGCCGCAACCAGCCCATCGCCGCGAGTTAACCATGGCCGAACCAGCCCATTGCCGTTCAGCCCACCTTGCTCGCCGGTCCTCTCCACCATCCGAGCTCGTTCCAGCTGTCACCGCAAGAGACGGTGGCGGGGCAGGCGCAGGAGATGACGGCAGCGAGATCCCAGCGGCGACGAGGATGATTTGGGTTTTGACGCGTCGACTCCGCATCGTCACCATAATCGCCGACTTACCTCCTCTTCCGTCACCATAATCGCCGCCGCCGCCACCATCTTTTTCCTTCATTTTCTTCATGATTCAATCTCCAGCCTGATGCTTCTCTCTCTCTTCAATCTCCAATGTTATATATATATATAAACACATATATATAAATTCAGAAACACACCAGAAATATATATATATATATATATATATATATATATGTTTATTTATTATTTTATTTCTTTATATATATATATATAATCATAAGGGCAATTCAGACTTTTTATTTTTCCGGTTAAGTCAGTCACCGGAATGGACTGAAATGCAACAAATTCATAGTTTAGGGGGTTTTTTTTAGTTTAGGGGGATTAGTTGCAATTTGTCAATAGTACAGGGGGGTTATTTGCACTTTACCCTTAATTTTTTGACGATAGATTTTGCTAGTTGAGTCTAAGATTTTACTGGATTACTGTTTCAAATTTCTATTTCGATTTAGATTTATGTTATATGTATTTTTTTTTTTCTCCTTCTGGTAAGTGAAAAAGTACTGGACTTTAGGACTCCATAAATGTATAGATGCCTAATTTTGCTCAGTATTAATGATTTAAGCTACATATAGAAGGAAGTGTTTTTCTATCAAAAAATCAGAACCATTTAGCTCGCTATGTTACACATATTACAAGTGATACAGTCGTTAATGTGAAAGTACGTAATAGTAACAAAGTCAACATATTAGCAGTTTGAAGTGTTGACTTTGCAAAAAACCCATTTAGCATTTTGAAACTGAACCGTGAAGTAATTTGTATAAATCTTAAATTTCAATTCTTTAAACTTTTTTAACACTTAATTTTTAGTTTTATTAAACGAAATCAATTTTTCATAATTATCCTTTAAAAAAAGAAAAAAGAAAAAAGAAAAAGAAAACAAACATCTTTCTTAGTATTTCGGGCTCTTAAAAACGGTTGTGATGTGGATTGCAACGATTGGAGTCTAAGGAGTAAAAAGCTAGACAAATTAGGTCCAATTATCATTTTCCAAACAGAAAATGTATTTCAATGCCCTTGACACTGCAAGTAATGCGTAAGTATCAAACAAATTAGAGAGAGAGAGAATGGGATCGACTACGGTGGTTTCAGTGGGTGCCAATTCTTCTTCTTCTCAGGGGATGGTTCATAACGTCTTCGTATACGGGAGTCTGCAAGCTGAGGAGGTTGTTCGAGTCCTATTGAAGCGTGTTCCTCGATCTTCTCCCGCCATCCTCAACCACCAGTCAGTCTCTCTCTAGATTTCACTTCTATTTCTCGTTGTTTTTCTTGTTTCTGTTATTCTAATTCATTGGATTATACTCTCTCAAGAGTATTTTAGATTCATTTACATTCTCTTATAGCAAATGATCGTTGTATGCAACACCCATTCAAGGGGGGTTTGATCAGGTTTTACTTCCGAAGAGGGTTTTGGAAATAAATTATGGTGATGACGATCATGATTTGTGGTTTTTTGGTTTTTAGGTATATAATTTTTGGGTTTCAGGTGCAGTTTTTATTTGAGCATAACAAAATAGTGTTTTTTTTTTTTTTTTTTTGTTACTTATAAATTAGCAAAATTAATATTGGATGATAAGTAACAGCAAGAGAAATTTATGAATCATGAAGAAGGTAATTAGTCTTTGAAGTCTTATGCTTGAATTGAGAAACCAAATTTATTTAACTTCATGTGTATACGACCCACTACTGAGTCTACTGAAGTGCAAACTTAGTTAAATACTCCTATTATACATGTTCGTTAAGACCTAATTCTACGAAGTAAAAAGATGCACATTAGTCAAAAAAATCTGAATCATAACACGAAATACTTGTTCTTTTAATTAAACAGTATATAATACATGTAATAAGCGCGTGCTATACATGATTCTAAAATTTAGAATCTTCCCGTTATTTCAATTTGTAAGTGTGTCACTCATGGATCATTTTCTCGGTTCTAAAATTATTAATTGGATTTGTTACTCGTGAAACACTAAAACATTTCATTGTTGTAGATAATTGTAATTTTTTTCAACTTTTCTAGTGCAACCATTTCCGGTCTCTAATAGCATTCAAATGGCTTGCTTTCTTGTAGCCATAGGTTTAGCATCAAAGGACGTGTTTATCCTGCTATTCTGCCTGTAGAGAATAAGAAGGTTACAGGGAAGGTTTGTTTATTATGCTATGAGATTTGGTTTCTTTGGTGTATATATGACTTTATTTTTTATTTAAATGAAAAATAAAAAATTTCTTTCTTTGCTATTATATTTGAATTCTCTTCATGTGCACTTTCTCTAACATGTGACAGTGGTAATTAAAGTTGCTAAAGTAACAAATTTTATTTGTAGAATTATTTGTGATCGGAAACATAATTACAAAATAAGTTCCTTGTCTTAGGAGTTTACCATACAAACTCATCAAAACAAATTGATTAAGGTCATAAGAATGTTGATGAAAATTAATTTATACATATTTGAAGCAGGAGACCACTTTATTTTTGTTTCTGGTGGCATTAGTTCTTTTCATAGTTATTAAAGGCCCAAGGCACACCAAGGCACTAGAGGTCCTTTGGAGCCTAAGCGCACGGCGAGGCGCGTGCCTGAGTGAAGTGAGGTGCACAATTGAAAATTTAAACTACCATAATAACATTCATATCTCATAAGTCATATCAATATTCTAAAAATTAATATCAAATATAAAAAAGTGAATCCATCAACTATACAAGCATCCAACAACCATAAAACAGAGCACAAATTTGTTTTCTTGAAAGGCAAAGCAAAATGTGTTTTTTGAATGGCAAAACAAAGTACAAAAAGAAATAAATATGTTAACAAAAAAAAAAAAAATTCTTAACAAGATAAAAAACGAAAAGAAAAAATAGAGCAGAAAAAAGAAGACAGAGAGATGAGAGAACTAGACGAAGAGAGAGATGTAAACAAAGATAAAAAGAGAGGAGAGATCTAGAGGAGAAGAGAGAAAAAGAAAAGAAAAGAAAGAACTGACGTGGCTTCCTCGTTCATCTCTGCAACTAGCGCTTCGTCTTCGTCTCATAATCTCATTCTATCATTGTTCGGTTAACACTTTGACTCATGGCTTTCTTATTTTTTTATTCTTTTGAACAAAAGTTCCTTATATCGTATGATTGAGCTCTCTTTTTTGTTTATTAAGTTGCCAAAAGTACCATTTTTGGCTTAAGAAATAGAACAATCGTATTTTTTTAAACAAATATCAGTGAGGCACGCCTAGGCGCATCTCACAAACAGGACGAGGCGCAACCGAGGCGCGCGCCTAGTAAACATCAGTGAGCCTGGAATGACAACAAGCACTAAACCCGAGGCTCGAGCCTAGGCGCGCCTTTAACAACAGTGGTTCTTTTATGTCTCCTTTGCCTAATGATCATGGCTTAAAATTATAAACGCGGGAGATATAAGATTATGGATGGAACCTACTGAATTGATAACGTAATGCATAAACAAGTAGGTTCTTTCCAATTTATGTGAAGTATTTTGCTTGATGCCATATTTTTTCTCCTTTTCCTTTTTTGGGTGCTTTCAACACCCTCTGTTTTAGTTGCTCAACTTTATGTATAAACGATCACATTGATTGATATGTAAAAGTAGATTATTCATAGTTCCTTAAGCTCTTTTTTTTTTTTTTTTTTTTTTTTGAGATAAGTCGGAGCTCCTTAAGCTCTTATCATATTTTCCTTTCATTTGCTCTCAAGTCTTTGTCAAGTTCGCATTATCTTGAGAAAGTTATTATTGTTTATGTCACAAATCTTAGCAAATATGTTATTATTATTGTTATTTGATAAGAGTATATATGTCAAGTTTCGTATGTTATTTTTTACTTCAATTCTCACTCTCTTTCATAAAGTACTTGTAATTTTGATGCAAGAATGGGCAATGAATTTTTTTTATTTCAATTGGTTTGCTCTGGTTTCTAGCTTTCTATCAATTGTCTCAGATGTTCCTTATTGTTGGGAACCATATTGTAGTTTTTTGCAACAAACTGGTGAGTTGGATGGTATAAGATTGGGACTGCATCTTCATACAACGATATGTAGAACTCTGAAGACATGCTATCTTAAATGATGCAAATAAAGATCTTAATTTCCTCCCAAGTACTCGCATTATTAATTTTAATTCTCTGTTATTTCTCTGATTATGATTTGCAACATCTTATGAGCTTTTTATTGTTTATTTTGTCAAATTTGCCCACAATATGATTTGGATGTCTTACTCAACTAGAGATCTGGTTATAGATCTTTCTGGAGCATTTTATTTTCTCTATTGAATTTCATCAATGGGTTCAGATCGTCTTTCCTCAGACCATCCTAATTTCGTACCTACTGAGAAACTGCCAGTTGAGCCTCCTGTAATTAACTTCTTGACCATGAAACCTCTCACCTAGCATTAGAAAATAAAAATTATTGTCGAGTGGTTGATTCCAAGTGAAGTGGATTTCTTATGGAAATTTTAAATGTATTAACTAGGAAAATTTTGTCATGGCTCTTTTGTTTATAATGTTTGCTAGGCAGAGAATGGAAATTACATTAAAGGCCAATAAGAAATGTGGATATCAAAAGAAAACATTAAGAAGTAGAAAGTACTTGATGCCATGCTTTTATCTCATTACTTGTTCTTTTTGTTCTTTGTTATCGAAACTCGAACCTGATTATCACATTCCTCGGATTTTGGAAGAGACCAGGAAACTTGTGTACATGTGAGTTAATGTGTCATTAGTCCTCTTCCATCAGTTAAAAGTAGCTAACCATGTTAACTGCCTGATATGAATGTGTCTACCCCTCCACCCACAATTATATTACGTTTTCAAGTGGCGTAATATAATTGAGTTAATGTGTCATTAGCCCACCATGTTCTTTTACTGTCCTGCATGGGCTTAAACATGAACAGGAGAGTGAAAATGCTTAAGCAGTACTCCAACCATTCACATTCCTTTGGAACATTGACCTGACCAGTAACTGGCAAAAAATACTTTTCAGACACAATTGACGCATATGTTTTATTTTGATTGATTTATCCTCATGTTGAGGTTCTTTGCCACTCCATAACTATTCTCACTTAGTTCTACACCCTTTACAATAAATAAATATTTTTATTCCATCGATATTTTATTTCAATAAAATTTTGCTGCAGGTCCTCCTGGGGATAACAACTCCCGAATTAGACATTCTGGATACGTTTGAGGATGTTGAGTATGAGAGGAGGACTGTTGAAGTTTCTTTGATGGTATGTGCAACTGAAATTACCTTGAGGACTTTAAATGCTTTGTTGATGAACTAATAATATCACTTAAAATATAAGAGGCTTGAAATGAGAGATTTATGTAGAAAACGCAGCAACCCCTGATTGTTGGAAGAGTTATTGAGTTCTCCTGATTACTGGAGCCCTTTGGTGGCTAACCTACTTGACATGGAGAAGGAGAGCTACCAGTGAGTTTAAATGTGGGAATAATGTAACTAAATGGAATATATCTGATAAAAACTAATACCAACAATCTAACTAAGCCATAATATTTTATACTTTTTTTGGTCAGGGGAGTATATGGTCAATTTTAAGGAGTATGATTCGAGTTTGATTTCTGTCAAATTTAGTGATATAATGTGGTTATCACTATATAATTTCATTGTTTTTTAACTGTTAAAGAAGGACGTTGTGGGGAAATTTTGCAGGATAGTTCTGAGAAGTTACAGACTTACGCATATATTTGGAGCAACCAGGATGATCCAAGCTTATATGGAGAATGGAATTTGGAGGTAACCCTGTTATCTTTTCTTCAACTTGCTCATATACTTGAACTGCTGCATGGATAGAACCTCTGCAAAGAAACAAAAAGCAGTAGGGGATGGAGTGGGGGGAATGAGCTGTGAACTCACTTAGATTTAGCAAAGAAATGACATATGCTAATTGGATATAAAATTTATTCAAATAGGTGTGGTGGAACTTTGTCCAGCTCTAAAAAGGATTTGTATGAACCTAATTTGTTGAAGTTGGAATTTGTTTGGTGCAAGTTTTGCAGTCTACAATCTTGCAATGCTAGTTATAGACATTAGGTATCTTTTTAATGTCTTTAAATGTCAAACAATGAGGTCCTAAGTTGGCACAAATAACTTGAAGTTGTATGGCGGTTGTTGTTTCTTTTTTCTTTTTCTGTAATGAAAAAGAAATCAATTTTGTAGTGGAACTCGAGAGCAAAGACTTAAAGAGGAATACTGAAAGCAAAGCGTAGGCCTTAAGGGTTTGTGCACCCCTCCTTATGAAATAGAGGTTGTAATGCTGAAATGGGGTCTTCCTTGCTATTATTGTTACCAGAACGCTTTTTTTCTTTTCTTTTCTTTTGTGTTGTTACATTTCCATTGATAATACATGTAAGCAGAGTTGCTGACAATGCCCAAATAGGGAGGGAGAGTTAGGATCAACTAGAGAAATCGAAGCATAAACATAGTTCAAAAAAATATGTGGAAATGGTAAACAAGAAACAATTCAAGTGGACTAGGATTCTGATGGGACAAATTACTGAAAATCTTGATAAAACAAATAGTGTAGGTTAGGAATTTGTATTGAAAAAAGAAAACGTAGTAATTATGGAATAAATAGAAAAAAACTGTTAAAAAAAAATTCATTTGAATTTTGACAAAGAAGAAAGGGCTTGGGAAGCATTGTATGTGTGTGTGAGAGAGTGAGAGAGAGAGAGATCGTTCCAAGGCAAACTAGTCTCTCGTAAGTTTCCCATCATTTCCAACTGCTTTGAGGATATTCTCAATGAGATTCTAGTTCGTTAAAAAATTGTAACTGTTTCCATTAAATTTTCTAAATATTTTTCAAAAGTTTTGCCTAAATTGTTTCGGGCTTTCTTTCTAGCTTCCGAAACTGATTTCTGAGAAAGCAGGTATCCACCTAAATGTTAACAGCTATTATATTGCCAATGCTTTAACTGTGGAAACTTTATTTGTTCTTGCTTTTACCAAATTTAGTATTGGGTAGTGATGAAAATGAGCACATGAGTTATAGAATTTAATATCACACATTCATTTTACAAGGAATGGAAACAAGTACACATGAATGATTTCGTGAAGATGACCATGGGGTTTGCGGAAGAACTGGAGGTACCTGAACCAAAGACGAGAGTGGAAACATATGAAAACTTCTATCAGTAGAGTGGTGACAATTTCCCCATGTCTTGATGCTATTATTTATTAAAAATAATGTTTATACCCTCATGTCTTGGTAAGAATGTATGTTTTTAAGTACTATGCAACTTTTTTTTTTTTTTTTTTTTTCTCTTTTTTCTGGTAAGGATTATTCATCCCATATTCATTATTACTTTGTTATAATTGTTTGTCTACCCTCTTATTAGAGAGTTTGTTTGTTGGGGGTAGACCAAATTCACGTTTGTTTTTTATTTTTTATTTTCTTCTTTTTCTTAGGCCAATAACATATGGCATCATCTATTATAGAAACTTGAAACCTCAACGGACCATTCATTTTGAGAGGTGAGGGGATACACTGAGTTACAATCTTTGATTTGTTTCTGAGTATTAAAAATATATATAGTATAAACATATGTTTTGAAGTGTGCAAAAAGTATCAAATATTTACCCAAAAAAAAAGTATAAAACATAGAGTAATGTTAATGTGGAGGCTCCACTGTTATATTTCTCATAAAATTCGACCGGTTGGACTTATCCCGAGATAGTTTTAATGCAGAAAACTCAATTAACTGGCAATATAGTAAGAGTAATTTTCTTGCATAAAGTACAACCGGTTGGAAATATAGTAAGAGTGATTTTCTTGCATAAAGTTCAACCAATTCTAATTTGATATTCAACCGGTTGACCCTTTAGATCAAAATACTTTAAAAAATAAAAAATTAATGAACAAATTATATTATCACGTTGCCAATGTTAAACTGATTTCACACAAAAAAAAAAAAAATGGTTCAAGATATCATAAAATTAAAACATATAAGGCGATCAAGGTTGGTATTGTAATTTGTTCAAAAGAAAAAAAATTGTAAAACTTTTACTGATTTGCATGATTTAGGATAAATGAATTTTAGTATGAAAAATTGGCTATAGTTATCTTTTCAGTCATCTTTCAAGTGGTTAGATTCATACATTAATATTATTGCATGATCGTGATAAAATGACAACATTTATAAGAAATGTTAGCACTTAGTAGAACTCATCATAACATTACTCTAAATCATGGAGTCAAAGTATTTATTAATAAAAATCATTTAGTTAAAGTATTTATTGATAAAATTATTTTTACATTACAGATCTTTTTAGGAAGTATTAAACACATAAAAGTATGATTGCAGTATTTCACCATTAAAACAAAAGGATGATACTTCATTGCTTCCTGGTTATTTATTTAATTTTTTTTTTTTTAAAGGAAAAAAATGCAGGGAATATAATAAACTTTTCAATACGCTTGGGATAAATACAAAAGTGGAGGGCAATTGCATAAAAATATATATAAATATGAAAAGCGGAGCGCCCGTCAGTTGGTCTATATATTGGGTCCAAAGTCCGCAGTTGGTGACAAAGCGTGCTAGGGTTAGGGTTAGGGTTAGGGTTAGGGTTCATACTTCATATCCAATCATAGACGGCGGCCGTCAGTTCGTCTATATATTGGGTCCAAAGTCAGTGACAAAGCGTGCTAGGGTTAGGGTTCATATTTCATATCCAATCCCAGACGGCGGCTTTGCGTTTGTGTAGGGCGATGGATGGTACTGAGAGAGAGAGAGTGATGAGATATCTGTATGTCTTTGTGTGTGTGCTTGTGTGTGTATGTGTGAGAGAGAGAGAGTGATGAGATCTCTGTATGTCTTTGGGCGTGTGTTTGTGTGTGTGTGTGTGAGAGAGAGAAGAAACGTGTGTGAATTGGGTGGGTTATGGGACTGGAGTTTGGCTCTTTGGCTGTTTAAAGAGTGCCTTAGAGATGAATGCAGCTCCCTATATCAATATTCGACTTCCCCCATTATATTCTGCTAGAATTTTCTCTATTTCTAGTGGAATTCCTTGGTGAGTTGATACATTCATTTTTAATCTTTTAAGAGTTCCTCTCATAAACTTTGTTTAGTTGACTCTAATATTTCAAATTCAGCTCTATGCAAAAATAAGCCAATGCTTACACACACTCTCAATCTAATTGAGTTAGGTTTACTTAAAATTGATTAAAATCTTCATTGAAAGATTATAACAGTTTTTGTTTTCTAAGAATTAAGAATCAGAAAATTGGTTGACAATTTCTGAAAATTGTTTCTACATACTCAATTTAAAAATAAAAAAAAATTAAAAAAGGGCTGTTTTTGTTTTTTGAGTTTATAAGAATAGTTTTTGTCCTTAGTTTCTAAAAATTGTGAATACGTTATTATTTTTTATCTGAGTCCCTGTTTTGTAGGTGGATTTGATAGGGGATTGAATGATCCAAATCCTTTGGGGTTAGCATTGTTGAGTATGTTTGTGTCTTTTGGCTATTTACTCGTGGACAGAGTGTAACGCAAAGTAACACGGTCCGTTTTACTTTTCGTTTTAAGTTTTGAGAATCTCTCTCAATAAACAAAACACATCGACTCCTAGCAAATCAATGAGTCATTCTATTAAGGTTGGAGTAATTGTTGCGGTGGAATGAAATAAAAAATAAAAAATAAAAATGAAATGGTTTTTATTTTATTTTTATGTTTGGTGTTTAATTTTAAACCTAGAATGGTCATTCTTCACTATTTTTTGAAAATGGTCATTCCATCAAAATTATTTCACTTTTTTACAAAAGAATGATCATTTCATCCTTACTTTAAAAAAATACAAACTAAACAAAATATTAAAAAATAAAATCTAACAAATTACAAACCCAGCCGGCATCATCATCTCTTTATCAAACTCACTGCCGAATCGACATGAAACATGCAACAACACATAACCCAACCCAACCCATTGTCTAACAAACATAATATTGATCTTGAACTTCAAAGTGACAGATCAAGACACAATAAAACTCAAAAGTAGATCTAAGTGAAGCAAACAGTGAACAGGACCCAAAAGCATAGAAGCTTTTTTGTGATTCTCTCATCGATTTTGTGAAAGAATTGTTGAAACCATTCTTTCCAAATCGGATCGATCCGTCCTCACCCTTGTTCGCACTAAAGTTTGCAAATCTGATCACCATTCTTTCCAAATCGGATTTTTCCAAAAGTACTGAAGTTTGTAACGGAGCTTGGATCACCACCGTTCGTCGCCGCCGATCAAATCGGATCCGTCCTCACCCTTGTTCAATCGCTTCCTTCTCCCCATTGCCTTTTCTCGCCCCAATCTCCAACACCTCACTTGCCCAGTTTCTTTCTTCTCTCTACTTTCTCTCTCTGTCTCTTGCCCCAATTTCATTCTTACATACCTCTTTAATTTGATATTAATTGATAAAGGTAAATTACATTCTCATTCTATTCCTAACTTCATTCCCATTCCCATTTCATTTCATTCTTGCACACCAAACTAGCCCTAATATCATTCGGCCGTGAACTGCTCTATGATTACAACTTGTAAAGTTTTAATACAAGCTAACCAGCTTGCTTCCCTCGTTTGTCCGCTTGCTCCCCTGGTTTGTCCGCTCCCTATATATATATATATATATATATATATATATATATATATATATATATATATATATATATATATGCAATTTTTTTTATATAATATCTCCTAAAATTATTAATTTTAAAAATTATTTCTTATTTTTTTATTTTTTCTAATTTACTCTTCAAATTCCTTTAAAAAAAAATTTGTTAAATTAAATTTTAATTTTTCTTTTTTAAGTTGTCATTTTTCTTATTTTTTTTTCCTTCTACCCCTTTAAATATTTTTTTTTTTCCTAACATTTTGCCTCCCCTAAACTAAAATTCTGGTTCTGCCCTTGAAACTAACAGTATCGATGTAATGAAAGCAGTAAATGCATAATGGAGGGTGCTTAGATATAAATGAGCTCTTGCCCTTTATTTATTTATTTTGGAAAGAAAAGAAGAATCCGGACAAAATCAATGAAACAGAAGAGATCCGAGCAAGTGAATGGAAAGAAAAAAATAACAAACGGAATCCACTTTCACTTTAAAGAGTCATGCTATCAAAATAGTCCAATTTCTAAGAATTCTTATCTAAATGAAAATCAAAAAATTTTGAAATTAAAAATAAAGAAAATTATATAGAAGAAAAGAAATACCGATTCAATGTGGGCGCAAACAGTAACAAAATCTTTATATGGACTTTGTATCATGAATGATGTGATGCGGTAACAACACATTTAAAGCAAAATGAAACTTTAATCGTCGAGAGACGAAGTCACAAAATGTTGTATCAACTTTTCTCAAGTCGGTCGGTCCTTGTAAACCAATTTTATTGGTACAGTATTGAATATTGATTATTCTCAAATATCATGCATTAGTTAATTTAACGCATTTCCGTTCCATACAATTTAAATTTGATAATATAACCAATAAATTTAAAAATACTTTTTCTAAAAAAAACTAAACCAAATAAAAAGTGACAAATAGATATGGATTTTCAGTTTTTGTAACATTACTCCATCCATTAATAATACACAAAACTACAACAACTAGGTAATTCATATTAAGAGGGAGGGAGGGAGGGTCATTTGGCAACCTGTTGATCACAAAACACCAACTTGCCACCTTTTTCACACAACCCTTGTTCCCCAACTGAATTAACTACCTTCCCATACCCATACCTCAGAGGCATCCTCCCCAATATCCTATGGAACTCCCTTATACACTCCCCTCTCCTCCTCCTATGCCCTCCTCTCCTACTACTCAATCCCACTTCCCTCACTCTCTTCCTTTCCTCTCCCTCCATTTCCCTCCCCTCTCCCTCTCCCTCTCCCTCTCCCTCTCCATTCCTCCCATCCCCCCAATCCCTCGCCCTTTCCGCCCCCACCAAAATCGGCCCTTCATTTCCCTCCTCCGACACCATGAAGTTCATCAGAATGTCCTCACAATTCCGCATCCGATTCACCCTCTCTCTCATTTCCATCATCGCTTTACCTCCTTCGCAGCTATACTTGTACAAGTACTCGGTTTTCAAGATCATGAACTTGGTCAGCAGAATCGAGTACTTGTCGTGATGAACAGTGTAAATCCATGTCCTTTCGGTGAGATCGATGTCGTGTGACCTCGCGAAGAACCCTACTAGGCGGTGTTGGTTGGAAGTCCAGACTCTGAATGCGAATTCCACAGATTTGGGGTCGATTTCCACGTCGTCGTCGCAGATTGCGACGGCGCGTGTGGTGACCGACGGCCGCGGGAGGAAGCGGGCGTTGAGACTGTCGGTGGAGTGGCGGACGACGGAGATGGGAGCGGAGGAGGATGAGATGGAGAGGTTGTAGGAGAGTTGGATTAGGGTTTGGGCTGGAGTGGAGGGGTTTCCCCATAGGACCACCACGGATGAGACTGATGGGATTGCGGAGTACGTGGCGGCGATCGAGCGGAGGAGGGGGATGCGGGACTCGGAGTAGCCGTTCATCAGGACCGTCATTTGATCTGCTCGGAGGATTCGTGGGTCCGGTAGGGTTTTACGATCACACAGGTGAGAAGAACGTTGACGGAGAGAGCAGACAAGAGAAAGACATGTCATTACAAAGAAAAAGAAGAAGAGAGAGAGTTTGTTTGCCATTTCCGGCGACGTTCGTCAGATTCCGGCGGCTAACATGCGCCAGGAGGAGCTCTGACCTAATATGCGCTGCTCTGTTTTATGAGCTTAGGGAGTGGCAGTCTCGTAATTTATGGAACATTCAGGGGTATTTTGGTTGGGTTTCTCTTATTATATACGGCAGTGGAAAATGAGTGGACATGGACAGTGTGACGATCTTTTTGTAGCGTAGGAAACACTAAAATGGCGATGTCTATTGCCACTGTAAAGCTCAATTTGTTGCAAATGTTGCCATTCGAATCGTCGGCGAAGAGGCGTTCCCTGAAATTTGTGCGTTGCGCACCCCTCAAGCAAATTGGGGATCAGGTATGCATTTTTTAGGCTTATGAGTGAAGCACCACAAACTGCGTATGTATATGCCAAATGAGTCTCAAATATATCGGTGTTAATGTGTGTATATGCATGTTAATAACACTCGTTTTTTTTTTTTTTTTTGGTAAGACATACTGCATTTATAAATGTTTGTATGTATCTATGGAAAATATATGTTCATATATATATATATATATATATATATATATATATTGCAATTTGTTTAAAATATAATTTGTTGTTCTATATTAGAAGTTTTTATGATCTCCCTTTTGTTTGAGGATGTTAGGAGTGGTGTACTCCAGAAATGTGATATTGAAAAATGTAGAGAGATGTAGGAGATAGAGAAGGACGAGAGGCAGAAACACAGATAATTAAAGCAATGGGAGCATATTGAAAAAGTGGTTGATGGCAAGGGAAATTCTCAATTCTTTAAAAATTACTAATTGGACATTTTGTTTCTTTTATCCTGATACAAGTGTAGTGTAATATCTTAAGGAATAACAAAAAGATTGATCATTTCAAGAAATAACCGTTTCACTTTTAAATGGCAATTAGGAATCTTTTCACATTATAAGATGTCAAGCACAAAATACAGGTTGTATACAACTTAATACAATATATTTTGGTTTGATGTGACAAGGTTGTAGGGAATCTAGGGATGGTAAAATAATAAAAAAAAATCTGGCCTGGCTGGGATCCAATGTTGAGCCAATACCGGCCAAAGCCCAAAAGTTCGATTCCCAGAGTCATGGAGGAGTTTTGCTGGTCCTCAAACAGTAGGGATTATTGAGTTTTCAACTTTTATCCCCAATCTAATATGGAGTTTATCTATGTTGTCATAGATGAAAATAGGTGTAGACATTAGGGTTCGTACGATGATAACATGTGAGTGTTAATTCGATAGATAGCGTTGTTTTTTTTTTAAAGACACCTAGAATAGGCATGATGATGCTTCCCTACAAAGTACAAACCATCTCATGAAAAAGTCACCTTAATTTCTGCATCAATCACTGATCACTTGTAAGTATTATTCGCCTACCTGTATTGATAGCAAACTGAGTAGGGATGCAATGTGATTACTTGTACAATCTATTTATGGTAATGCCGAGCAGAACATTTTTATTAAAATCTGCATTCTGTAGTGGTTTATTAATTTGCCTGGTAGGTGTTGATTTTGGGATTGTAATAAGATTTTGGAGTTTCCAACTTTGAGTTTCTTATTTCATAAGGTAAATTTGTATATGTTGATTAGACGGCTATGATTATGCCATCAATTGCTAAGCAAAATTACTCGAATATAGAACTAATGTGCAACAAAGACTATGGAATACAGAAGAATGAAACGCAATGCCAAAATATTGTGGTTTAAATAGTTAGAGAGGACTTCGTAGTGTATGTGCAAGTAATTGAGGCGTCCTGAATGGAGTGGCATGAAGAACAAAATTGTTGTCACTAAATGGTTGGATTGAGCTCATAAAGCCACAAGAGTGTTCCTTCTGCTATCTTCTACCCTTTGCAAATCTGCTTGGCCAACACCAACCATGTAGACATGAAGCCTTAGTGCTCTGAATAATATCTAGAATAGCGAGGAAAGTATCAAAGTTCATCTCATTTAATAAACTAGTAACAAGTCTTTTCATTGAAAGAATGGTCATCTTGGATATGGAATTATTGGGTGCTGCTCCCACTTCATAATCGTGATTGGGCTTTATGCTTAAATGGTTGAAAAGTTGTGGTTTCTCGATGTAGGGTATGAATTCAGAATTTGTTTCGTCAAACAATAATTTATTTTGATAAACAAATGTTTTCTTATTGCTAAATTATTACTGAAAATTCAAGCAAAACAAATCTCTCAATCTTCTCATGTTCCATTTTAAATAGAGAAAAAATGCTAGTAATTTGTTATTTCAGTCTGTTGATATTTGTACCATAGGGATGTTATTACTGAATTATGCTTTATAATTAGGATGTATTAAGAAACTTGTATACTCATGACATGCACACATTGTGTACCTTTAACTTCTGAAGGCCCTTTCTTCTCTGCTGCACTAGGATCTGTCTTCAACCCTACTATTGCTTCGTGGTGTTTAGCTCCTACCGCACTAGGATCTGTCTTCAACCCTACTATTGCTTCATGGTGTTTAGCTGCTACCCAAACTCTGATCCAGTTCTTTCAATTTGAAAGCTTGATGCAGGAATTATGTGTGAATCTTGTAATGGCAGAGGATGGTTGCTTTGTGATTTCTGTAAAGGGCAGAAGACCAATGTGAAAGCTGAAAACAAACGGATCTACCGTCGCTGTCCATCATGCAGAGCTGTAAGTCCATTAGTTCACCTCTTGGAATTGTATAGAAAGAACTTAAATGACAAATTTTAATGGCATATAACTCTTTCTTTTCAATAAAGGCAGATCGATTTAGTTCAGAATTGGGCATTATGATGGAAACATAAAACACATTGCACTATAAAGGGCTAATATTCATACCCATCTAGCCGTTCTTTTAGGTGAAAAAATTAGCTGAAGTTATAGCCATCAAAGGAAAGAATTTACTGTAAGTAGTCAGTCTTTTTTATTAAGGTGGTATGGTCATGATCATTGCTGACCCAATGATGCTCCTGTTAAACGAGGAAGAATTGCTTGCCTAGAAGGTAAATGACGAAGAGGCCGACCAAAACTCACATGGGAGGAAGTAACTAATAACGATTTTAAAACTTAAATCTAAGAGAAGATATGATATATAATAGGAAAGAATAGAAAAAGAGTATTCATATGGCTGACCCTATCCATATCAAGGATGATGATGATGATGAGTCATTCATTTTTATTATTCAGAAAATGCACTTATTAGGATGACACAATTGTTAGAAAGCTTTAATCTAGGAGGACTCCTATAGTGAGCTGTCCTAGCCTTCCCTTGTCAGTGGCATATCCCCAAGTATGGACTCATATCATGGAAACTTAAATTGAAAATGCTAACTGCTACATCTTACTCTTGGCTGCAGATTGGATACGTCTTGTGTTCAAAGTGCAAAGTTTTCAAATGTGTTACCTTTCCTAATTATAGTGATGGTGAAGACCTAACCTTTTGAGCCTACAGTTCAGCTTAAATGCTAGCTTGAGCAGACGTGTCAACCAAGGTTCATCCAGCTACCCACTTTTAGAGGTAGCTCTGATTGTTTTGGTAGCTTGCGTTCAGGTCCTCTTCTTCCTTTCTTATGTGTATCTTTTAACATGTAAAGGTTTTCCTTGAGAGGCATTTGTGTGAATGTGTATTATCAAGTAACAAATTGTTTACTTGTACATTATGACCTGCAATTCTTTGTTACTGAATTGGAGCAAACTGCAGTTGAAATGTTAATTGGTTTCAGTTTTTGGTCGTTTGAAGATATTCTTAATTAACAAGGTGAATATTGTGTTGAATGGACTGAACCCATGACCCTTACTGTATCTTATTTTTTAAGGCTTGAGAGCTCTTCCATAGTCATTTGATATAGACTTTTTCCCTATTAGTTTTCCTTGTTTTAGCTTTAAGGGGTTTTTATTTATTTATTTATTATTCTAGTTATATGGTTAAGTTTGACAACAGTTTTTTTTTTCCATTTGCTTGTTCACTGATTAGCTCTTTACTTGTTCTCTCAGTTTCATTAATTAATTAAAAAGGTAAACTATACTAATCTGTTTATTTTTCTATTATGTGAGTTTGAATAGGCATACCTCTAGCAACCATTATTTATTCTTTCTGTTCAATGACACGTCTCTATAAAGTTTTCTATTGCATTGTACATTTAGATGGTTTGGCCATGCATAAGGATTATTGACAGCAACAACTGCATTATTAAGGAAAAGTGATGACCTTATTGAGGGCAATGGTGGAGTAAGGAGAGGCCCAAAATTAACATAGGTTGTGATAGTTAACAAACATACAATAGCACGTCGTTTAACTATTCACATAGCCGATCCGAAATAGTTCAAAAAAGCGTTGCTGAGTCAAGACTTCTAACATTGACTCACTAGTTTTGCAAAAAATCGTTCGAGTATCTATTACTTTGATATATTGGGATTGGTGAGTTGCTACTAATATTTGGTTATACTTATTGAAATTTTAAGTGTATGGATGCATGTGAACTGAAAGGTGATGCTGTAATAGTCTTTTGTTTATATCGAGTAGAGTGCAAATGGTTACATTATGGAATGCATTATAATATTATTAGCACATTTGTTTCTGTAATCATAATCATTGGATGCTGCACATACAGATGATTATATATACAATATATATTGCTTATAATCTTGATAGACATAAATAAATTGTAGAATCACGTTCCAATCACTTCTAACCAAAGCATCTGATTTTAGACTTTGACAAAAGGACAATTCCGTAACTGTTAATTTAGATCGGATGGTTAATACTATCTGTCTCCAACTTTCTTAGGTGATGGACTTCCTATGTTGGAAATATTGATGTTCTTAAACCAATTTTGGAAATATGTTTCGCTTGCTTATTAATGTCGTGGTAGAATGGTGACTTAAGGAAGTCATTAACAAGGAGAAATGTCATATTTAACTCTTTTCAACTATGTTTCTAGTCTGTTTGATATTTTGATGTACAGTAACTCACCAAATCTTATACATTAAAAGTATTCCATTTCATGTCATTTTCTATATATCATCAAAATACTTATTTCTTATTATTGTACTTTTAAGGTTGGGTGGATGCTTTCATCTTTTCTTGAGTGATGAGTGTACACTGATTGTTAACAAGGAAAAATGTCATGTTTGACCCTTTGATGTCATGTTTCTAGTTTATTTGATGTATTAAATCTTGTACATGAAAACTATTCCATTTCATGTCATTTTCTGTATATGTCATCAAATTGCTTATTTCTTATTAGTTATTACTATACTTTAAGGTTGGGTGGATGCTTTCATCATTTTCTTGAATGATGAGTGATGAGTGTACATATTGCCTGAAGCTGTGCTCTGATTATTATGCTTTATTTCCAAAGAAAATGGTACCTTTTGCATTGCCTATAGCTGTGCTTTCATCAGGCAGAAATCTCCATTGGAGATCATTTTCAAATGGGGATTTCTGTCTTGTTTGCTTTATATGTATAATTAATTATAGTAGGAAAATTAGGAGGATTCAGATATGAGATATTGCTTTCTTTTGAAAACGCATGTGATTATATCTCATCTGGAGAAGAATGGGTAAGAAAGAGAGGTTAAACTCAAACCACTCTACTGAAACTTCTTTACTAGTGAAGCAACAAAAGAAATGAAATGGAAGGTTACGGCTCTCTCTCTCTCTCTCTCTCCTGGATCAAAAGAAATGAAATGGGGGGGGGGGGGGGGGTGTGGTGTTTGTTACAGAGGATTGTGTGAAAATCATCTGCACATTGGACTTTGCGGTTGGCGTGGTTGAGTTAACTGACTTTCTGATGAACAACATCCCGCTGTTTCCTGCATGAAGAATGTGCCCTTCTCCTCCACCAACTTTAAGATCTTCTCGAACACAGGAACCTGGCATGGAATTCTGAGAACACCTTCTTGTTGAAACCCGAATTCCTCTTCTGCTTCTTTCAATAGGACATCAAATGCTGTATGACTCAAGTACTCCATTGGTATTACAAATCTCTTTAGCTCACCTCCAACACAAACGGCAAGGAACCCTTTTGGGACAGAGTCCCTGGAGAACCCCAGGATGGAGTTATTGTCGGAGAAGGATAGCGTCTTTTTGAGAAATTTAACGCTCTTATTGCTATTGTTACTATTGTTGCTGTCCTTTCTGCTGGTTTTTGGTGTGTTTGCAAGCTTTCTCCACTTCTTGAGAATCCGTTGAAGCCTAACAATCTCACTGATCTTGTTTGACTTCTTGGAATCCATGGTAGCTATATTGGCTAGCTATTTGTGATGGCTAGCTTTCTTTTCTTTTGAAATGCTTGCTAGTGAGTGTCAATCTCATATGGGTACCTTCAAATATATAGAAGAAGTTAGGTTATTGGGATTCTGATTTTTTATAATATTTCCTAATAAAATATTTGTATCATGTAAAGTTAAAACATTGTATGACCAAAACCCCATCAAAGAACTTTCTTTGTTTAATCCCAGTATGAGTGGGTTCCAGGTTTCTGAAGGTACTCTTTTGTAACTACTCTCTCTCTCTCTCTCTCTCTCTCTCTCTCACACACACACACACACACGCATAAATTGTTTGGGAGTTGTGTATTTAAATCAGGTAATGACTGGGACTCAGATTGTGAGGAGTTAATATATGATTTTGTCTTCAGTTTGTGCGTTTAAAGTCAGTGATTGTAATTATGAGTGCTTTGGTTCTTGATTCAAACTGCCTCAACAGTCAAGATCCATTGTTACCTCCTATCATGTAGTTGTACAATGCAAACTCCAATTTTTTATTATTATTATTATTTATTTAAGTTTTTATGGTTGTTTAAGACTTCCAGGAGAATACCATGTGACAACGGTCATTTAAAAATTAAGGGAGAAGGTAGAATTGAGTTCTAAGAAAATCTTACTTTTTTTGGTGTGCCCTAATCAACAACCCTTCATTATAGAATTTGTACCTTTGTTTCAAATTGTATCATCAGGTTTACGGGGTTTTTCATGTTATATGTGAGGGTTCAGGTTCCATGATCATTATGTTTTATGTGAGGGTTCAAGTTCTATGATCATTATGTTTTATGTTCAATTTAGACAATGTTTTGACACTATACTTACAAAATGTGTTCACTTTGGACTAAAAATTTCATCACATGGTTTCCTTGTGGCTGTTATTCCAAACGGCTCATATTCTGATCAGTGGTTATCATTTTTTCTAATATACAAAAGAATCTGTCAAATGATTAGCACCAATCTATCTACTATTCTCTCTCTCTAAATATATATACATATATGTGTGTACGTGTCTATTTCTAAATTATTTCTTTTAAGTTGTAGTATCATCTTCATCATTAGCAAACTTTCTTTTTTTTTTTTAATTATTATTATGTAAGATGCAATGTGAATGTTTCAATGATTAGATTCAATGATCTCTCTCTCTCTCTATAATATTAGAAGATTTAATAAAAATTCGAATAAAAATTTGGCATAGGGAGACTTCACATTATGCTTGAATTATTGGGCCAGCAAAGCAATCCAAACTATAGTACAGCGTCAATTAGCTGTCTTTTATGTAACGCTTGAATGAATATTGTCACATTCGTTTATTCAATTTAGAAATTGCAACACAACCAGATTGACTTTCAATATTCCTTTCATATATATATATATATATAATTTCTTGGCTTTCAGTTGCTGAACCAACCGTCTCTACAAATCCATGAAATATAAAACTCTACCATGAGTTGGTTTCATATTTTTGAGCTTAACGTTACAATATATGCTGATATATATATATTATAGATAATAATTTATACTTCTCCTAAATTGTAACTTCCGAGTTCCGACAACTGGGATGACCAATGTAAGCTTGAAATTTCTTTGTAGTTGCTCCCTTTCATGCCTCACTTAATCTTGAATCCGAAAATGGCTCTAAAATTATAAAATAAAATAAGGAATACGTACCATCATGACCTCAAACTTTAGTTTTTCTGTTGTTGATTAAATGCCATCAATATGGTCCATTTCGTATTAAAGACACTTGAATAATGTATTCAGCTTCTTGTGTTTCTTAATCTATATTTCTGGAAATTTCCAGTTTATATTTTCTTACAAACTACATATAAAACATAAATACACAACAACATTTGCCTTGGGAAATAAATATCATGCAATTCAAACGTTTCCGTGTGGACTATGAATATAATGTGTTTAACTAAATATAACAACGACAGATGAGCAAAAATGTTGTTCCTTCCTCAGTTAATCAGAGGCCCCTCCATGTTTAACTGCATATCAGGTCTCCTCTCACCAGATCTGGAATATTCCTCCGGCAATGGAATATTTAGCTCCGAGCAAACGAACTGAATTATGTTTCCAGTCACAGCCCCAAATGACATCTTGTTTAGGGTCACAGCAATAGCAAACCTGTTTTTCATGTCACAGTAGCCTGTTGATCCACCCATGCCCGAGTGCCCGAAACCAAAATAATACCCATCCTTGGAACTGAACCTCCTAAACCCTAGCCCAAATTTCCCATTTGGGTAAACCAAATTCTCATATTCTCCAGCACCCAAAAATGCATCATGAATTCTAGGATTACTAAAAATCTTACTGACATTTTGATGATATTCTGCATTTGCACAGCTCTCGGTTGTACTAAGAGTATTGCTACTTCCGCCGCTACTATCCGTAGATACCCTAATGTAATGGTCTCTGCTCTCTGTTTTATTATAACCGCCGTCATTTGAATTAGTGTAATTTTGCGTCGATTCAGAAGTATTAGTTCTGCTTGAGGATGCAGTCATGGATTTCCTATTGCCACCTTTCTGCTTCTTGCGGATTTTCAGTGGAGGAAATTTGGGAATATGGGGGTGGCTGCCAAGAGGCGGCTGGGAAGAAGAGGAATGTGGTGGTGGGACCACACCACCGTCAACTAGGGTGGCATAGTATCGGGCAAGTGCACGGGCTGAGCAATGTAAATTAGCAGCAGGTAGAATGGCACGACGAATATTGAGTGTATTGAATAGGACAGGAAGGGTGGTCACGAGCTGGGAAATGTCACCTGGCTGAAAACTGGAGGGCAGGTCTGGACGGCTGCTCATCGCTGAGAGCTTACTGAGATCATTCGTATCTACCGTCAGTGTTGCAAGTCGAGATTCCACACCTGTAAGGAAGCCAACAGACATAACAATGGTGATTGAAAACAGAAATGCTATTTTATAATCTGATAGTCATCATAACATCTAAACTAGAATGACTGTAAACGGTAAGGATGCTTTTACCCAAAAGGACTTGCACTAGTGGAGTTTTCCTCACCCATTTATTAATCCCAAGATCATCCATTAGGACCATTACACACATGATGTGAGCCGATACACACATCCATGACAGGCTCCCTGCTCAAATCCTTGTGCCCTCACAAGGGGAACCCACACCTCCTTGTGGGACCCGCGCAATCCCCCACCCACATTGTAGCACCCTCAAGTTTTGATGCCATTGTCACGATGTGTCAGTTCGACACCTGAAAAGGCTAATCACTTATTGATGTGTTACAAAGGGAGTCTTGTCCCACATTATAAATGGGTCGAGTGTTGACACCACCGGCTTAAACTTTTGGGTCGGATCGCGGAACACCCGGCCGTTACAGTTAGTATCAGCGCCAGACCCAGTCTTTGATCCGATGTCATGCTAAATGCCCAGTTCGGAGGCATCCGGATTTAACCCTGGGTAGGTAGGTGGCCCGACCGCAACGAGAGTGTTGTGTGTTCGGGTGGCGGACCACATCCCATCTAGATGGGATGTGAAATGGGTATAAAAGGGTTGGTGTTAACATTACCTAATGGCTTAAGCTTTTGGGTCGAATGGCAAAGCACTCGGTCCGTTACAATAGGGATGTAACACAGGCATGTTCAAGGGCCAACCCTCTGTGATCTCGTCCAACCTGCACTATGAGCAATGCTACCCAAGCTTGAGTTGAACCCGATCTTAGGTTAGGAAGAGCTAGCCCATGATCGGACTGGTCGGGTTGAAAGGGTTGGTATCACACGTGTGTGTGTGTGTGTGTGTGTGTGTGTGTGTGTGTGTGTGTGTGTATAGAGAAATCTATGTTCAAATTTTTACTTTTGGGTTGTCAGGCTAAACACAAGTTGATTGGAGTTAGCTTTGGATTAAACTACTCCTAAGCATAATTTTTTAAAAAAACTTAATGCAAATTTCTAAAAAAATTATAAAAAAAATAATGGGAAATTAATTCTCCAAAGTGTCAATATACAATAAATTAAGATTTAAACAAAGGAAGTGCAAAAGAAAAAAGGTGATCGTAATTTGAAATATATAATATTTAAAATTTAAAAAATATATTTAAAAGAAAAAAAAAAAACTAAAATTGGAATTCAGATTTGGTTATATATTTAAAATTTTAAAAATATATTAAAAAAGAACAAAAAAAAAAAAAAAAAAAAAAAAAAAAAAAAAAAAAAAAAACTAAAATTGGAATTCAGATTTGGGTCGGGATCGGGATCGGGTTGCTGGCACCTTACTCCAAGCCCAAGCCCAACCCTAAGTCCGGGTTGAGATTTTCAGCCCAAGTCCAACCCTAATTGTAAAAATGGTTGCCCAAGCCCGTGAAAAACCGGGTTGGGTTTGCCCGCCCAAGTTGCACCGCTAGTGGAGTCTCCTGTCTCCATTTATTAACCACAAGATCACCTAGTATACTGTATACACCTAGTGTGGGACATAACAATTAACACGTCTATGTGCCCGTGACAAATACTAAAATAAGGCAAGATTAAAACAAGTTTAAATCATACCTGGAGGAATTCCAATATATAGCTCCCCTTCAATCTGAAGAGGGTGAATAAATGCTTCTTCGAGAATCTCCTGAAACTTCTTCCCAGATGCATGCTGTTTTATTCCAAACACAACATTGAACAAGTGGAAAGTCAACAGCAGAAAACTTACAGGTATAGTCAAGTCCTAATCCTGTCAAGCATGACAAACAGGAAATCCAGTCATGTCTGCTAGATGTGCCACCCACGGAAACTACTATGAAGGTGATTGCTTAAACAAGAAGCATCTAAGAGAGCGTATATTTTGGGGAAGTATATCCCTTCAAGGTAAAGAAAACCAGGTTTTTTTAATGAACTGAACAGTTTTATGCATTTTGTTAAGGGAAGCAATCCCAGTGCCCTTTGCATTTATGCTACAGTCAAAAATTCAATGTCAGTTAAAAGCGAGGAAAGAGGAATAGATTGATTTACACTATCAAGCCTCTTCTTCGTGTCCAACTTGTAGCATTAACACTTTTGAGTTCAGCTGTAACTGTACAGTGGATCTAGATCAAGCTCAACATTTTTTTTTTTATCAGCTTGAGGTCTGAACCTATCTGAATTTTAACTACACACACTCAAAGAACTAAATGCTCTGAAATTCATGAATGAGCCAAAATAATTTGTTGATTCTCAATAATCAGAAAAACAAAGTATGCAATAATACCTCAATGATTCCACCGCATAGCCAGCCAAAAGACAGATAATGATACAGCTGCTCATGGCCAGGTACAGTCTCAGGGACTGACATAGCAATGCGACTCAAACACTCATCCCAGTCAGACATTAGCAAAGGATTTTCTCGGGTAAGGCTGGCTAAAGCATTGTGCAGACCAGATGTATGGTTAAGCACGTGATGAACCTTTCAATTAAAAAAAAATCAATTAGATATACCCTTTTACAGTTGCACGGCTTTGTGGAGTTAAGATGTCAGATTCCAAAAGCAAGAACATAAAAAAGATTTATTTTTTTATTCCCCTTAGTTTGCCTCATTTTTCTCAGCAACCAAAAAGACAGTAAAGATAATAGGATCAAATACTCAAAACAGCAAGGAAAAAAATTATTCAGGACTTAAAATTGCACCTTTATTAGGTCCTTTCCATTTGATCTGAATTCTGGCCAAATATTTGCAACATTTTCCTCAAGCTTCAGTTTCCTGCCAGGTAAAATACTAATTATTCCCTTTTTCTTGACACTAGATACATCCATCATTTTAAAATTTAAAGAAGGTTTAAAAAAAATAAAAAATATAGTTATGAAAGAGACTGATATATATATAAATGATGAGTTGATGACACTGAAGTTATCATTTTTGTTGATCAGCAGCATGCTTCCACTAGAAAAGGAAGTTATATGCTCCGTACAAGGAAAATAATAAAATAAAATTTGCAATTAATGCATAACATCTAACTCTTATTTTGTAGAGAATGAGCAAAACACTCTGTGCAAAATTCTTCATTTGCATGAAAGAAACTCCCTAAAGAGAATAATAAAAGAAACAAACTACCATAATCATATCCTGTGTCCTTGTATTTTAACTCTTGCATTATTTGTGGTTGATCAAGATCCATGTTACATAGACACGGGTTGTCCAGGTTTGACAGCATGTCTGCATGTCAAATTCTCCCAGTCATCACATCTTCGAATATGGTGGCACAGCAAAAGGTGTTGTAGTGTCCAAATATTAGTTTTGAGTACATTTAAGGATTAGATAAATACAAAAAAAAAAAAATCGTGGCCGCAAATTTAAATAAAAAAATAGTTACGAGTAAACTAAAAATTCAGCCAAAGAAAAAAAAAAAAAAAGACTGAAATGGAATGTTTACAGATACAAGAAACAGAAGGGGGTAAACTGGTAGTTTATGAGAATGTTTAGAGATACCAGAAATAGAAGGGATTATTTTCATAAACTATGATAAAACTATAGTAAAAAGATATTTTCATTGTACCTTTTACTTAGTTTAACAAATCATTGAGAGGATAACCTGACTAATTTAACTGACATGCCTTTGACAGCTTTATTCTGATTACAACATTTAGTTCCATCTCAAATTTATGCTCTACAACAGAACACAACGTGTGAAACCTGGACAAGAATATCAAAAAGGTATTCTTGTGAATGTTGATTGCTAAGAGTGTCCCAAATAAGAGGTGTTATAGATTAACACAGGACCTAAAGGGGGGTGAATAATTTAAAATCAAACTTTGATCATTTTCACTGATAGTATTTTTTTTATTAGTTTAGGGGGTGACAAATATTATCCAGAGCCGCCCATAGATTGCCGCTTTGGGTGAGTCAGAAACATATTTTATTAAAGGGACTCACATATTTAGTGGGTTGGAATGGGTTGAATAAGAGTTCCCGTGCTGCATTAACCGACTTTGAACCTGCCCGGTGTAGTATATAAGATTGCAAAAACACGAACCTTAGACCTCTATTACCTTGCTGCAGAACCTTTTTTTTTTTTCTTTTTTTGATAAGTACCTTGCTGCAGAACCTCAATCACCCAAACAGCTAAAATCATCTCTCCTGAAACCCTAGAGTTCTCTATATCTCTCTAAAGCTCTCTAGGAAACTCTAAAACATCGTCTTAGGATTGTTGGTGTTGATAATTTTACAAATTTCTGAAATGGACCGAATAGATTTTATGTTTTGATGTGGGTTGAAGAGATTTTTAATGGCGAGGGTTGAGAGGTTGAGGGTTGCTTCTTGGATGGCTTCTGCTGGTAGTAGGGATCAGAAGTAGGGGTTGGGGTTTGATTTTGTTGCTAGTGTCTGGAAGAGATGAAAATAGACTCAGGTTGAAGAAGATTAGGCTTTATAAATGATTTTCTTCCGCTTACATCTAAGGATTTTTCTCAATTATTCATTTAGCAGTTCACACTAGTCTTGATTCCTATGCATTTCTGACGATATGTATATGCGACTAGCTGCATATTTTTGAGTACTGTTGAATATGACTCTGCATGGCTTGTTTCTTTTCTTAGAGCTTATTTGGGTTTGTTATTGAGGCCCTTTTGAAGCAGAAATTTTTGTTATAATCCTGATATGGATGAATTTCCATGTTTTTCGTACTCCGATTATTTGTATAATGTTTTGCAGCTTGCGGGTGTTCAGCCCTGACGAAAAGATATTCAATACCTCGCTAAAATAATTGTTATACTAAATCAAAATTTTGTTTACTAACTGGGACAATATGGATTACATGACAGTAGGTTTTTCGATCAGCCAATTTATAATTATTTTTCATATTAAATTTCCTAATAATTTTCTAATTGGTTCATCAAACACTCAAATTAAGTGTGGACCAAACTGATCAATTGATTAAGCAATCTAAAACCTTAGGGTTATTTACCATTTCAGGAGCTACACGATCAGGGAAGATTATAGATTTTTAGTGATGTGTTCATGAACTATTCTTAGGTCTTGAATCTTCAATCACCAAGTCAATGTCAAGACACCAAAAGAAACAACTGGTGAGTCAACCATATCAAGTTAATTTTACATCTTGCTCACAGAATGTTCCTGCACATGATACTTTATCCAAAAAAGATGTCTTTAATGATAGCTGTTTCTACACATAACTCAAACCCATGCAGTGTCATATCAATACAGATCCAACCAGTGGCTTGGGTATTACTAAATAACGTCATACTATCATAACAAAATCATTTACTAATAAAATAGAATTAATGGGCTACTATTATAATTGAGACCCACAAATCATATAAAAAGTCCACTACCATCACTAGTATGGCCTGTGCGTACAAAGACTTTAGAGGCATAAGGCTTGAGAGAAGTTTATTTTTTCTACTCATTCAAAAGGCTATATAGAATGATTTTAGGAGCATAAGGTGCAAAAACTACAAGTTTGATAGTAATCCTATTCCTGCAAACTCTTAGTTCGCTAAGTTTCTTCCTTGGGGAAATGTTTGAAAGAAAAAACAGAAGTTGAGACGTTAGGCATAAGCCTTAACATGTGTTTGCACAAATTTGGGGGAGGAAAAAGAGAGAAGGGAGGGAGGGAGGAGGCATGAGCATAAACAAGACAATAGGTCAATTATTCATTAGTTATGCCATTTCAACAAAAAATCACTTTGGGCATATCAACAGTTCAAAGAAAGAAGGAAAATATGAACATAAAAGAATATTACAGACATAGTAATATATGTTTACTCTTCAAATTTCAGCTGCGAAGCAATATTCACATGTACAGACAACGGTGCTGACAATGCAATTCATTCATTTGAACAAAACCTCTAGTCAGGCCATGTAAGTTTTCTTTGTAACTGTTGAAGGGTATAAATATTAAAGTTGCACCCTCTCCAACAGCTTAAGGTTTTGGAGTAGATGGCTCCTTTGCCGCGTTTCCGGCAGTTTTTATTGACTTATTTGGGCTGCCGGTGTGTTCGGTAGCATTGTTCTTCGCCGTTGCCGTGTCTCCAGCATTTTTTGTTGACTTGTTTAGGCTGCCGGTGTGTTCAGTAGCATTGTTCTTCGCCTTCTCTCTTCTCTTTTTATCGTTCACACTTGTTGCTACTCGTCATCTCGATGGCAAGTTGGGCATTCATGCTCCAGCTTGAGAGGGAGTATTGAAGATTTAATGGAGGAATCAGTGGAGGAAAAACCTCCAGTAGATGTTGTTTCTTATTATTGAAGATTTACTATTACTAGAGGAATCAGTGGAGAAATATCCTCCTTGTTTCATATTTCTATATCTTTCCATTCTCATCCTTTCGTCTCCTATATAGAGGAGCCTCCACCATTGTATTGTGTATGAAAAGGGAAAATATTATAAAAGTGATGTAGCCCTTTGGGCTCTTTGTGCCGTGGATGTAGGCCCTAGGGGTTGAACCACGCAATATCTATGTGTGCTACTCGTTTCATTTCTCTCTTCACTTCTATTTCATTATTTACAAGAGTAACAAATTTACATATTGATGCACATGTGACGCTGTATAAATTTAACCAGTAAAATCAAGCAATCTCTAGTAAGTCCAAGTTAATATTTTAGTTAAATATAATAACTAAAATGAAACTTCTACACATCAAATATATTTTAAGAATGTGAAACAGTCTGCACATAAACATTTTTGCATACCCATGGTCGACCAGCCAATGTAGCATTCCAGCTGTGATTCCTTTTGTTACAGAAAATACAGGAAATAGGCTATCCAGCTGAACTGGACGAGGATCATATCTCCCCAGCACACCAGCAGCAGTATCAATGATCACTTCTCCATCTTTGTAGGCACATACCTTGAGAAAAGATTATTGATGTTGAGAATGCAGCAGAAAGTAAAATTACCAACTAAGAATTCATCTGATAGTTATTTACCGAGGGAAAAAAAAAACTTTGATGGTTTTAAGAAAAAACACAAAACAAACCAAAGAAAATGTCAATCAATCATAGAACAGACTAACTCTGCAATGGACCAATGGCAACTAGATAGCTCCAATAATCTTAGTGCCAACAGCTAAGGATTCACAGAATCTTTTGACAAGCAGGAGAGAAATTATAACAGCAGATATTACTTGCCCATGCAAAAATAAATAAAATAAATAATAATAATTTGATAACAGCAGATATTATTTTTCCATATGATGATCTAGAAACTCATAGAACTTGGAGACGAACTTTCCATCATTAGGAAACTATGGTTCAAGAGGCCTCTAATAAACCTTGAAGATTTCTTGAAATTCCTGAATTTTGTCTGTTGCTTCCGCTAAACTCAATCCAACTTACTCAAGAGATTCAATCAGACACAGGATTTAGTTTTTCATATTCAGACCTAATTGAGCCCATATAAACTGTCAATCCCCCCTAATTCTAGAAAATGTTCTCACATTCACATGTGAAGTAAGCTGGAGATTTTCATTCTGTCTTCTAGCCTGGAAATCTAAGTAACAGTGACTTCCCTATGCACCACTTCTAAAAGCCACCACGCCAGTTTCATTTAATTTTGACCATTTCACTGTTGTCTAGAACACCAATATGGTCCAACTGATTGCTGAGAATAAATAGCAAAGAAACAAAAACTACCTGTGTAAGTTAGGGTTGATTTGACCAATGAAAAATTCCAAATCTTCTTTTTATCTCCTACATTTTCTTCAGACTGACATTAAGAACTAATAAAAGCCTGATTTCATTATCAACAAGTTTCTGAATCATGACTGGATTTCCTAAGGTATAAGATTTTATTCTCATTTCAAGACATCTATGTTATACGAACTCTAGTACGCGTGCCGGGTGTGAGTATGTATCCAAGTGTCGGAAGTATCAAATTGCTAAACAAGACACAAGGACACTGCTAAATATTCAGATTATTCAATATTTTTCTTTCATTTCCCAATTCCTAGTGTAATATCATGTTTTTATGTAACATAGTATTCAGCATAGACATTTCACTTCTTTTGAAAAATAATCTAATAAAAAGTATCGGACATGCATTTTAGGTGCATGTCCAATCAAACATGTCAAACATGTTTCGTATCCTTGTCCTAGTGTGTGGTGTTAGTGTAAAATAGCAAGTCATATTGTCATATGATCAATTTTTAGTATTGTACAAAATATGGAGAACTTAATGATTGATGAAATAGTTTGTTTTCAACTTATTCTAACAAGCAGCTCACCTGTCCTTTTACATTTGAAAAGAGAACAAGGAAGCTCAAACACTAAAACTAAGGCCAAAACTGAGATACAGTACTACACTTTTTGTTCAACTTCCAATTAAATCGGTGACTTTGTCAGATGAAGAAGCTTTGATCATTTTGATTGCTTGCAATACTCTAAAGCAAAATATGGGAAAACAACAAGTGGACGATGACAACAGTGAAACTAATAGGGACGATGACCAACCTTGTAAGTCTTGTGCCCTTTCCTACACAAAAGGATGCTGAAGAAGAAGATTCGTGCAGTTGTACTTCCAGAACACTATAATAATGGACAGCTGGCTATCCTTATCCTAGTTCATAAACTCCACACAAAATAGACCAGGTGAAGAACACCCATTTGTTCATGAGAGCTGCTTTGACTTGTTCCTTGGGGAAATTTGAGTTTGACATATTGAAGATTATGATATCCATGACACAACCTAACCTTCGGTGGTGAAGTCTGACATTTCTATATAATTCCCCCCCTTCTTCCTCTACGTCTACTTCTTTTTAATTCCATGCAATTTGATTTTGTTTATAATAGTTACGACCAGTGGCAGAAATATATAAAACCAGATCATTAAACCATTTATGAGGATTACAAATATTTAACAATGGACTGTTTTCAAAATTTTGGTTTAAAGGTTCAAATTTGAGGTTAAAAAGAAGACTCAGTTTGGAGAATTTTAAGGAAGAAAACTACGATTGCCATTATAGAAAAGCAACTTATGGAGAACTAGAGTGAGCCCTCTGGAGGAGGAAGAGAAAAATGTAGAAAGAGAAGGAAGGGAAAAGCATAGGAAAGATCTTAGGATATAAATACTCCCCTGTAAGAAGAAGATAAAAAGAAAGAAAGAGAGAGATGGCTGAAAGAAGTTCTTGAATAAAATCTTAATAAGAGAGTTTTTGAAGAAGCATCTCTAAACCTTAATTGGCGTACGAAAAGGAAATTTCTAACCTCTCTATGAAGCCTAAAAAATCTGTCCCAAGCCACAACAGCACCAACATGCATCATGAAAGGGCTTCCATGAACCACCATAAATTTGTATTATGTTTTAGTTGCATAACCTCTTGGGTTGCTATAGATTCGACTTGTGTACATGCATTAGTATTACGATCCTCATTTTATATTTTTTTTCAGTAATAGAACTTAAAATTTCCTGCCTAAAAGGAAAAGGCAAAAATTCAAACAGAAGAAGTGTCTGAAAGAAGAAATCAATAATGAAACCCAAGAAGACTTAGATATTGTTTATATTAAGAATTATACCCCAGAAAGGTGCTCAATTTTTAGAATCCTCCTAAAATGAAATGTGCTATTGACATACAAAAAACCTTCTTGTGTAGAGATATGATAATAAATAACACACTTACAGTGACGGTAACACCAATGACCACATCAAATTTAAGAAGGTAAAAATTCCTACTAGACTCCAACAAGGAAAGAAAAGACTAGCCTTTGATTAACAAAGAATGCCTGACATGATGATGCAATGATAAATCCATTGATTCCTATCTTAAATGAACAAAAACAAAGAAGTAAAATTTTAAGAGAATGAAAAGAGAACAAATTTGAACGTGCTGCTACTCTTATTTAACAAAATAAACAAGGGTTACTGAAAGTGATAAAACAAGACATATAATGAAGAAAATTAAGAACAGCACAAGTGGAATGTAGTAAACACGAGTGAGAGAAATACTATTGCATTCTCTGATAACAGCTATGCGATTAGAAAAATATTAGTCGGGTTATCACACCGTCATACAGAATTAAACAGTGGCATGTACCTGGATTCCAAGTATTTTATCACCATTTCCTAGCTCAACTAAGAGCTGCCTCAGCTTAGCCTCCACATCAGAATGGACAGGCGTGTTGTGGACCCATTGTGCATTCAATGCTGGTCCATTATTAATGTTGCTGACACAAGTGAACCCACAATTAAACGAAGAAGTGGGAAACTAAAACTTTTAACCTATGAACCACTGAATTCAGGACAGACATACCCTTGCAAAACAGATTCAGCAAACGGTCTCATGACATCTAAATAGGCTATTTTAACATCCATTGTTGATGAAAGTCCTGAATCCATGTCAATAAATAAATCAAATAGGAATGTTTTGTTAACACAGTGAGGCAATCAACAAAGGGATTCATTACAGACCTCTCAGCAGATTAATGACACGTGAAAATATCACAATATCACCTGGAAAAGCATCAATCTGGAGACAAATTTTTATCAGTTTCTTGAACATGGATAAAATTTGTCAATACACATGTCAAAATGATATCAAAAGAAAATGATATCTGAACTTACAGGATTAAAACGTTTAGCTTGTTTTTGGTCGAGTTTCATCTTCTCTTGTACAGCTTTCATGCCTTTGGCTCGTTGATCGACCAAAGATTTCATGTTTTCCTTAACCAATAAAATAGTCAATATATGTTGCAATTTAAGAAAAGGTGAACGGAATTAGAAGCAACCAGTGGAGTACTTACAATAGCTGCACTTGCAGGTGTCGAAGTACGGAAGAACACACTCATTACCTCCATAGCCTGTTCTGGTAAGTCCAGGCGCAACTTAAGTCCCATTTCTGCAAACGCAGACAAAAGAGCCACATGATCCCCCTGTAAGAAAAAACATCAGAATTGTTCATCAATCAAAGAGTAAAGGCTTGAAACAATCCCAAAAATAACCTAACATAAGTGCTGAACTGGTTTAGAGATGTAAAGCTGATATTTCAAGGCATTTCTTTGTAAATTTACTCAATGAATCTAATAGAGCAAGCTAAACTTCCCAAAATAATTGCAAATGGAAAGTTTAATAATAATAAATAATAAATAAAAAGATTGCAAAAAAACACTCTACCATGACATTTCTGACTCCGCAACTAGAGCAGAAGATAGCTGCCAATTGCTTCAACAGTCCCTACTTTTTCCCCACTAATTGTCTTCTTTCACATCACGATATTGCCTTTACTGTATAACTAGTTAGCCAATTCATGCAGAATCCTAAACTGCCACATTAGAATGTAGTATGCCCTAACCTGATACTCCCTCTGTCCCAAAAGGGATGTCCTGTTTGGGGAACTGTGACTCACAAACAGGACATCCTTTTTGGGACGGAGGTAGTATCTTAAGAGAGCAGTAGACACAAGAAACTGTACTTTGTGAGTTATAACCTAATAAATTGGAAAGTAAAAGGTGAATTTTTGGCTGAGGGAAAAAAGAAAAAGAAAAAAAGGGTAGAGTTTGGAGCTAAATCTAGAATGTGGATTAAATATAGAGCCATTCTGCACATTGCATGTGAGACGCTATGAACAGCCACCTTTTCAAGAGATAAAATTTTCTAGCAAAAAGTATGTGCAAATTTCTAGAAAACCAAGCTGCTATTATAATGCAGATAATCAAATATTTGATGAGAAAAAATATATATATTAAGGTGGATAGTCGTTTTCGAAGGAACTTTGTAAAGAATAAACAAATATCTACCTCCGGTGATGGGGTGTTCCAGAATCAGCCAAGAAAAAAAAGGTTTTAATTGTAGGGAACAGACTCGTTGCTATCATATCTATACTCCACTATATTTGTCAACTTATACTTTATTGTATTATTACATACAAGCGTATGACTCCTGAGATTGTTTGCCTACGACATCTTCTTGCCAAATTGGAGCTTATTGTTTCCACATCAGCGTCTACCATTATATGTGCACTTCACCTTCAATAATAATACCCGTCTCTGCATGTAACAGAAGCTTGCTTGAGGTCACTTGTTAGGCAAACCACCCAAACTCGATCTTCATATTTACACTCATTATTTTGTTGGGGGTCAAGCTTGAGCAACCTAATACTCAGCTCAACTTGGTTCACTTGTAGTCTCTCTCTCTTTTCTATTGATCTCGATCTTTTTATGAATCCATGAAGGTTCAAAACTACTCATCGTTGTCCATCAATTAGGTAACATGGCATTAGTGCTCAAAACTACTTAAGGAGGAACTGAATAAATAGAACTACGACTTTAAATCTCATGAAAACGCTATTAAGTCATTGTGGCTTAATAAGCAATCCATTTATGAAGTTACTAAATCTATTCTCCTAATCTAAAATTTTAAGTTTTAATTTATCTTACAATAATAATAGGAATTTACAAACCTCGGCAGATGCTAGAAACATTTTTGCTAGAGCATGTTTCACAGAGCTTGATAAAAACTTTGTAAGCCCAAAGTCGAGTAAAATAGGACGATGTGGAGGTTCTCTGCTCACAAGAAAATTTCCTGCGGGAAACAACACAGCGAATTATCAAGAAAATAGAACAAAAGAATAATTTTAAGCAAACCACGTTACATTTAAACAAAAAACGTGACTTTGTACACCGGAAAACTCAAAAAGAATTTGGTGGCATTGACGATGGTGGTGGTGGTGGAGGGGGGGAGAGAGAGATGCATAAACAGTACCAGGATGAGGGTCGCCATTGAAAAAACCATCAACATAAATTTGATGGGCATATGCACGTGTGATTTCTTCAACAAGCTTTTGTTTGTCAACACCCAAAGCATCCAGTGATTCAGAGTCATTTAAACGAACCCCATCCATGTACTCCAAAATGAGGACCTTTTCAGTTGACTGCCATTACAAGCAACATCACGTAAAAATAATAAGATACTGACAAACGAAAGGCTGCATTACCCATTGTATTAAAAATGATATCTAATCAACAACCAGGTAAAATATTATATGGTAAACAATATTTTGGAATGGACAGAAAAGAAAAGATCCCCTTTCTATTTTAGGACCAATTATGCCAAATGCTTGAGCAGATATGAGGGCTCCACCAACCTATTTGATGGGGATTCATTGAAAACCTTTAGCATTCAACAGTATCGTCATAATTTTAGACTAGCAAGTTTCTGATGTATGTATCATTAGATTGTGGGCTTAAATATGAGTAGCAGTGTCTATTTCACAAGTCCGCTAGTTACAGGTAAAACAGTGCTGCAAAGGTCTTGCGTAACATGAAACAAGAAGAAAAGAACTGGAATCTTTCTTTCACATTTTCATTCTCTAAGTTTCACAGAATTTATTACCATTTGATTTAATATAGTGATATATTTGGGGCCACATGAATTTAAAAATACGTGAAATGCTGGAGTTGCATGTCTTGTTATGACACATCATGAACGAGGCATCCTACCCCCCTTTTTTTTTTACATACCTTGGAACATATTTTTTATATCTTGACTTTAATGGTCACTTTGGTGCCTCCTACCAAATGATCTCGACCTACCAAGTGTAAATCACTTCATTGCCATCACTTGTCTAATCATAGTAACTAATATTTGCCTGCGGAATTTTTTTAATAATCTCCTCTAGGTTTACTTGTTCAAGGTCAGCACAATCTCTCCGACATATTTGAGCACTATGTTTATCTCTAGCCATCTCACCAACATTGTCCACGTCCAGACTCCAGAGTCCACAGTCAATAAACTGCTATTGTCTCAAATCACTTTTTTCTCATGCAGTACTTATCTTGAGGATCGGTATTTTCAATAGAGCTATTATTACCTTTCAACAGACTTGATCGTGCAATCTGTCTCATTCTACTGGTCGCCCCCAATCTTCGTATTTACACAGGTCTGACAGCAGACCGACCTTGCTGTCTTCTCAAAAGTCATTTGTGATCTCCTAAAGGGCCTGACCTGAATAGGCACTTACAATCACAAAGCCCTCTTATCCTCAAAAAAAAATTAACAGCTGGTGTAAACTTCACAATAACTACTACTACTCGGAAAAGTCTTGCCACAAGGAACTCTTCTCCACAGATATGTCTCACCTCCTTCTCCATAGCATACTTGAATACCATGGCAAGAACATTTTCTCCTCTGACAAGCCTTTTGAGGACCTTTATCCTAAGCTAAGGTTTTCTTGCAACTTAAAGATGACATTCTGATGCACCTTGTGCATTGCGTAAGTTGGGAACTCATTGTTTTAATGGCCCACTTTGAGGAACGCGGATGTGCCATAACATTTTGAATACAGGTTATTGTCATAACCCACCAAGTGGTACACAGACATATCATAGTTTACTGTGATCTTATAAGATGCATGGCTTGGTGGCTAAATGCCCAGGTTCATTGAAGTAAACCTCTCCTTGAGCTCACTCTGGCTTGAGAAGAAAGAGACATCACTCGACTCCCACATAACATATGTCCTCGTGAGGTAACAACACCATAACAGATCACATCTTCCCCGTACAACCACCGTCCAAGAGACCTTCACAAACCCCATTAATCGATAAAGCATATTGGGAAGTCTGTCACCTTGACATGACCCTAGCACATTGGCCACCCCCATAACTGAAATGCCACACCTATCACATTCCAATCAGACATCTCCAATCCACATGGAGGCATCCCATTAGACCCTGGTAGAAATGTACATTTTAACCTGATAAGATGACCACATGTGAATGTAAAATGCTAAATAGTCCTCTAACTTCTACTTAATGATTCATTTTGCATGAAAGATGGAGAAAAGGGCTGGAAGGAGAATAGAATGATGAATGTGGCATCCCTAGAGAAGTGAAGTGAAGGTGTCCTTCATCCCTTTTGTTAGGTTGAGTGGAAGGGAGTAGAAGGTGATACCTTCCATTGTTTAGTAAGAGGGAAGGGAATGAGAGGTATCATGTATATTTTTCTGACAATTATACCCTCATTGTATAAACTAATCATGTAAACATTCATTCCAAAAGCATGCAAAATTGGTAAAACTTAAGAAAGGGTGATAATGAGACTTTACATTATATAAAATTGTTGTCCTCTGCTTCCCTCCTCTATCCATCCAATTTTGGACCTTGCAAAGACTCCACTAACATTGACGGACTAAACTCTCTCTCTCCGACCTATGATTCCACCATTCCCATAATCACTCACAAGAGCCACCAAATGGTTATCAAAAATTTGTGTCAATATATGTTTACCAAGTTCTCTCTCTCCCTACATCGCACACCCCCACCCCAAAAAAAATAATAATAATAACTCCACCATTCCCACTATCACTCACAAGAACTATAAAATGTTTATCAGAAATTTGTATCAATATATGTTTTAGCAAGTTCATTTTTACAAGTTTCCATGCAGTATGAGTATTTCCAACTTGCCTATGACAAGGTAAGAGTAACTTCTTGTCATCAAGTTCAATACATAAGCTATGCGGAGAAAAGTGAGAATATTTCCATAAGAAATTTTACGAAATGCATTACTGAATCTAGATTGTTGTTCTAACCCATATTTACATATTCCTTTTCTTTTCCTTTTTTTTTTAACAAATAAGTATCACTTTTCGTCAGGTCTCTGTTATTAACAATGACAACATAAGGGCATCATTTTAAATCCTGATAACTGAAAATGCTAGCAATAGCTAAGAACTGAAATTTAATTAGAAGGTTAGTGCAGGATAATACCTGAATAACCTCTGGAATCAATACATCCACGTGATTGGCAATCGTGTTATCCTCACCTCTGTTTTTGCAGCCTAGATTTCTAGAAACTGTTCTAGTATTTTCTACAGGAACCAGGAGAAGTATCGATAAGAAACATAAAAAAGTATAGTGAACGGATGAAATACCTCAACCAAAAATGACTAATAATGTTACAAAAAATACTGTGAGCCAAGAACACAATCAAGAATCACGACAGAAAAGTAAACACGCCACACACAAAGAACACAAAGATTTACGTGCATTGGCATAAGCCTACATGTACAGTAAAGATCCGGAGAAAGATTTCACTATGTGAAAAATAAGAGATTACAAGTTTCAACCCCCAAACCCTAGCTCTCTCTTTTTCCTACGATTTTCAGTATTCTCTCATGGCACACCTCAAACCCTAAACACCCTTATTTACTGAGCTATAAGATAATTATAAACCAGGTCCATGACCCACAAGAGGAAAACGGATCAAAACAGCCCACACAAAGCTCATTGTTTTGCAAAACAAAATTCGGGCCACAACATCACAAATAAAATAAAAGTGAAATCAACCATAAAATACCAGCTTCGTGGATGAAGTCTAATTCCTTAGGCGCTTCTTTGCACCATTCATCTATCATTGGATTGAAGTCGTACTGTGGTTCTGCCCATGCTACCCAGTCAACTATTGATTTTGCATTCTTCAAGTCCTATAAAACAACATGTGCCTAAAATAAGATACGATTTCAAGTTTTAATTTTTTCATTCCAATCATCTGAAAGGCCAAAGCATTTATAACCTCCAATATTATTGTCTTGATTCCCTCGTGTTGAACTTTCACGACCACCTCCTCCCCGTTACTCAGAGTTGCACGATGAACTTGTGCTATCTGCATTTAAAAAAATATATGGAAGCATAAGATTATACCCGTATGTACAAAACAAGCAAAGACCTAAATTCTTCCTGGTGTTCAACAAAGGATAATATAAAAACTAGTGCCGTTTTATTCAGGTGATTACATTGGGTTGTTTTAAACCCTACTCAAAGTTTTGCCCAGTATGTACAAAACAAGCAAAGACCTAAATTCTTCCTGGCGTTCAACAAAGGATAATATAAAAACTAGTGCCGTTTTATACAGGTGATTACATTGGGATGTTTTACACCCTACTCAAAAGTTTTGCCTAGGATATATCAGCTTGAAATGAATTTGAATAGGTCCAACTGAACACTGGTCTCTTCTCCTCTAATAAGCCCCAATAGTCCTACTTCTGATGAATTCCAATTGTTCAACCTTTTTGCACACTTTACTCCCCTTATATTTCTCTTTATTTTGTGACTACTCATAAATAAAACGATAAGCAGGAAATCTCAATTTGCCTACTATCTAGACAATGATATCACAAAACGCTTTTGTTGGGGGACGACAAATTTTGGATTTTGTCCTTATTGCAGGGGAATGTGTTGACTCTAGGTTGAAGAGTGGTGTTCCTGGTATTTTATGTAAACTTGATATCGAGAAAGCCTATGATCACGTGAATTGGAAGTTTCTTCTTTATCTGCTTTGGAGGATGGGGTTCAGAGATAGGTGGATCAAATGGATAGAAACTTGTATCTCGTCCGTTATGTTCTCGGTGCTTGTGAACGGATCTCCCGCTGGTTTTTTTGCGAGTTCGCGTGGCTTGAGACAAGGTGACCCCAATCGTCCTTCTTATTTCTCATTGTCATGGAAGGGTTGAGTAGATTAATGAAAAAAGCTGAGGACTTGGGTTTTATCAGAGGTTTCAGAGTCGGTAGAGAAGCTGCCAATCAGATAGAGATTTCCCATTTGTTGTTCGCGGACGATACATTGGTTTTTTGTGATGCTGACGTCTCTCAGTTGAGATACTTGAGGTGCATTCTTACTTGTTTCCAAGCGGCGTCCGGTCTTAAAATCAATGTAGGAAAGAGTATGATTGTTCTTGGATGTGGAGTGGGCGCTTTTCCACTTCCTTATTTGGGATTGCCTTTGGGGGTTTCCTCTAGGATAGTGGGGAGTTGGGATCCGGTGGTCAATAGGTATGAAAAGAGATTAGCAGGATGGAAAAAACAGTATCTCTCGAAAGGGGGGAAGGTTACTCTTATTAAGAGTACCCTCTCGTCCCTTCCCACTTATTTTTTATCTCTGTTTCAAATTCCATGCTCTGTCGCTGAACGGATTGCAAACTTGATCCCAATTTCAAATTTCAAAGGTTTGCAAACTTGAATTCCTCTCCTCTTCCACCCCAGAGAAAACCTTTGAAATTTGGTGGATTAGGCATTCGAAAGCTGGTCCCTTTCAACAGAGCTTTATTGGGTAAATGGTTATGGAGATTTGGCAAAGAGTGTCATCATCAGTGGAGAAGAGTTATCTCGTGTAGATTTGGGGAGGAGAGTGGGGGTTGGTCCTCTCGTCCTGTTTCTGGCACGGGAGGCGTTGGCGTGTGGAAATTCATTCGGAAGGGTTGGGATGTGTTTTCCACCCATATCAGATTCAAAGTTCGCAATGGTAGGCACGTTTGCTTTTGGGAAGATTTGTGGTGTGGTGATCAGCTGCTGTCTCTTTCTTTTCCTCGCCTCTTTAGTATTGCCGAAAACAAGCATTCTTACGTAGTTGATTGTTATCATCTTGATAACAGTAGGGTTACGTGGGATATGCGTTTTAGGCGCTCTTTTCAGGATTGGGAGTCGACAGAAGTTTGCGCTTTTTTGCACTTGTTGTATAGAAAGAAGGATGTTGGCAGAGGTTGTGATGATATTGTGTGGGTGCCTTCCCCTCATGGTAGATATGGAGTACGATCCATGTTCATGTGTTTGTCAAACTTTAATGGCCATGAATTCCCTTGGAAGTTTATTTGGTGCTCTAAAGCTCCTCTTAGAGTTGCTTTTTTGTTTGGACTGCCACCTAGGGAAAGATTTTGACATTGGATAATTTGAGAAAGAGGGGTAATACCATCGTGAATTGGTGTTATTTATGCAAAACAGATGGAGAGTCTGTGGATCATATTCTCATGCATTGTCCTGTCGCGTTTGATTGTTGGAATTTAATTTTCAGCATTTTCGGTGATCAGTGGGTGATGCCTGAACACTCTTTTCAATTAATCAACGCATGGAGAAGATACCTATTAAAGGTCATGCGCGTGCTTTTTGGAGGATTGTCCCACATTGTGTTTGGTGGTGTATTTGGCGAGAGAGAAACAACAGAAATTTTGAAGAGAAAGAATCAACTATTGCTCACTTAAAATCTCATATTCTCCGTTCTCTTTTCTGTTATGTTAGAGTAAGCGCTTGCTTCTCGATTGCTGATCTTTTTTACCTTTTGGATTCTATTGGTCCTTAGGGTTTTTGTTTTTTTGTATTAGGGACACGTTCCCCTCTTGAACGTTTCTCTAATATATTTTACTTATCAAAAAAAAAAAAAAAAATCCATGAAGGGTATAACAGTATAATCAATAACAGAAATAGTTGTTGCGTGTATTTGGAAATAATTGCAACCTACTTCTGATGAATTCTAATTTTTCAACCTTTTTGCACACTTTACTCTTATGTTTCTCTTTATTTTGTGATTACTCATAAATAAAATGATAAGCAGAAATCTCATTTTGTCTACTCTCTAGACAATGATATCTACTAGATAAATCCATGAAGGCTATAAAAATATCATCAATAACAACAAAAGTAGTTGTAGCATGTATTTGGAAATAATTGCAACGAATACAAATGGTCCTGATCTAAGTGCTTTATCAGTTTTGATAACCAACTTTAGTTTAGGAAGAATCTTACCGACGCCGTTGCCAATGGTGTTTCAACAAAATCTAAGAAGAGATCATCCATTGTTCTTCCCAACTCTTTTTGAATAGTCCCACAAACCTGTTTAGAAGGGGAGAAAAAGTATAACATAACCAATTATGTTTCTACGGATTTTCTAGATATGTAGGGAAACAAGACTATAAATACACCGATAAACATATGAATATATATCAGTGGGGATAGCTAATTTTCCAACTCCTTAGAAGAGCTTAGCCCCCTACCCAAATACCCCTTTACCATTCTGAGAACATTTATCGTCTTTTGAACTTTCTTCCTTCAGTCAATAGAATAGAAAAGCCTCTCCCAGTTTCTTGTTCCCCTCTAGCCATTCCGCCATCCCAATGGCAGAGATGGCAAGACATCAAGACAAGCTCATGATATGGAATAATGTTTTCTTTGTTCTACAATATTAGTTCTTGAGAGCACCAAAATTTTGCTATTGATTTGGAATCTTATGTTGCAATGAGAAACATCTCAAATATGTATTTAACTGGTAATACATGATGGATTACACCAGAATTTAGATATAAAAAAATAGACATAGTTGAGTATGAAACCTGCTTTTGGAGAGTAAAGTCAAGCAAAATCAATCAATAAGCTGAATATACCCTCAAAGAACATTTATCTAGCCTAACATCAATTGATCATTATATATTTTTTGCTCATAAAATAAATTATTGAACATGGCATTCTCCTCTAAAGCATATATATAGTAAGGAATATTGGAAGTACAACAACTACATCAGTGATCGGACACACAAACAAATAGATGTTCCTGGAGAACAGTCTAATCACTAGATTTGCTTTCATTTCATTGCCTGCAAATCATATAAATAAGTACAACTCACAGAAATTTTAATTTTATTATTACTCTTAAAAATATTAAAAATCAACACAAATTACCTCTTCCAAGGGGCGGGGGGGAAGAGAGTCCTGTAACTGCTTGAGAAGGGATACATAGGCCTCAGGAAGCACATCAGCGCGTGTAGATAAATACTGCCCAAGTTTCACCCACAAACCTTCCAACTGTATTATCAAATTGAGGACCCTCCTAGCATTACGCTCATGGGCTTTCTCCCATAGAGCAGCTCTTTTAGAATTGCTAGTCCATTTCTCTCTCTGCTGCAAGGCCTTCAGGTATTAAAAGAAAATAATTAAATCAAGAGAAAGCCTTCAGGTATAGAAGAAAAAAGTAATTTGGTTTTCCACGTATTAGAAGCCATAATCATGTTGCACAGCAATCAAAAAACAAAATATACCTTGTAATCCAAGTAAATTACAACAGCCAGTGTGAAAACTTTTATGCGCCTTCTATAAATGTTTCCCCACCCCATCAGATGTAGACGAAATGGATCAACGAGCAACTAAACTTGCACATGTTAAAAAAACAAAGGGTAAAAAGAAATCATCAAATTCCATGCAACACGGAATCATCAAAACAAAAATATTGATATTAAATAGAAAAAGCAGGACTCTAGTGATGATCGTGTCTAAATTTAGGTCAAGTGTTTGATATATGTACGGGGTAACGAAACCAAACATAGTTGGGATCCATTTGGTCCTTCAAAAAGAAAAGGGAGCATGCAAAGAAAATGGTAGAACGCAACACCAATGGGCATTAGCCTAGATGTTATTATCTCTCCTCCCAAAAGGGAAGATTGAGTGTTCAAGCCCTGCCAGGGGCAATATTGGGGGGTTGCATTTGCTTAAACTTTCAGAAAATGGTAGAATACAACAAAAAGTGAAAACATCATCAAACTTTACCTCTCTTCTACCGCATTATTTCTAAGAACCACATGGGGCCTTCATGTTCACTAAATGCAAACTATTGAGTCAAGCTTTACATTCAGAGTGACTTGCTTCCAACAATAAAGAGTATGACAATTCAACTTAAAATGGAAAGACAAGTGATCCCAAAAGAGTAGCTACAACTTACAAGCTTCACTAGTCACCAAAGTTCTCTAATATCTCCCATTGAAAATGTAATTCAAATTCTAAACAACTAATCTTCTCCTCTCTTTTTTCCCAGAAGCAATCATAAATACAAGCATTATATACATATAGAGAGAGCGAGAGAGAAAAAAGCAGCCTTCAATGTCAATTTAGCAGCAAATGTCCCAGGGCACCCTGATTTACATTTCTGATTTAACCGGATACAACAATTCATAAATCATCGAATGTAATCGAAATTCAGGACATATAACTTCAAAATAGGAGAAAATTAGCATAAATTTTAGAAATAATAAAACAAACAGTACTTGCCAAACAACGAAACAGAAATCAAATAAAATCATAATATCATCCTTCAAACATCGATTAACATTACATAAATTCATCAAAATCGCACCTGAAATTGAATTCAAGACGAAGAACTGAGAAAGACACCACCGGGTTTAGGCGTCGTATATGATGAAATTCAGAATCAGTTTTGGTTGGCTATATTGGCCACCTGCTCGTGCCACGGAAGACTGAACGCTTCCGTTCACGAGTGGACACGTAACCATCAGTGTTGAGGTGATGCTTACGTGTCGCGTGTGGGGTTGCTTTTTCTGTGCATTTCGGCGTGAGAATAACATGGGTTTTGAAAGAGAGTTAACATCATGCCAAATGGGTGAAAAGAGGTTATAGGAAGTCGCGTGGAATATCATAAAGGAATTTATGACCGTGGGATCTTGTGAGAGAATGAAACGGCAGCCGTTACTTTTTTAGAGGCGTGGCTAAAAGCTAGCCTATGCCTTAACCCAACTGGTCTAACCGAAGATTCTTCTTCAACGTTTTGGCCACAAAGTCAAGGAAAGCGAAAATTCAAATTCAATTCAATTAAATAAAAAATAAAGAACAATAAATCAATTAAATAAAAAATAAATAAAGTTGATATGTATGCTTTCTAGGAAATATCGCTTTGACAGTTGGATTGGACCATAAGACTTTGCAACATCAAATATTATCAAAGAAAAATATTTAATATTTTGTGAACTTTATCCTTCTTAAAAAAAATTGCACATCATCAAACAGATAATTTATATATATATATAATAAAAATACGTTAATAAATTTATTACTTGATACCGATCAGCACCTAATATCATGCTATCCTAGAGTGTTTGAAACAAACTTAAGTGCATGTAACAATGAATCACATAAACTTTAATATGCATGTGAATTTCAATATATATATTCTCAATTCTCAAACATTGAAAGACTCACTAAACATGGAAATTTTATGGTATATTTTTTTCATTTTTTGATATTTGATTGTCTTAAAATATTTATAAAGAAAAATTATTACAATCTAATAAAAATAACTTACTTATCAATTTTCGACAAATTATTTTACATATCTCTCTCAATGGAATCAACATAAATGGTTAAATATTTGTCAAACACCGAAAAATAAAAATAAAAAATATATTTTATTTCAAAAAATAAAATATTTTCTGAAAATATATTTTATGTCAAAACAAACACATAACGGGAGAGCCAACGGGAGTAATATTTTGCAAAAATATAATGAAAAGTGATAACAGAACCTGAAAAATTAATTAATTAATTAAGTAATGAAAGAAAAATATATTTATAACATTCATTTGATTATTATAAATTTTTTCAAGAATGTTATAGAAAATTACTATTTTATGATGGGAAGCTATATTTACACTCCACTTTTCTTTCTTTACCCCACAATTTTAAAAGAAATGCTAATTTTAACACTAACTTTACAAGTAAGTGATGATTATTTTTTAAATGACACAAATGCCCTTCCAAATTTCCTCTCTTTATCTCTAATCTTTAATATTTAGGTCTCTTTTGACAAGTAAAAATAAATAAATTTGTTGTTGAATAATCATATTTTTACCAAAAAAAAAAAAAAAAAAAAAAAAAGGTATCCAAATTAAATAAATAAAAATTATGTTGAATAAATGGCCTCTTTAGACCGGACCAGAAAAAAAAAAAAAAAAAAAAAAAAAAAAAAAAAAAAAAAAAAAAAGTACCCATTAAAAAAATTATCTCTTTTGACATGAAAAAACCCTCCAAAAAAAATATATATCTTTATTAAACAAATTATCTCTTTTGTCAAGATAAAAATAAAAAGTACAAGAAAAAAAAGATTCAAGAAAAATTATCTCTATTGAATAAATTATATCTTTTGACTAAACCAAAAAAAGGGTTATGTTCTTCTCATAGAAATACAAAAAAGTATCGTCCACTTCCTACAATCCGGCCTGAACCTTTGGGTAGGCTCTGCAGGATCAACAACAATAGCTGCACGGAGTGCGATAGAATTCCTTGGTACGGTCATTCGGGAAGTCCCTCCGAGGACGACTCCCAGTAAATTCTTGCGAGAGCTGGAGAAGCGGCTACGGGTAAAGCACCGTATACATATAACTGCTTGCCACCTACGCTCCGCCATCCATGGAAAGTTGAGGAACCTAGGTAATAGTATCCCGATCAAACAGCTTATGAAGGGGATGAGCGGAACAAGGAGTCTACTGGACGCGGTTCAACTAGCGGAGACTCTTGGAACAGCTGGAGTCAGAAGTCCCCAAGTGAGCGTATTATGGGGGACCGTCAAGCACATCCGGCAAGGATCAAGGGGGATCGAGTTCTTGCATAGCTCAGGTCGGAGCAAGGTGCCATCAGAAGTTCAACAGGCAGTCTCACGAGCGGCCATGAGTGTCCGGAAGTTGTCATTGTATACTCCCGCGGTTCGGAAGGCGGCGGGGGAAGGAGGGGGACACTGGGCGAGGTTGAATAAATTTTCTGTTTATATTTTACAAAAAAAAAAAAAAAAAAAAATCACTATTGAATAAATTATCTCTTTTTAATTGGCAAAATAAAATTATTTACATAGAATAAATTATCTTCTTTGAAATGACTTCAAAAAAAAAAGTATAGCACAGAAAATATATGTGTGTGTATATATATATATAGTATAGAAGGTAAAAAAAAGTTAAAGTTGTATAAAGAGTAGTATGACATTATAAAATGAAAAAATAATACTATTGACAACTTTAATACCTCGACTTAAAACTGGCGGACATAAAAATATGATGTGATTATTCAAAATTTCAATTTAAATAGACATCATTACTACTTTTGTTTATTTCCATAAAATACTCACTTTCATTTTCCTTATCTTCTCAGTTTTTTATAGTTCATTTCATTTATCCTTTTAGTTTTCTATAGCCATATCAGCTTTTTTTTTTTTTTTTTCATAGTAAGTTTCAGGGTACTTTAATTTAATAATTTAATTTGTATAAAATTTAGAGCAAAAATTGCAATGTTTTATAATTTTTCCATGCTTTTGCAATTTTTTATTTTTATTTTTTTATAATGTCTTTGTTTTTGGGAGTTAGATAGATTATTAGTTTTGATCAATTTAGCAATTAACAAATGTCTATCAAAGTAATAGATAGATATTAATGATCAAAAACACAATCTGAAGTATCTCAATAATTCTTATAAAGATACAATTTGAAATATAAAACGATGACTGAAACTTTAATCGCTAATAAAGGTACTAGATTAAGATAACTTAGAAGAAAAAAAAAAATTACAACTTTTGAAATAGTCAATTACCTTAAAATTTAAAATGGTCCCATTATATTTGACATGTTGGTAGCTACATGGACTCGGCGAAGTAGTAGGTTTTTATTTGTCGGGCCAAATAGCAAGACTCTTACAAAATAAGGGATGATGCATTAATAAATTAAATACCCTATATTTCCTTTAAAGAAAAAAGTGAGTACAGTGCAATTAGAGAAAAGTGGATTGCGAATATTCCTCCCCTTTATAGGTTGGAAAATAATTAAACTTGTAGTCCATTGGGCTTTTTAAAGATCTGTTAGCCTTTACTCTATTGTATTGGGTTGAATTATAGTTGGGCCCCTATCTTGTTTATTGGACCAAGTCTGCTTCGTGTGTGCCTGTCCCTCGTCTCTGTACATTTTTTCCATATATATTCACTTGAATTTTTTATTATAAAAAAAAATAATAAATAAAAAATGCATGAAACTTACAAGAAAATAAAGGATATTTATTATAAATTCATAAAAAAAATCCAAGAAATCAAAATTTTGATGTATTATTTTTTTTATAGACAAATTTTATGCAAATTTTAAGTGGTTATGGAAAATCACTTTCTCTCAATAATTTATTATTTTTTCAACTATCCAAACTCCTAAATTGATTAGAAAATTTCAATTTATTTTTCTTTCTTACTACTTCCATTTGGAGGAGCCTTAGAAATGTCAACATAAATTCAAATATTTTAGATTTTTGAGAACTTAGGAGAAGTTTGATTGATTTGTAACTTTAAAAACAGTTCTCAGAAATTCATAAAACAGAAATGTTTTTAGAGAATTATATACTGAAAATAAACATTTTTATAATTGAATTTTATGAAAATTGAACCAAACAAAGTTTTTTGTACAGTTTTCTGTTTTCAATTTTCCGAAAACATAAAACTATTTCCTTAGTTATGAACCAAGCAAGCCTTAAACTATATTGAATTTAGTGTTTCTATTTTTGTATTTAGATGATATTGAATTCTATCCGGTTTTGTCTATGGCTGTCTCAAAAAGTATAGAAATCTATTGTTCTTTTTTTTTTAGAGATAAAAACAAAGAACTAACTATATAAATTAAATTTCAGAATTTAATTAAAAAATGACTATTGAAGTTTGATAGTAAAATGTAGATTTTAGATATAGAAAAAAATAATAATAATAAACCATACAAATTAAGTTATGAAATTTATTTTTAAAAAGGACCATTTCTTAGTTTGGACTATATATATATGATGACTATTATTAAAATTTATTCAGTTGAAAAACTATGGTTGGTTTGTTTATCTTAATGAGAAATTATAATTTATTTGTGATAAATAATAGGGCAAAGTGCCAAAAAAAAAAATAAAAAAAAAAATCCCTAAACTATGTCAGGATTTGGAAATAACCTACTTGAAGTATATTTTGTGCATATTACCCCCTGAACAATCACATTTAGTTACAAAATGCCCCAATGCCTTAACTATATTTCATTAAATGACCTTAACGCCTTTTCTATTGAATTATACTTAGATCTATTTTTCTTATTGAAATAAATTATGAAAAAAAAAAAATCATGCTAATTTGACAACATGTTCTCCATTAAATTTGCATAAATTTACATTTAATTTTTTTAATTAATTGTTTAGATAAAAATCTTAAGTAATGTTTTTTAAAACAATTTAAGTAATTTCTTAATTTTTCATGAATATACTGCATGTAAAAAAATGTACTTTTATGGTAAAAAAAGTTTGAAGTGAGTACAATAAGTTATATTATAAATTGTAAGGTTTTAATTATAAGTTAATCATTTTATAAAATTGTACTTACAAATATTTTTATTTATTTATTTTTTCAATTTTATGATAAATTGATAGTAATAATAAAATTCGGATAAATGGTATAATTAATTTTTTGATAAAAGAAAAGATAATAAAAATAATTTAATAAGAAGTCGCAAAATTAATGAGAAAGGATAAACGGTCTTTTGTGATGGTTTGTCATTAATTGCAACAAATTAATAGTTCGAAGGGGCAATTTGTAGTTCAATTTTTTTTTTTTTTTTTTTGCACTTTACTTTAAATAATATTCTGTATTTTCTTTATTTAAAATCTCTTATAAATATTAATATTGATATAAAACAATATATTGTTTTCAAAACATGTATATAAAAAAATTATGGTAGAAAATTTACCCATTAATTCCAATTGTAAGGAAAAGAACTATACAATTTTGTTACGACAATTAAGTTATACTTTTTGGTAAATATTTTCAATTAAGGTTGCGTTTGTTTGGATATAAAATATTTTCTAGAAAAATATATATTTTTATTCTTTGGCGTTTGGTTGTCGTAAAATATATTTATAGGAAAAAAATATTAAAACTTAATAAAATAAGTAACTCATCAATTTTCGGCAAGTTATTTTACTTGTCCCGCTCGACAGACTTAACCTCAATCTCGATTTGGACCTTTGTCAAACATTGAGAAATAAAATAAAAAATATATATTTTACTTGAAAAACATTGGTTTTCTTCCAATATTGTCCTTCTTTTTATAAAAGGACAATACTTGCCTACTCACCGGTGAGTAGAAAGTTCATACTTACCCTGATGTGGTGCAAAATTATAGGAACACAAGTCCCTATAATATAAAATAATAAAAATTAAAATATTTGAGAGGTTATCCGGATTAAATTTAATATGATCCAAATCTAACTCCCCCACCTCTCTCTCCCAAGCTACTTTGGTTTTATCTTTTTATCCCAAGGGAGTGAATGAGAAGGGATCTTGTCGATAAAAAAATATTTTAAGCTAAATTTTTTAAATAAAATAATATTACATGATATAAACAAAGTTCAGAATGATTAATAAAAAAAATAACTATAAATGTAATGAGACATAGATATTTGTTTTCCGCCAAAAGAAAAATAAAATAAGAAATAAGCAATAACAATCTATCCTGCAATCAATCAACAAATCATCTATCAAATCATGTGAACTAAATTTTATTTAATTGGGTGTACTTTAGATAAATATAATTGATAAATATTTATAAGGATTACACATTAAATCATGAAAGATATAACTCAAAACTTATAATATTAGTATATTAAGATTTTGCCAGAGTAGTTTGAGAGAGAGAGGGGGAGGAAGAGAGAGTAAATTAGGATTTTATTTTTCATCATTTTGACCGGATAAGCATTCAATTTTATTAATTTTTATTATTTTCTATTGTAGGGATATTTGTCACACTACTTTTGCGCCACAATAGGGATAAGCATGAATTTTCTACTCACCAATGCGCAGGCAAGTATTGTCCTTTATAAAATATCATTAATGTCATTTTATTAAATAAAAGAACATAATGATAAAAAAAAAATTATACTATCTCAGACACAACTTACATTTTATATATATATATATATATATATATCATAAACTTAAATTTACGTAAACTTATTTTTAATTATTGAAATCACTTATTTGTAAAACAATATAAAATAGGAAGGAAAAAAAAGGGTGAAAGGATATTTAACAATTCATTAATTGTTCACGAATACACTTCATATATGAACAAATAAAAAAATATTGTGGAACTTTTTTGGGCTTTTAAAAATATATATTTTTATTAAAATTGGTTTAATTTAAATAACTTGTTAAATATTTGTTTAAAAAGACTAATTTTGGTGACATTTAAAAGTATTTGTTTTTTCATTATTATTAAAAATCAAAACTAATTACAAAAATAGAGTTAATAGATATAACTAGTATTGTGATAAGAAAATAACATTGAAGGCATTTATGAGAAAGGGTAATATTAATTAATAAAATTTTGAATTTAGGCTTCGTTTGTTTGGACGTTAAATATTTTTCAGAAATTTTTTTTTATTTTTTATTTTTATGTTTAGTTGTCATAAAATATTTACGAAGAAAAAAAAATATTAAAATTTAACAAACATAACTTATTTATCAATTTCGGGGCAAGTTATTTCACATGTTCGTCAAATGGACTCGACCTCAATCTCAACGTAGACCTTTGTCAAACAATAATAAAATAAAATAAAAAAATTACTTGAAAAAGAAAAATATTTTTTTAAAAAAATATTTCACGTCGAAACAAACGGATAGTTAAAAATATTTATTGAAGTAGGACTTTATGGTCTTTCTAAATTTTCTTATAACTTATGTCTTTACAACCAAAAATAAGACTAATCGGCATAGTTAGTAAAATATGGTACGGAAAAAATATAGGTACGAAAACGTACGAGTATAATTCGATATTTTTTTAAAAATACGTTTAAAAGTTTTGGCAAAAAAAATACAGAGATGTAAAAATATGAATACGAATACATACGTGTATAATACATTATATACTCTAAAAATTCGGGATCAAAAATTCGGCTATACACATCGTATTATTTTCTTTTATATATATATATATATATATATATATTTGTAAGGATAATAAAGAATATGTAACAAATAATGAAATAAATATATTACAATTAACACTATCACAATAATCATAAAAATAAAAAAAAAATTATAAGTATATAATGTAATATTCTACTAAAACATCTGGGGGGTGTGGTGATCTACAAACTTCTGAAATAATAATAATAATAAAGATATTAACAAAATTTAAAAGATCTCACAACAAAACAAAAATCTATAAATATCTACAAATATTAATAAAAACTTATGATTCTTCAAGATTGTAGTGTTTCATATACATATATATATATATATATATATATATATCTTTCATTGCTTTGATTAAATATCATAATTGGAGTGATTACAATAAGAAATTGCACAACAAATAACATTATTTTGATGGCTTGAAAGATAATGGCTATACCAAGCAAAAGAGGGTACAAAACACAATAATTTGCACAACAAATAACATTATTTTGATGGTTTAAAAAATAATGGCTATACTAAGTAAAAGAGGATAGAAAAGACAATATTTTGTATTTTAGAAAAATACGTTATTAGAAACGTGAATTTTGTAAACAAAAATAATAATAATTAGGTTACGAATTAAACGGAGTAACCAAAACAAATAAACGAATAAACGCCGTTAGATACGGGGTGATGAAAAAAAATGCGTATTTTACCGTGTCTTTTAACTCTAATCGATAAACAGAAGTATTTTTTTAAAATTCGTACGTATGCGTTTAATTCACGTATCATACGCGCATTAACTAACTAGACTAACCGGTAATTAATCGCAATTTAAAAAAAAAAATTTGCTGATAAGATGTAGAGTGTTAGTTTATTTATACTCCGTGTGTATATATATACATATATATATATATATATATATATACTATTTTTTCACCGGACTAGGTTAACTTATCTTATTTTTTAAACCTCTGTAGTGGTTGGACGATTGGGACCACGGACGTTAAACTACGTAAGTGTCACCTTGTTATGCGTACCTTATATATGATGTACTTATTTGTCTGTCGCTCTCGCCAACTACCACGTGTCCAAATAAAACCAACCTACTCGGTTCCAACCGAAAGGTGTCAGTGGATTAATCTAAATCACCATCAAAACTAAAGGGAATGGTTTGTCGCCCAAGTTTTTTCTCATCAACAAGTTCCAATCTAACGGCTCAAACGTGTATCATCAATATTTTATTTTATTTTTATTTTGCGTGTGTGATGAGAATGTTATAAATTAATGGTTAGTACTAAAATCGAACTTCCACAAAAAACAAATAGTAAATTTACCGCTTGAATTAGGAAAGTGTATCATCAAATTTATTTATTTATTCTTGTGACAAGAATATTATAAATTAGTGGATAGCACTAAAATCGGACTCCCACAAATAACAAATAATAAATCTACCATTTGAACTAGGAAGGCATTCATAACGTGTCGTCAAACTTGACCTTAATGCATAATTTCAATAAAAGAAAAAAAAAGATGTAGAATACGATAGAATAATAATAATAACAATATGGTGTGTTTCTAACTTTGAAGACCTTATGGATAAATATAAGAGAAAAGATATTCAGTGGAAAAAAAAAATGGAAAAACAAAGTAGAAAGTTTCGCTTATTAAATATTAGCCCCTTTTGGGATTGTATTTTCAGCCTACAAAAACGCGTTGAATTAAAAAAATAATGTTTAGTGGTGTTTGGTGAAAGAAAAAACCGCGTTTAAAGAGTAGATGTTTGATTAAAAAAAAAATTGCATTTTGATGAAGTTAGGGATTAGAGTTTCTGAAATTACGTTATGGGTAGAGAGGTTAGTATACGTCTACTCCCTCTATAATTTTTTTAATTACACATTAACCTAGGTTAAAAAGTTTAACTAATGGATATAACCCATAAACACACCGTATCTTGTGGGTCTGCACATATCCTACAAATATATATTTATATATAGATATAAAAAGTTTTGAACATTGGATTATTTCATTTTAAGTTTTTCTATTACTTGTAAAAAATAAAAAATCACAAAATATTCACAGACTAATGGGATTCAAATACTACAACACATATCTGGTAAAATTTTATTATTAAATATCTTATGTAAAACATTATTTAGTTAAAATTTATTATTAAATATTATATGTGTAAATATGCTATTTTATTACTAAAAAAAATCAAATATCAACCAAAAATTAATATTTTAATTATTTATACTTGAGAGTAATGCAAATGTTTATTACTACAATATGGATAATATAGTAAAATTAGTAATCGAAGTATTTTAAACAAATTGTTACCAAATAAATTTAAAAGTACTTTAAATATAAAAAAATACGTTATATAATGTATTATCAAACACCTAATATACTTTTTAATGACAGGTCTAAAACATAGCAAAAACACGAATTACATTAGACACAATAATTTTTTCAATAACTAATAAGGAAGTGATACTTATTTATCTAATAAATATACGTTATCACTTTTGAAATAAATGATATTGTTACCTACTAACTCAATTATTGATTTATGTGCATTGTGTAGCATTTATCTAATAAAAATTATGAATTTCACTTCTCTAAATAGTAGTATAACAAAATCACTTTTCAAAAGTGTAGATTATTAGTGTATTTTTAATAATATTTTATTTTTATTTATAAAAAAATAAGTGTGGAATGTGAATAGAAAAATGATATAACCAACTAGTATATTTAGAATTTAAGTACAGCAGAATTAAGTCATAAATATTAAAAATTTAAACAAGAATGTATGAAAAATGTGAAAGTGAGAGCGCGCTCAAAACGTTAAAAGTTAATTTATTAAAAATAATTATGTTAGTTAATATATATTTATATATATATATAAAAGGTGAGAACAATATCGGTTGAAAAGTGTAATGCACACTTCATTTTCTAATAGGTGAATGTAAAACACTAATACAAGTTGGCTTTGCATACTTAGATGCACTTGAGTGAGAATGCATTGACTTCAAACTTTGACTTTAATGGGTTTCTTTGGTGAATGTAACGTTAATAAAGTGTTCAAAAGTGAAATGGACTTAAAAATGCTAGTACTCTATTTCAAAATATATATATATTTTTCCATAACCCTGGTTTTATAACAACCGAAACAGGGAAAAAGAAAACAAACACAAGTCAGAGGGGGCTAGTACTCTATTTTGGGTAGGTAGTTTTTGAAAGAAACAAAAAAAAAAAAGTATTTGATTTTTAAAATATATTTGGAAGCAAACGTCGAGAAAAAAAAAAAAAAAAAAAAAAAAAAAAAAAAAGGTCCTAAACTCATAATCTGAACGAGTCTCGGTGGAGAGGTCTCTTGTTGGCTCTCCATTCCATGGCGACCTCAAGACTCCTCACACTCTTCATCTTTCTTGCCCTAATTTTCACGAAGATCGGAGCAGATTCTTCAATCACCGGAGAAGAAGTCGGATCGGATGGCTCTGATTCGTCGTCGTCTCTTAAGATCGAGTTGGATCAACTCAAGTCTAAGATCCATTCCCTTGGTTGTTCTCTCCTCCTATTACTACTCTTTTGATGCTGCAACTATATCTGTATATATATTACATACGTAATACCTTCACACACATATATATAGAAGTAAAAGTATATATATGTGAATTTGACTTTTATTAATCCTGTTCATATAATTCAAATTTGAGGGCCTTTTATTAATCATCGATAGTAATTCTTAGACTAAAATCGACCAGGTTTCTGTATAACACAAAATTTGAGAATTATGTTTTGGTTTAGAGACTTATGTTTCATTTATAACCGTGTAATATTGTACTATTTGCCAAGTTTTTTTTCTCTATAATTTGCCTATTGGAAACCAAATTAAAATGTAGAAATAATTTGACTACGTATATACAATGTCCGAGAGTGTGAAACAAAACCCACCTACAAAAAAGAAAGAAACAAAAAGGGCAACATTATAAACGTTAAATGAACTATGTGGAGAGTTTTTCTTGCTTTTAGTTCATGGTATGCTCATTGTGATTTGTTTAGTTTATGTTTTTGATTTGATAGTGATGTTAATTTTTCTTATTTTTGCTCGTTTGGTTATTGTGTTGTTGTGTTCCTCTGTCTCCATTTGCTACTGAAGAATCATGGGTTGATGAAAAAGCCCAAGAACTGAAAAGCAAAGACGAGACTATAGCAGAGAAGGAAAAGATCATCCAGGAGAAGTCAATTAGCATTGCATCGTTGCAGAAGGAGATATCATCCTTCCAGGTGAGATTTTAGAATTTCTCAATAGTCCTGCTGTTTGTAATATTGCTTGTTCAATTTTGAGTCGAACAATAATAACTTTTTTGCTCATTCTCCAAGTGTTATTAAAAATCTGTGATTGGAATTTTGTTTAGGAAAAAGGGAAGCTAGATGTTGACAGTCGGGTGGAAAAGGCTTATGCTCGGGCTGCCGAACTAGAGAAGCAGGTCAAGTCATGAGCAAACCACGCAATTTAATTAAAGGCAACTATTGTTGGTTATGTGCTATAAATTCTATCTCCCATGCAGGTTGACATACTTAAAAAGGAAATAGAAACAAAAGATAAGGAAAAAGACGCCCTAGAAGTGAAGAGAAATGAATCCAAGGAGAAAGGGCACAAATTGAATTTGAAACTCGAGAATGTAAGTTCTTTGTTTATATCACTGTGACTATAATTTTAGTCATCATTTATTTTGTACTCAATAATGTTTTGGCATTGCAAAATATAAAATTGTATCATACTTAATAAGAGATATTCATCTCATTTGCAGTTGTTAAGGAGTTTTGATCTATTAAATATTTATTGTGGTCCTATATGATGCATCTAAGTAATTATCCAACATGATTAAGGAAGACCACTATACGTACCGGTTAGGAAGAGTGACATAATCCACATTAAGGGTAATGATGAGAGATGGGAATACTGAAATTAACACAGGTAGAATTAGTGAGTAAAAACATGATAACACGTGGTTTAATCGAGACTATGACCTTAGGTGGAGGAGAAAAGGCTTTGCAAAGTTGACTAAGCTATATATTCATATAGCATATTTAGTCATTTTCTTACTTATAAAAGAAAACATATTTAATCATTTTGATAAGCCATATGGGTCTATATCAAATTTCAAACATTGCGAGCAAATGCAATGGTGGAAATGTTGCTTCATAACCTCCATATTTTCATAAGAGTGCTCATGAGCCTTTTCTATGCCCTAAGAATAAAGATGGAAATAAGTAGAAAACTCCTTATAACCACAAGAAGGGGAGCCCGTTCTATGCCCGGAACAAGATGAGCGTGGGAGAACAAACATCTCGTAAAATAGCAATATTAACGATCTTATAACTTTGTTAATAAATGTGGAGTCCAGTAAATTGCTTTTGAGATCAAGTGATCAACAATAAATGATGACTTGTTCTATCTTTCTCTCTCCATGTTGGGACAAGCCCATGACTTACTGCCAAAAAATGTACCTCCACCATGTGAACACACACACATATGCAATATATCTGCCATGTGAGGAGATATTCTCCAGTAGAGAGTTCTTTGTATCTACAATGTGAATCTTTTGTAATACTATTTCAGCTTTGTAATATACCATCTGTAGCAATAAACTTGTAATCACATCTTTGTTCCCTTTTGGATGTACTTTATATCTGTTTTAACATTAGTATTAGTTTTTTAAGTGCTGTTATATCAGTTTTTCAGGGCAGTTTTTTACATAGGTCTTTAGTTTAATAGTGTGTTAGTGTTCTTGATGGCAATATTAGTTAGTTGATTAGTAGCTTTATTAGTGTTGTTGTAGTGGTATCATGGTCAATAAAACTACTAATTAACTGATTTATACTTATCAAACTAATTACAATACTTAAAAAAAATCTAATACTAATGCTAAAATAAATATAAAGTATAACCAAAAGAGAGCAAAGCTATGATTCCGGATTACTAACAAGTTGTTGGACATTGTATTATACAAAGCTGAAACTGTATTACAAAGGATTTACACTGTCGATGCAAAGAACTCTATAGTCTCAAACTTAGTTTTCTCACTATAATACAAGATTTTCTTTAGGAGTCCTTCCACAATATTTCATGCACAAAAACTTCCCATTTAGGCCAGTGTCCTTTACGTGTCATGTATCTTTTAGAAGGTGTCTTTGTGCTTTTGGGTTGGAGGTATCTCTTCACATGGCTGATATATTTCTTAGATGTATGTGTGTTTTCACATGAAGGATGCTTGTCTTCATATGGTTGCTATTGTTTTTGGTTTACTTTTAATGCATTAACACATTGTTCATGAACATAAGGATTTTCATTGCAATTTTGCGTCTATTCTGGGAGAAGAGAAAGTTGAATATACTAAAATGGTGGAGTACAAGAGGAAAACTCTCTCTCTTGCTATAGAATTTCGAATTTTAGTAACATTGTGTACGCTTATTGTCGCAGTTGGGTTATTTTAGATTTTCCTTTTATATGTACCGGAATGAGTTTATGCAACCAGTTCTTCTTTTTGTCATGAGACTTGAGTTTCGCTAAAATTTGATCAAGTGAAGTCATCTTTTGAAGGTGATAAATGATATTATTTAGTGTGCTTATTTTATTTTCCTGTTATGTTTCTTTTTGCAGCTACAAAAGATCATTGATGAACAAAAGGCCAAAATTCAAAAGACTGAACGTGCTCTTGCAGTTGCTGAGGTACACTAGTTAGTGTTGCTAATACTTGTATGATATTATATGCCCAGGTGATGGTGATTACATATATTTTCTTTCCAAATGAAATTCTTTTCAGGAAGAAATGCTGAAGGCAAAGATCGAGGCCACATCAAAAACTAAGGATCTAGTAGAGGTAAGAAACATAATTGGTTTACTCTATGATTCAGTTCATCTCTTTGTGTGCTTATTTTCTTTGTTGGCCTCTTATGAGTCTCACAAGTAGTTTTGGTTCAAGTGCTTGAATCAACCCTTACCCATTTGGAAGTGGAACGATTTTGTTTGCTCCTAGTGGTTATTACTGCAGAATTACCAACTACATAGGTCATGAGCCGTGCAAAGCTTGAAAAAAAAAAGGCACTGCCTTAACTTCTATTGACTTATATTGTACAGTATGTGGTTTAGTTAACTGGATTGTGCTTTGTGTACTGTTATTGCAATTTGCATTAGAGACACGGTGCATCATGTTTGATGTATTCACAAATTCAAAATCGCTTCACCATGGGATAGCATTTGGAAAATGAAATTTCAGACAACTTTTTTGTTGTTGTATTACTTGACATAATATGTGATCCATTATTAGGTTCATGGTGCATGGCTTCCACCTTGGCTTGCGGTTCATTCAGGTCGTTGTCAGGTAAACTTTTGGTGTATATGGTGTAATTCACCATGAGCACTTCTTTTGAGTTTTGGTTATTTTACTTCTTTCTTTTTCTGTATTTTTGACTATTTTTCTAACTTGTAGTCATTTGTTGAGACACATTGGAAGGAGTATGGAAAACCTACTGTGGATGCATTGATGCAAAAGGTACTGTTTCTCTGGGTTTCTAGGTCAATAATTAGTTTATCTTCCACAGTAGCTGCTGATTATGTTGTCTAGTAACATGTGTTATCAGTTAATATCGCCAATCAATTCCTCTGGGATTCATTAAACAACTAACATTGTTTTTTAAACTTACAGGCCCTGGAGAAGAAAGCCCAAGCTGGAAAGTGGGCTGCACCCCACATGGAAACAATTAAAACTGTAAGCCATCTCTACATATTTATCGATTTTGTGCTGATGATCCTCTGCGATTATATGGTAGTTTCACATGCCTTTTAACTCTGCTTCACCGGTAAAGTTATCCAATTTTAAAATCAGAAATTAATGGATTGGGTGGTTGCTGGAGCTGTAACTCAGTGGGTTTGGCTGGGTTGAAGTTCATGTTGCTCAACCCAGGTTTTGAGTGTGCTGCCTGAATACCTTGGGTTGGGATTGCCCAGTGCAAGTTGGGTGAACCACATTGGTCAATTCAATTGGTTAGGGTGGAATTATCACCATTCTTTTGAATGGCTCTACATACTTTAGAACGCAATTACCATATAAAGTAATGATATAAGTCACTTTGAAATAAATTTCAATATTAGAGCCAAAAAAGTAATGGGGAAACTCGAATGACATCATGCAAGTTGATGAATAAATTGCAACTAAGAATGGAACTGGTATATATTGGGGCCTCTTATCATAATTATAATGTCCAATAGTAGAATGCATTTGCTTTATGTATATCAACATAAGTATGCTAGAGATATTATATATACATATAACACCATTGCCACACATTAGAATGGACCCAGGTTGATTGGATTGCCATGGCCTCAATCGTATTCCTACGGTTGTTGGCATTTTTCAGCTCAAGCCGAAGTCTATGCATAGAAACCTTGGCCCCAGCTTTTTTTTTAAAAAAATAAAAAATAAAAAAAATGATTAAGCTTGACTACTTTTTATGTATCAAAAAAAAAAAAACCTTGGCCCCAGCTTGTTCTTGGGCTGGGTTGGTTGGGCTCAAGTTGCCTTAGTTGCAGCCTCTGCTGGTTATGGGAATTTACTTATTCCTAGAGAATTTGCTTATTCCTAGAGAATTTACTTTTTCCAAATATTTTCTTATTTATTTTGTTTCGCCATGTGAAGCAATTGATCCCAGCTGTAAAGGAGCAGTGGTTGGTGATGACAACGTATGTTGAACCACATGTGAAATCACTAACCACAAAAACTGTAGAGGTTTACGAGGCATCCAGAAGTACTATAACACCACATATTATCAAAACACAAGAAGTTTTCGACCCTTACTTTCAGGTATACTTTATTATACCTGTTCTCCTTTTTTTACCTGTTCTATGACATGCATACTCAGTGAGTTAATTTGGTGGCAGGAAGTTAAGAAGTTCAGCCAGCCGTATATTGATCAGGTTGCCACTGTGGCAAAACCTCATGTTGATAAAGCACATGATGCTTTGAAGCCCTATAAAACGAAGGTAGTTCATGCTTGTAGGAAGTTTCTTGAATCTGCAAGTATGTACCATCATCAGGTATGTATTTGCTATTCTGTTCTCTTACTCCAGTGATTGATGTATATTTTTAGCTTTTCCATAAGTTTATTTTTTCTATCCATGGTCTCCTCTAGGTGCTGGTAGTCTTCTTTGTGGGGCTTGGTGAGAGATGGGACACAAACTTTATTTTGTCTTAAAAGGGATCCATTACTCAATGACAATCTTATCGTGTAAAATAAATAAATGAATAAAGAGCTTCATAAACTTCTAAGCATCTGGATATCGACGAATTCTACCAATTTTAGGAATAATCTTGCTTAGCAAGATCTTTAATTTTTTTCTATTTAGTGGAATAAATTATATTCCTTTGATAAGTATATTCTTTTACTAGTGCCAAAAAGGGGGCATAACCTATGTGGTCACATGAGGAGTAGAAATTTATAGTAAAAAATCAAAAGAAAATACTCATATTCCAAAAAGTCAACTGAAGGACCTGTGGAGTTCATCTTAACCCCTTCCAAACTCCTATTGCATTTCCTTCAGATGTACCACATAGGATGTGGAAGGGCCCAAAGCTTCAGAGCAACATTATAATGAAAAAGGAGAAGATTAGCTGTTACCTCATCTCCCTTACACTTGTGGAACCAGGCTTACATTTGATATCCTCTATGCTTCAGATTAGTCTATCATGAGGATTGGCTCCACAGCTGCTGATCATGCATTAAACACCATCATCAAGGTACTATTTGAATGCCCAATACTTCATGGCGATTCGTCTCTACCGTGCATTGAGTGAACAATATTCATATCTGACATTAAGTACCCTATTATTGGTTGCTTTCCATGTGACCAAATTTCCCCTCCCTCCTTTATGCGAACCTCTTGAAGCAACTGTAGTAGCTTGCCCATTGAGTCCAACTATCAATTCTGGAAAGCTCAGGGGCCCATACCACTCCGTTCGAGGATGAAGCAAAGTTAGCTATTCCAGTGCCTTCACTCATAGGAGATAGCTTAGGCCATCTAAACTATCATTTAAGGTTTTCTAGAGGCCTTGAAGTACTTCTCTTACTTTTATATCCTTTTGTACGTGTCTTTCAATGGTACCCTTAATGCCCCCTCCTATCCGGAATATTGTTTATACGACTCTAGATGAGGGCTTCCCTTGAGATTTGGTTCTCTTATGGGGTTTCACTCCATCTCTGATACTCCTTTGGGGGTTGTTTGGGTGGAAGAAACGCTTATGTGAGATTAGAATCCTTGTAGTGGCCTCTGAATCAACAATTAGCATTGTATCCCCTAGGCGAAGAATGCAGCCAAACGAATCTTGCCTTACCTAAGAACCTAATATTCCCCTGTAGCTAGTAGTTTCTTTTCATTTTCTTCCATGCATTGTTTTATGTTTTTCAGTTTTCTGAAAACAGAAAACTTTTCAAGTGGACCAGGCACATTTATTTAGGGCCTGCTTGGATCACTTTTCAGTTTTTAGTTTCCGGGAACAGTGTTCAGAAATCAATAGAAAACAGTTTTCAGTTTTTAGTTTCTTGGAATGTCTGGTGTTTCTTGTTAGAGATGGAATTAGCAGTCAATGTTTTTATATGGATGATACATACTATCGTACTGTCTTGGTTATAACATATCTGCCTACCCTCTTATGTCCTATTAAGGTTCAAGGCACTGTGCAAGAAACATTGAAAAAGCATGAGATGACAAGACCTCTTGCTACTAAAGAGTTAGTCTGGTTTGCGGTACGTATTTGTTGTTGTATTCTAATGCCTAATCTGTCCATTGCTTCCCCAAATTTTATTATTATTATTTTTTATTTGCTAATTTTTTTTTGATAAAGTATTTTTTATTTGGTATTTGCTTGGCATTTTATGTGCTTATCTGATTTGTAATCATATGCTTTAGGCTTCTGCTTTACTGGCTCTACCGATCATGATTCTGTTTAGAATTTGTTCATCCATTTTCTGGTCAGTTTTTTATCTGCAATTTTTATTTTTATTTTTTATATATTTGAAGTTATTGCTTGGCTTTTGCACTTTCCTTTCTCATAAAATATTTCACTAAGAAACTATAAGATCCTTTTTCTCTTCGACGTAACAATTGCAGCAAGAAGGCCAAGAAACCTATTCGAAATGGCAACTCGAACCATGCACGTCGAAAGGCTAAACGGGGACATTCTGAGAGATAGTGCAGTTTGATTCTCTTTCTTTTGGCACATTTGAGGTACACTTGCCAGTTTTTAGATTGAATGAATTTCAAGTTTTTTGAGAACTTCGTAAAGCCGGAGAGTCAAACTTGAATGAATATTGAGCATATGTACTTTCTGCTTTGGGTTATGTGCAGTTAATCAGCTAATGTTGTTGGAATAGGCAAAAATTATTCTAGTTTTTTTTCTTTTTGACTACTTTTTCTTTTTTGATAAGTTTTTTGACTACTTTTTAAGGAATCCCCTTTTGATCTAGTGAATACTGAACTTTCTGCCTTGGGTTAATAGTTATTGTTCGAAACTGTATAAGTGATAGTAAATAAAGTGGATAAGGCACAAGCCTAATTATAGAAAGTAGGGTACTGGCTTCGCTTCGGCTGGGAGACTTGCTCTATTACAGTAAAACCAAATAACTTCATGAACTGTCGTGTTTGATAATAATGATCTTATTGATATTCATATCCAATAGCCCTTATGAGAGGTTTTACGGTTCAAAAAGGATTAGTGAGTAAAGATAGCGGTACTCATAGCACCACCAGTCTCTCTCTCTCTCTCTCTCTCTATATGTATATTATATCACTACTGATCTCTTGCTCCTTAGCAAGTAGGAAGCTATGTGCACGACTAATATTGTGTCTCTTGGATGACATCCAATGGATGTAATCTAAACCATAATTTCTAGCACCTTTTGTTTCTTAAAACCAGGAATACCATTTTCAGGAAATATCCAAAAAAATGTGGTTCTTTGTAAATCACCCCAGGAGAGAAATTGCCAAGAGAACACGTTCTGCAGGCCAATCATCGGATATTCAATAAGCTATAATGTTTTTTTTTTTTTTAAGAATGAAATTTAGTTGACTTATTTATACACAATTTTTCATCAGTTGCAGTAACTAGATAAAGAACTTTTGATATCATGCATATACAAGGAGTTTTCCAATTTTAGAATTAGTTCTGAAGCCAATGATAATGATAGGATAAATGATTTAAGATATATTCAGTTATAATTACAAATCAGTTTGTTATAGATTAGGGTCCTGAATCACGTGACATATATAACTACATATATAACTACATTTTGGAACATTGAGATACTATTTCCAGATTGTCAATGAAGACCTCCAGGTCCTGTATTTTTAGTTAAAATTGAGATACTACAGCTACACATCCCGATATATATATATATATATATATATATAACTGTTATTTCAGTTGGTATTCTTGTAATAGGTTCTTAATTTAATACATCGTGGACTAAGCTTTTACCTTTCACCCTCTTGCAGATGGGGATGACGCTACTCTTGGCTTGGTTTTTGAAGATTTTAAGTCTGTGTGTTAGTGAATTCAGCTGCTGCGTTTCAAGTTCTTGCCTTATTTTATCTTTATTTTGTTTCTGTGCAGAAAATCTGGGTAACTCATGTATTCTGTTAATTTTGATGCTCTGCAGTCACGGTGTAATTTTCCTCTTAATGTCAAATTCTTTTTAGTTCAGATTTGGGTTGATAGTTTTTTAGTTCCACATCCCATTCATTGTTAAATTATAGATGTTTATTCTCATAAATATTTTTATACCCACTCTTCTCCTTACATTAATATGTGTGTGTATTTGGGAATATGTTTATTTATTAGTTTGTTATTTCTATCTAAACATCCATACCTACATTATTTACATAGCCTCCGTGCATGGCTCATAGAAACATCCAAGATGAAAGCATGCCAACCCCAAAGGGTTGAACTAGTTGGAAGAGTCTTGGGGGTACCTCGTGAAGTATCAGGTCTCGGGATTGATATTAATTTCTGCTAGGTACAAACAATTCTTTCGAGGGGAGTGTGTGAGTACCAACTAGGACAAAAAGAAAAGAAAAAAAGAAGCATGCCCAAGATTATATGAATATGAATATAAGCATCAATAGAAGAAGTTCCTGAGGGATGTGTCCTCACACATGATGCCTTTGATAAAATTATTTTGACATAGGGCAGTTTTCTTCCTAATAATATTGGTAACGAACGCCATCGGTGATTCTCAAGTCAGGGTATTTATTATTATTTTTTTTGAAAAATAAAGAAAAAAAGAAACCTGTAAATATCATCCAAGGGAATGAAAGTAAAGTTGCTTTGAACTTTTTACGAAATACTTGCCATTCTACTAAAGGCTGAGTTGTGTAAATAAGAACTTGTAAGAGTAAGAAACATAGAACATATACACACACTACCACCTTAGTTCTGAATGCCTGGAATTTGTATTCGTTCCTTTTAATTGAAACACCAATTTAATTTTTGATTTATTCGAACAACTATAAGTGTTTAACATAAATATTTTACACACCACATTCATTTTGTTTCTTTGAAGACTCGAATTCTTACCACCCACTTTGCAGAGGCGGCTCAATGTAACTAGAGGCTTTAGGCAAAAAATAAAAAGTGGTTTTTTCATATCCTAAATTTTTTGTTAGGTTTTGATTATTAGTTGTAACAAATTTATCAATAGCTCCCTTTTGAGATTGAATTAGTTTATCTAATCTTGGTTTTTTTTTTTTTTTTTTTTTTTTTTTTTTTTTTTTTTTCAAATCTGGATTCATACTTTCTAGTAGACATATTAAAAAATATGGGTAAAAATAGTTACAAGACTCACAACTCACAAACAAATATACAATTATATGAAAAATGTTCAAATTGAGATTTGAGACTAATGAATATTGAGTCAAGAAGAAAAAAAATTATAAAGTTGTAACGAGAGAGGACTGAGAAGTGAGAAGGGAGATGACTTATAACTTGTAAGTAACTTCTTGAGTTTGCTAAGAGAGGAGAGAAATCAGAATGAACGCAAGGATTAGGAATAAGAAAAAATAAATAAAAATCTTAAAAAAGGGAATATGGAAAGTTTCTTCACTTCCCCATATAACGGCTAAATATTTATTAAGATAGACAAAAAAAAAATATTGATGAGTTTAGGAGATAAAAAAAAAAAAAAAAAGATATTTTAGGAGATAAATAAATTAATGAGATATTTTAAGCTTGCTTAAAGTTTAATGAAAATATGTGAATGATGATAAAGGAGAGAGAAAACAAAAGTAAACAATTACAATATATTATATACACAAATTATAATATTTTGGGAACTTTTTATTAGTTAGGGCCTTAGGGGCGTCTAACTCGCCTAAGGCTCCACCCCTATCACTTTAAAAGATAGAAGATATATCACCATAACACAAGGCCCTGTGAAAACAAATAATCACCATTCTTAAAAACATTGTATTATTATTATCATATTTTTTTTCTTTAAAGGTTGTAGCTGATGTACCATTCCCGAGCCTTCCTTCTATAGTTAACCATTTGGAGAAGATAAGTTGTACTATTAGGTTAGAAGCCTTTTAGTAAAGTCTATTATGTGGCAAAAAAATATTAAATCCTAACTGTTGTATCCGTTGAATTAGTGAATATCTCTATTTTATTTGTTTGAATGAGAGTTATAATGATATAATTAGGGACGGAGACACGTTGAAATCAGTGAGGGCAATTGCCTCCACTGAATTTTTATTTATTTATTATTATTATATAATATTAAATTTTCTTATTTTCAATTATATACTTACAAAATTTTTTCTTTGTTTCCCTTAAAATTATAAAAAAATTACACTGAATTCAATTTTTTCCCCTCTCACAACTTCCTGTGGATGGGAAGTGGATGAATGGAAAGGAGGCTTAATGATAATAAAATATCATATTGTTAATGTTAATCCCATAATATTTTAACCACGATGGGTTCATCAATATATATTTTTTAGAATTAAATTCATGTACACCTCGTAGATTTGTCAATACTTCAATGAGGCTGCCTCACTCACATTTGCATAATTTTAATCAAGACTCCCTTTCAAATCTTGTCGGTTAACTTTGTTTATTGGGAAAATAAAATGACTAATATACCCTTTTGTAACAAACAATCCCTCTAGAACGTATATGTCGTTTTCACTCTCTCACTCTTCTCCTACAGGTCTCTCGATCTCTCTCCATATATATAGATATATACACATACAAACACACACATATGCTGCATTTCACCCTTTTGAGACTGCATGGTATATACATTAACATTACTGGATGCTCTTAACTTTCAATCACCAAGGCCAAATATTTATTAGGAACCTCTCTCTAGATGGCTCACAAGAGCCGATTTTTGTGAATAAAGTCTGATATCATTAAACCAAGTATGATATATAATCATATGATTTGAACCAAAACCAACTAAGGTATTTGTAGTTGAGGGATTCCCTGCCAAATGGCTCTTTTGTTGTGTCAAATATCAATTTCAGCCAAAAGAATACTCATAGTCCAAAGTGTTGGGGGCTTTGCTCCGTCCAATTCACATGACCCTTGCAAGACGCCCTCACAGTGGGTGTTGCTTTCATGGAAGAAATAATTAGTTGATTGAATGAAGCAAACAGAAGACTAGCTAATAGTAAAATCAAGCCAAATTTTTAACAAAATGTCTCTCTCTTTCTAACCCTTCACAACTAAAGGAAGAAAATGAAGGGGAAAAGAAAAAGAAATTTATTCCTAATTACAATATTGTAAATCTACCTAGTAGCACTGGGACACTTTTATCCATTCTCATTCAAATGGTGTGTGCGCCACAAACTTTCAATAACTAGGCATTTCTCTAACCCGGCCTAAACCGTCTTACCAAGTACTTAATCATACAGCACTTCACTCATTAAATCAATAGGTCGGCCAGTAATTATCTAGATCAACACAATGGTCCATGGTCATAAACCTGTTGTTGGTAGGACCATTTCCATTATTCATTTCATGACCACTATAATTAACTGCCTGATCACTTCCAGCAAGACCACCAGCACTCATCATGGTGGAATTCAAATCCTGCTGCTGATTATTCATGGAGGGTTGTGGTGGCATTGGGCGCAAAATTGTCTGCGCTGAGGTTGCACCACCGAGGTTTAAATTCAAGCCGGATATGGTGAAGCAGCTGCCTCCAGCTCCCACCGGGTAGTTTAGTACCTGGGATTGGACCGGAATGTTCATGGTGCTTGTTGAGCCGGCTCTTAGACTTAGAGCCCTTTGGAGCTCCGCCAGTTCTGCATTGCTCATGTAGTTTCTTCCGAAAGGGAACTGGCAAGCCTCGCCCTGCATCATCTGGGATGGCATCACATGACTTGGACCTATTTCCAGGTTGTAGGGATTCACTGCTCTTGTGTGGTTTGAGGAGTACTTTTTCGCGCCAGCGCTCTTCTGGAATACGCGGCAAACTACCCATTCATCCTGCTGCATATGTATAAACACATGTTACACATGTATGTAATGCAGAGTAAAATCAAACAGCTTGATTAACTAAAATGATCTCATTATATAGATACACTTTTTCAACTGCTATTTATTTAGACTTAATTCCCTAAATAGTTGGTTGGAATTAATTAAGTATCAATATTTTTCATACTAATACATACGGAGTATCACTTTAGTTACTACACATCAATGTTTCTTGGTCTATAACAATTTATGAATTGATGTGGATATGTTTGCATGAACAGTCTAGCTAGCTTCATCATATTCATGCTAACATAACAATCATTTTGTCTCTCAGTAGTTAGTTACACTAACTAAAAATGATTTGATTAAATATATATCCTTTTTAAACTAGTATTTAGACTGACTTACCGAAAAAAAAAAAAAAAAACTAGTATTTAGACTTAATTCCCATATCATTTTGTCTCTCAATAGTTTGTTGGAATTAAGTTTTTCAGTTTAATTACTAAAAATAATTTAATTTCAGGAAAAAAAAAATACTAAAAATCAATGCTTCTTGGTCTATAACAATTTATGTATTGATGTGGAATTGTGGATATGTTTGCATGAAGAGTCTAGCTTCATCATATTCATGCAAACTTAACCATCATCCTCTTCAGTAACTAGCAGTTTATTTAATTATGGATAAAAATCATGTATAGTTATTAGAAGAAACTTCAAGAGAAGGAATTCTAATTAAAATCATGTTATTATCTTTTTTTTTTTTTTTTTCTCTTTTTAAAATAACATCTAATTTTGATCAGTTCAAAAATAATTTTATTTTAGTCACTTGGATAATTTCATTTCATATATACTATTTCCACATTCATGGAATATATATATATATATATATATATCATTTCATTTCAGCCAGTCTTAGTAAAGGAGGATAAGCATAGCTCCAAATTAAGGAGCTTCTCATTTTCAAATATATCACTTTAATTATTTTAGATACAAACATGCATGGATAGTTTTGAAAAGAAATACCTGCTAGCTTAGAGCTTAATTTAGAGTCAATAAGATGAAGTTTTCTTGAAAAAAATATGAAGATGTTATTGATCTCATTTAATCGTTATATTCAGGTAATTATCATGATCATCTTAATTGACACAGAAAATTAAAATCAGAAAACAGAAAGGAAAAAAGATGAAGTAAATGCAACCATATATATTATAATATGAGAGGTAGAGAAAGGGTTTTGTTGAGGTGAGTTGAGAGTTATAATAATATATACCTTGGTGGTTCTAAAGCCGGTTTTGGTATGAAGACGGTATTCATGCATGACCCAATTGGTTTTCTCTCCTCTGGGAGCTCTCCCTCTGTAGAACACCAATGTCTTCTTCATCCCAACTAACTCTGAGCTTACACTGTTGAAGATCTCCTTGTCCTTGCCGGTGGTCTTCCAATAACCGGTGTTCGTTGCTCGGTTTGTTCTCACTCCAGTTGGGTACTTCCGGTCACGAAGGCTGAAGAAATACCACTCTTTCTCTCCCATCTTTGCCTTCCCTGATTTATTTATTTAGATGGAAAAACAAAAACACCATATTCAATTAAATAATATTCGATGATCCAGTTACATAAGTAATTATTTAGTAAGTTTGTTGAGAAAATAGAGAACCATACTTCATCATTAGCACAAGAAATCACTACACTGTTGAGACATCTAAAACTATAGCCAAAGTGAATCTTAAGCTAATTGGTTTGTCTACCCCAAAAGATTCCCATGAAAATTATGATAAGAAGAAGAATTTTTTTATTTTTTATTTAAAAAAAAAAAAAAAAAAAAAAACCATTGCTTGGACATGAGCAAGCATTTATATTGAGTTCATGCCATACTACACAAACTAGCATGTTTCATTAAAATGATACAAGTGATAGAAAGAGTGTTGAATACAATTTTATATTTATCATCCAAATTCATCAAACCTCAAAGGGTTAATTAAACCTGGATAATATGTACATCAAACAATTATATATATATATGTAGCTTATTTGCAATATATATATCATTGCATCTTGAAGGGTCAAATTAACTTGGATAAGAAGAAATAAATAACCAGAAAAAACTATATATTCTTCAACTTTTTCCTTCTTCCACTATGATTTTGTGGAACAAAATTTGGTAGATGTTGATGGAAACATGAGCTAAGACTTAAGACTGTTTTGCAAACATCCTCAAGATGTGAAAGTAGTTATATGATTACCAATGGTTTGATCGAAGATGAGGTTTGAGGTAACAACAACTACCTGGAAGATCCCACGGCTCGCACTTGTTGAGATCAACATCTCCAATGGCTCTTCCTGTAAAATTAGCATCCGAAATCTTATTCATGAGATAGTAAGTAATGAGCTCTTCATCCGTGGGATGAAACCGAAACCCCGGTGGTAGTGTTTCCTCCTTCACTTCTGATCCTTCCATTTCAAACTACTTTTAATTGAATATTTTCTAACTATGCTACTGTAATTTAAGAACTATGCTAAAAAACCCTAACAGACTCAAAAGCATACATGCATGTATAGAGAGAGAAAGAGAGATGGCAAAAAAGGGCTTCAAACACTCCCTAAATGAATCATATATTGTTCCTAAGAGAGAGAGAGATACTAAGCACCTAAAATTGGATCACTCTCTAGGAATGATTTATAGGTTTCTTGCATGAAGAAGATTGTGAATATTTGTACAAGATTGATAAGTTTTTCATAGTTTGTAGCTAGTTGGAAAAAGTTGGAGTGATATTTAGGGATATTCTAGCTAGGATAAGATTAAAGTACGAGTTTTTTGAAGCTTTTCTTGTTAAATATGAGCAACAAGTTTGGAATTTAAACTTGTGGATCTGGAGAAGGAAATTGAGAGAGAGAGTGTATAGGAAGCTCTCACCTACCATGGGTCTTAAGGTACACGGTATATAGTGGTCATGGGCAACCATCTATATACTATGGACTGTCATTGAGGAAATTCTTGTTTTACCATATAATTCCATTATTGCCCATTAGCAACAGTGTTAATGAAAATGACCATATATTTAAAAAAAATAAAAATAAAAATAAAAATTGAGTTTATATATATATAAAGGCGAAGAGACGACTTTTATATTCACGTGCGCGGCTTCTAAGAAATTGTTGATATTCAAATGATCGAATTTGATTAGACCTAATATTTTATGAGGCATCAGACCTGAATAATTTAACACTCAAGTCAATCCCTCAAATTTCAATATATATATTGTTGCGGTAACATGTGAAAAAGTTTTATGAATAAAAGTTGTGAGTTGAAGATCCAGTGATTTTTGCTAAATCATGTTCTTTATCGTTATAGTAGTATATAACAAAGCAAAAGTTAAAAGAAAAGCATAATTAAGAACAAGGTTTTGTGATACTTCTATTTCTTTGTTTTTTGACGTAGAAAATAAAGAGTTCATGTCCCGATCAAGTTATTGAATGTGTGAGTTTCTTGCTAAGAAAATAAAATAAAATAAAAAAATTGTGACTATTAAAAATTGTAATACAAAGATGAGGTTGTTTCATCAGTCTCATATCCCAATAATTGGGGCGAGCCAATCATCATGCCATGCTAATACAATCTGAGTTTGAAAAATTATTGCAGGCACATCGTTGATAGGTCCTACAAGTACGTGCACTGTTTACACCTTAAAAGTCAGCTTCGTTAATTTTATTGGCTCTAATTTTTTATTTTTATTTTTATTTTTTATGATGAAAAATATTGTTAAGATTACTAGAAAAATAATATTACACGAACATAATTATTTTCATATATAGAATTCCATATAGCTAGATCATTCTGTATATGAAAGATTTATTATATAATATTTCTTTTTATAGCATTGTAAAAAAAATTAAACGAGTTACAGTCTGCAAGAATATACAACGTAACAATTTTTCTTGGTATTAAATATATTTTTTTGACTCTCCTTTGTTTGCTTATGACCAGAATTCTTCTGCTTGATGATAAATTTACCAATTTTTTCCTAGACAAACTTCAACCATCCCTTCTCCTTTGAAAACTCGCGCGTGTGTATATATATATATATATATATATATATATATTTTTTCCCTGACAATTAACTCTTGACAGAATTGAATTCTCGCCATCTCCTTTGAAAGAATAAGTGAACAAAACTTAAAGAAAACAAAAAACGAAAAAACAAAAGATGTATATCTTATCACAAAAATAAACATAAGCGGGTATATTATTAGCTAAAACTAAAAGATGGATGGAATTAATAAATAAAAAACATAAATCACAAATGTGAATGCAAATACTAGTTAATACAATGAATATGTAGGTAGTAAAGTTGGACATGCAAATATGAGAAAGTCAGGTATGCTTAATTTGTTGACCACTGCACGGAAACCGCGTTTACATTATTCAGATCAATTTAAGAACATGAACCACCTACACCACTATAGGGTGGTATACATGGTCGTCATGAGACCCAATAAACGAATTCAAGCCTAGTCACTCATAGCTAGGGCCCACAAATTTAGATGGAAGATTAGGAAATATTTCATAAAGTGTCCGTATACGCATCTGATTAATTTTATGTAAGTAAGCGATATCAGTCACGGTCGTTGTATCAGTAGCGATACAACGAACTCGGATAAAGTCGGTATAAACTAGCCGATACGGGTCGCATATCGGATTTAAAAAAAAATCGCGGATGATACAGCGAACCATAGTAAGAGATGATGTCATCATGACATTAGCGATATTAATAACATCATCACAATGATATTAGTTCGCACACACATAAAACAGTCGGATATGTTCGACTTCAAATTATTATCCTTGGATCAATAATAATAATAATAATAGTTGTGTAGTCTCCTGCGTCGGAAACATCCAAATCTGTTTTTTTAAAGCATAAAGAAAAAACTGAGATTCGTGAGTCCATATATATGTAACTGAAAAACCTGAAATTTTCTTTCTCAACTTTAGATTAAAATTGAATTTGGGAATACATTATATGTATAAATATATATAATAATATACATGTTGCAAAAGAAGATGTTTCCTCCATGTTGTTGATGTTGCTATGTTTTCCCTTGCGAAATGAAATGACAAAAACTGAAAGTAGAGTGGTAAAAAGAGGATTCTTATTGAAACAAAAAGGCAAAAATACAAGGGATGCGTATATAGATCTGCATTCACAGATTTAATACTTACATTTGATAAAGTTTGTAAAATCATCAAAGATCCATAAAACATGGCAACCATGGTGAACTGAAGCAAGCTAGCTAGAAGGTTTTGTACATCCTCTGTAGCAATATATGAGGCATGCATGGCACAAGTTCTTCAAATTAGAGTAGATCGCTCTGACTGATCCTTGGACCTGCATAAAAATTATTGCTTGCTTTGATCTATTGTATATATATAATATATAGACCTGTATGTCAACTCTTCTACTATGTTTGCTAAATGTGTGAGTATTCCTTCAGTTATCTAAAACCTATACTTTTACTTGGTTTTTACTTCAAATATGTTGTTCTGAAAGATGTTGAAATCAAAGTATACCTGTAATGCTTGCTGGTTTTTCGACTAGCAAATTTGTGGTTCATAAAAATTTAACTTCATTGAGATCAAACAGAACAATTTAGGAGGTACTTTTTTTAAGTATTTAACTAAATAATGATGATCAATTCTCAAAGAGAGAGAGAGAGAGAGAGACAGTTATGTAATACTCTATATACTTCATGAGTAATAAATCAATCTCTTGAAACCATAGGTTAAGTTTCAATGTGATTGTTTTATTGAAAATGTTAATTTCAACAATCCTTCAACAAACTTAAAAATTTTAAAACCTAATTAAAACACACTACATTGTATCACTCAGGCTACCATCAAAAGCCAAAGTTTCTTGAAGTTCTAAACAACAACCACTTATATTTTCATTTCTTTCTTTGTTAAATCAGAAATAAAATTGAATGTTTTCTTAACGAATTAACACATATAACAGTTATATATATTGTCCAACCTGCAGATGTTTATTTTTTTTTTATTTTTTTTGTGTGCGTCGGTGTTTATATAATTCTGAATTTGCATCTAGATTGCATTTCAGCAAGCATACTTGTATCCAAAACCTAGATTTAGAAACTTCAGCTGTCAGTAGAGTGACAAACATAAAACTCCAAATCTGTTAAAAGTCATTTTGTCATTTTTTTTAACTAATCCTATGTGCGTAGATGATCACTTTACGTGTTTCTATGTTCTGTCGGAAAATTAAACTATAATTGTTGCGCCTTTTGTGTTTCGCGATCTATTTCAAAAGTGGATCTGTTAAGGTGTGGAAAAGATTAATAGGGTTAAGTGGTTAACAATGTATTATTGAGCCACAGGACTTTTGAGAATAAATCAAACGCAAGAGTAGCAATCTATCACAATCTTTTCTTTACTTCTCCAACACTTCAAATATTAAATTTCATATGAGTCTTCATCACACTCACCTGTCTTGCAGCCTATCTTGAAAAGCCAAATTGCAAATTTAGAACCTACGAGTCGTCACTGAAAAGGATGATGCATTACTAAAATCATTGAGATTAAGAAACAAGTAGCTAGAATAAAAATCAAAACCATAAAATGACTGCATATTAGGCAGAGGCTATATATGATATATACCATGAAATCTCAGGAATAGACAGTGATGATAAAGTAGCCCTAATCTTGGACAGTAACGTACACCTGAATACATGCACAATCAAGTTTTTCCTATAATACAGGCAACAAAGAAAGGTATAATTAGGGTAAAAAAAATGGTGGTCAATCAAATTGTCCTCATATTCCCTATTTGTCAGTAATAAATCAAGCTCTTTTTTCTTTTTTTTTTCCCTAAAAATAAGGCTAACATATTGAGTTTTGAATAATTATGTTCAAGAAGGATAAATATTCTAATTATCTGTAGGTATATAGGAGGATCTATCTGTGCTTTAGGTATATATATGGAATACCTGCAAAGATCTAGCTCCTTACATTACATTAATTTACTTTGAAAATTAATACAAGCTTTATGGGAGAACCAAATATTCACTGATAATTTTTTTAAACATAATATAGAATCCCCCAATCAATAGGGTTAAGCTTGGATGTTCAATAATTTGGATCAAATTTAGCTGATTACTGTTATCTTGGATATATCTCTTTTTATTATTATTATATGATCTTAATTAAGAGCTGTAGTATTCAAGTTCTCCTTCCATTGTCCCAATCAAATCCTATTTCCCTACAATTTCTTTCCAGATCAAACAAGATTCAATTGCTAATTGTTTGTCAAGTTGATCAAATAACTAGAAATAATAAAAGACCAGATTAGTTGTGCACAGAAGATCAGTCGCCTACTTGTCGTGTACTTCAAAGTATAAAACTGTGTTGACGAACAGTCTACATTATATATATTTTTAAGTGGATTT